CACGCCCTTTCCATAAACTGTCTGGCATATACCTCGTGGGCAATATTAGCCTTCAAATCAGCAAAACCAGGCTCGATTCTCTGTATCTGCTTCTTTAGAAGTGCCCAAACGTGCTCGATCAGGTTCAAATCAGGGCTGTGAGCAGGCCAGTCGATCGTCCAGATGCCGTGCTCCTCTAGCCACTCTGGAGTGCCTCTAAATCGATGGATGCGAGCGTTATCTTGCATAAAAGGATCCCCAGTCTCGTAGAACGGAAGGAGCCCTTCCTTAAGGACGTCTTGATATGAAACTAAGATACTCCTCCGCGAGGAGCATCCTCGTCGGGCTTGCAGAAGATGATTTTGCCTAGGCCACCTTCTCCGCCGCGTAACCAGATCAAGGCCCAACACATAATGGAGATACGGGGTCTCTCATGACTCCGAGGGTTCACAAGATCCTGCCCGTAACGTTCAGAAGAGAGGCGGATGACCCAATCGCCCGGATTATCGGGTGAATTCTGGACTGTGACTTCGTCTGAGAAGAGCGTTCGTATTAGCTCCTCCAGAGCCTCCGGGGAGTCGTATTTATTACAAAAAGCGAGCCTCTCTCGTGCATCATCTTCCGTAAGCTCGATCCGCTTCGCTGCCTTCCACTTACGAAGCCTGTGAGCGCGAAGAACGCGCTTGATAGTGGTATAGGAGTTGAGGATCCTGCTCTCCTTCTTGAGCTCTCTGTAGGTGGCTCTGGGGTACTTTCGTGCCATTTTAATTAGCTGAGCTTCTTCGCGCTTGTTTAGAGTCCTTGTGGCTCCCTCTCAAGGTCGAGAGACCGTGGTGTTATGCTCTCTAGCAGTGTTGATAATGTCGGTCACGGTTAGAGGGCCGATCCAGATGGAACGCGCTCGTGACATCGTCGCGCCTTGCGCCTGCCGCCCTGGCAGCCATAATAGCTGCACGAGCTTCGGAAATAAATTCCTGGTTTGCCCCGCGATTTGCGGTCAGAATTGTACTAACCTTTTGTAAATCCATCGTTTCGGTGTTGAGTAAATAAAAGGTGAAGAAGGAAGGGGGTCGCGAGCGCGTAGACGTGTTTTGAAACTAGCGTGGTGGATGCTCGGAGACTTTTGGAGGGTCAGTGTAACACGAGGCAGCATATTGGATAGATCGGCTAGCGAGTATTATCGGTATCGGCGTTGGCGCTTTAAATGGGAAAGTATTTAGGTTTAAGTTAATTCGATTAATAATCGACTAACAACCGTTATAAACCTCATAATATACCTGTTAAAAACATAGAATAGATATATAATAAGGTAGTTTTAAGCCATACTTAAGGCATTTTAAGAGATTAATTATGTTATCATTTATAAAAAGGCGTAATTAAACGATAATAATAACGACTTAAAGCGGCAAGGTTGAAATTTCGTTTTGAAATAATATTATAATTTTTTTTACATTTCTTACAAAATTTAATCTAATAAACTTTTACCTTATCGCCCCGGCATCGATTGTGAGTTTAATATGATTTCAGATCTTTTAAAGCTAGGCTATTCATTATTATACATGATCTTATAAAAAATATAAAAACGTATTGAAACTATATTATAAAAGCTTAAAAACGATAAAAAACGCGATAAGAATTTAATTTACCCGTCGATATTATCGCTTAGTTAAGCAGGCGGTATACGCGTATGACGTGGTAAAATCTTTACTAGTAAGGCTTTATTACCTGTTATTATTTTTAGTAATAATTATATTTTATACGAAGATATTTTAGGGTTTTATTCTATTTATTATCTGTAATTATCTATTACGTCTAGTTATCGTGTTTTATAAGTTGTTTTAGTTTCTTAAAGACTTATTATCGCCGCGTTAACTAGGGTTTTTAATTATACGCTCTTTTTGCTTTTTAAAAGATTTAAAGACTTGTTATTACCACCGTAACGCTTGTTACTTACTACTATAATTTTAATATAGCTCTTTTTATCACTTGTTATGGTTTTTCTATAGTAGCCTTTTAAACTTAAAACGTTTGTAAAGTTTTAAGATCTTTTGAAAAGTTTCATTTTCTCAATAGCATAGCTTTTAGCTTTTTCTTTACTATATTAAGTGCTTGTACCGTTGGTTCCGTTTTTATTACTAGACTTTTCGTTATTTTTAAAAAGATATTCGTTTTTATATTAACCGTACTTATTATATTTTTAACATTTAAATTCAGCTTTATTTTCCGGCTCTTTAATTAAATAGAAAGTTTTTCCTCTTTACTTCAATTATCGAATATTAAGGTTTAAACCTTTTCAGTAGAGTTATTTCAATCAGCTTAAATAACTATATTATTTACTGTAAAATATCAAACGAAAGAGCGTTATATCTTTCAAGCTTTAGTTTTAATATTATTCCAAGTATTAGCGGGGAAGAAAGCTTATTATTACGCTCAAATAACAGCGTTACATACATTCGTATTTGTAAGCTTAATAAATATATTATAAGTTTTTAAAGCATTTTAACCCTTTATATATAGCTTTAAATCGGGCGATCATTTATTTACTTTTACGAAACTCTTAAATTAAACCTATTAGTTTTTCGTTAATAGCTTTCTAGATTATATTATCAATTTTAACTTAATCGAGTCTCGTTATTATACTATTATCAGTTTAACCGAAACTTTTAAATGTAGCGTTAAAAGCCGAATATTATAATTACTAGTTGCTTTTTTTAAATAACGTTTTTAAAATAACTATTACTTAAAGCTTTGTTAATAAACGGTTATAAAAACGTCGTTTCTTATACGAACAGATTATTACTACTTTTAGTAGCTTTATCATCTTTAATAGCCTTTAATTTTTAATTTTACCGTTTAAGCATTGCGACTCGCGTTATGGAGTAATAGCATTATTTGCAACAGTCTTACCCTTACGTATTTTAGCGTTATCATTTTTATTTAAACTTATTATAATGGTTGTTCAAAGACTTTAAATACCATTAAAAAGCATTAAACCTTGCCTTATTTAATTACTATTGAAAATGTTATTTTATCAAAGTCACGTATTTAAATGAGTTTAAAATAAGATATATAATAGTCGATGTTTTAATTATAAATTTATAAGGAAGATTGTTATTTAAATATAGCTATAGAAGCCCTCTACTGCTTAGCTGCTTAATATTAAACAATAAACCTACTAGACAACGCTTAAATACTTTTGGTTTATTCTTTTAACGTTTTATTTTATACTTTTTACTTCTTTGTAGCTTTTTAATAGCTATAGTTATACTTAATAAGCACTAAAATACTTATAAGTTACGTATAAATTAAATAAGAAACGAGATTATTATATATAATAAGTATACTTATTATTTTTTACGAGCTTTTTTCTTCCTTAGTTTATTATTTTCGAAATGTAATATTAAAGAACATTATAACGTTATAAGCAATAGAACATAAAGCAAACAATATTATACAAATATGAAAAAGGTTTAAACATTGAATGAATAGATATAATATGAAAGGAATTAAAAACTCAATAGCGAGTTGAATAATTACATTATCAAAGCATCTAATTCCACGATTTAAGCGCGGCGTTTATATACGTAACGTTTCGATTATAAATTGAGTGTATAGGCTATTATACCTACCGGGATTTATTTTCTTACTTAAAACAACGAACTTACTTAGGGGGAAAATTACAACTTAATAGCCTTTCGTTTCGTTTTATTTGTTTTTTTTATTACGGTCAGAATAAAGACATTCGTAATAGTAGAATAGACCTTAAAGGGTTAAGAAGCAAGTTGAAAAAGATTTATAAAAAGGATTTTTTACCATTTTTAACGTTTATTTCGTTATTTTAATAGCTTAATTATTATTTAGATTAAACGGCGAACATCTTAAACCCCGTTTTAAAAAAGTTAAATAAAATAACAATTTAAATGACGACTAAGGCGATTTATACGATGTTAAGCTCGTTTTTGAGTATAAATTTCACGTTATAAAAATCGGCTTTAAGTAATTGATTAACTAAAAAGATCATAATTATAACGTTTTCGGTTAAAAATTTAAATGCTAGCTATAAAAGTTTTTGGACCTTATAAACGAATATGAATAACTTTAAAAATGATATATTATTATTTAAAAATATATTTACTTAATCAATAAGTTTGGTTTAAATGCTATTAAGAATTTCGTTAAAGCTAATATTAAAACCGATATTTTCACTATAAATAACGCCCTTATCAAGCGTTTTTACGATACATTTTGAAAGGATATTATATTTGCTTTTATTTAAACAATTAGTAGTAAAAAGGTATTTGTATACTTAGTTAAATACATAACTCATAATTCAAGTAATAAAATAAAATAGGCTTTTTTATGGCGGGGTTTTTAATACATATTATTAAGAGGTATAGATAAAATTGTTAATTTTTAAGTAAATAGTGGAAGTAAGCTTTTATTTATATATATTAAGTATATATTATTGTAGCCCTTTTAGTTTAGGATATTTGACCCGTATATCTGTTTTAATATATACCTATATATATATTACGGTAATAAAGGCGTTTAAGAATTTTATTGATATTTAAGAACATTCTTTATATACTTAGATTTTTAAACATACAACCTTTTTGGGAGAATCCATAAGAATAAGCTTCATTAATATAAGTTTAACTGTAATAAGATTATATATTTTAAGTATATATAAAAAGCTTTTGTTATAAGCTTTAATAAAGCCTTATTGTTCTTATACTAAAAAAGAAAAGAAAGGAAAATATAAACCAAGATAATCAAAGTGGGACAGGTTTGTAAAAAGTTTGGCTATAGTGGTACGTAGGTTACAGTTAAATGTGCCAACTAAGCTCCGCTTAGAGGTCTAGACATTCAGAGGGCACTGCACACGGACCAATTAGTACGTGCCACAGACGTCACAAACAGCCTTTGAACCACGAGCGCTGCATGATCACACTGTCTATAACTTCTCTTCCTGGCGGATCTTTGAAGGGCTTGGTTCCCCCCGCTGCTCTGTGTCTCGCATTATGGGCTCACCCACCCCCGATCCCGGCACCCAGATCGCCGGAAGCAGCAGCAGCAGCAGCACCACCACCAGGTGAGTCTCCGAACTCGACCGGCTCTCATCCCGCGGCGAATGATGCCGGCGGGTGGTGAACCGTCCCTTGTTGAGCGTGTAGCCTTCCGGTCACTGTCTGAAACCTCCGCCGGGAACCCGCGGTCCTGGTCCACCAACGGCTAACCCCCGTCCTTACGCAGGCGACCATTGGGCAGAGCTCAACCAAGGGGGCCACGAGGATCACTGCCTTTGGTCCATACCGACGCCGGTGGTCCAGCAGTCGATGTGATTGACGAGGACGACACATGTCCCATCTGCCAGCTGCTCCTGCACAGCCCGGTCACGACGACTTGCGGCCACACGCTGTGCTATTCCCGCATGGCGACCTGGGCTTCCGTCTCCACCGAGGCCCCGATGGTTATATTGGACGTAGACGACGAACCGGAGCCTTTCAATCCGGTTTCTGAGCTTGAAGCTCGTTGTCCCATGTGTCGGACCTCCACCGTCGCAGTGGCAGATATCCAGCGTGCCGAGACCCTGAAAGCAGATTACCCCCTGGCCTGCGCTGAACGTGCCTCGGAGGACCAACCTCCGAGCGCCGACGGCCATGGTGAAGAGGCCATACAGACTATGACTGTTTGTATCGGTAACAAACAACAGATCGTCACACCGAAGGGTGACAGGGACGTGACCTGACAGCTAGTCGGCCCATTGCCCCTTGCCCGCTTGCCTCACGACTGACCCCTTACCGTGGGGAATGATTACAGGGTCCAATTCGGTAGCCACGACAGGAGGCTGCTGAAGCGCCCCAAAACAGGAACATACTAATCGGTGTTCCGTGCTTAGGCTCGTCCAAAACCAGCACGACTGGACCTTTTTTGTGAGGTCGAGCAGGGCCGAAATCATCGAGGAGGTTCATATCTTCCTACATCCGACTTTCAGGCAAAATCACATCATCCGCCAGCGAGCACCTTACCAGGTAAGCTCCGCCAACCCCCGTGGCCAGTGATGCATCGAGGTATGCCTGGACCGTGTCCACTAAGCCGCACATGCTGTGTAGGTATCTCGCCTTGGCTGGGGAACATTCACCATCACTGCGTCGGTGATCCTGAAACCGGGGTATTCATGGGTATCCGACGACGCGCTGGACTCGCCTGATGGTGCACCCAAGGGCATGCTACTCCTCGAATGGAATCTGGACTTTGATGGATTCGGTGGCAAAGGGTCGATGGGGCGATGTAGACTTAAGGTAGGCCAGCAGCCCCCGGTAGTTATTATGCCATTGCCATTTAGCAGCACCCACGGGATAGAAATGATATCCTGCTGATTCGCCTCCCTTCAAGGTCAGGAACGATCAAGGTTGGCACGATGTCGATGACGAGCAACGCAGAGACACCCAGGAGCGGAACAGAATGACCCGGCAGTACGAACGAGATGGGAGATATGAGCCATAGTGGAGGTACGGTGGCTGACCAGGTGACCAAGAATACTTCAGTCGGGACTTGATTACGTCGGCGGGATGTACTCATCGGGTAGCCCTTGATGGAGGGCATACAGCGATGAGTGATGACACAAATCACCACCGGGGCAGTCAGCGTAGGCCGCGATACCATAGCAACATGTCATTACGGCTTGAGAGCGGCTACACGTGCAACCGAGACCGCCGCAGGTGGTGCGGCGTCTGCCGAGTAGAATGGCGGTGATGGCGACATCTTCAATGGTGTGTGTGAAAGGTGCTGGGTTGGAAGCCCTGACTACATGCAAGTATGCCAGCTGTCCAAAAGAAGACATCACCGTCTGCTGGGCCCGGGGTGACAGCAGCCAAGCGTAGGACAACAACAGCCTGGTATAGTTATCGTATGTAACTGCACTGCTGGAGGCATCGTATCTTACAAGCGCCTGGGGTTGAGACGCTGCCGTCTTGTACCGGAGCCCCTCACTGGACCTTGGGCAGTGGGTGCTGTTGCTGCGAAATAACCGTTCTATACGTCCCCTCCAAAGAGTTACAGCCCAGATCGATACCGACACTTCATATAGCAGGAAGAATGAATGATGAGCATGTCATGAAGCCTCGGAAGCCATATGAGGATGGCCGTGGCTAGCGGTGTGTAAGCTACCTATCTATCTACCACAGCCCGCTTTCCAAGCGAAACCCCCAGCAGACAGCCAGGTGTCCAGAGTAGTCAACTATATGGGCGTCTCGCTAATCATGCCAGAGCACCCGTCCCAATATCCCATCTAAACTCCGCGGCGGTCTGCGTGCGCCCAGCAGAACGACAAAGGGGTAGGTCGGTCGATGATAGGTCGTATATTGTCTCACGCTCACAGTCGTCTTGCTGACGACAAGGCACCCGAGACGGCGCCTCGATGAGTAACCTCCATGCGGTTGGCCCTTCTCGCCCACCCGTCAACCCGTGGCCATGGTCGTCGGCTCAGCGCACCACACGACCACCCCAAGCTCGACGTGTCGGACCCCGCTTTACGCGACGACCGCTGCATTTGAATCATCATGAGGGCTCGCCTAGGGTGATCGCGGGCTGGTGAGCCTCGTAAACACCCCCTCGCCCACGGATGAGTGTGCATCATCGTAACAGTCTGTCACGCCTTTCGAGCTCCTGGACGACGTAGGGTTCCTGTTCCATCGGGGGCAGGGCTCTCTGTGGGACAGGCCTCTCCCGAAGATCGGGTTCTCTTTGAAGTTCGGAAACATCGTGGGCCTTGCCGACGTGGTTCACCAAGGTTTCGACGCTGCCACAAACCACGTCGACACTCCTATACTTGTTACAGAGCACACAGGCATACTCGCCATCCTCGGTGTGGCACTTGACAATGAAGCGCTGCCCGAGATGGAAGGGGAACTCCTCCATGACCTGCTCCTCGTAGCGTCCGTCGGAGACGATGATAGGCGCGCGCTTCTCGATGTGCCAATACGTGTCGGACGGCTCCACGTCCAGGCGAACGCGGCATTCGGGGCACCGGCCATCGCCGCCCGGTGCAAAGGACGCAGACAGGGGCTTCTTAGGCACGTATTGGAGATCAAGACTGTACCTGCAGAAGAGCGAGTCGGCCTCGATGATGGTAGACGCTCGCTTGGGAGGTGGCAATGCCCTCTGGGGCGGCAGAGTGGCGGTCGTCAGGCGCTGGTATTGCTGGCGCAGGGCGTCCAACGAGCCCTCCCGGGCAGCCGACGAGGCCAGCATGAGCCTCTGCATGTCGGCACGTGATATGGACCGGTCGTTGGCGAGGGCCTCTTGTAGGACCGAGATGACGGTCTGCTGCAGAGCAATAATCTGGGCCTGCAGCTGGTTTTCCGTGATGGCTGGGAAGAGCAGCGTCAACTACCAACTACCAACTACCGCGAGGGCTACCTGTCAGGCCCGACTTACTGTCTCCCATGGCATAGCGTCGCCCCAGCCGCTCGAAGCCCTCGTCGTATTCTCGTTTGATCATTGTGCCAGACCTCTCGAGCGCGCGGCCCAGGTCCCCGCCCCCGGACCGGCGTGGGGGCTCTTCCTCTCGCGCCTTGCCACGTTTTTCTGCCTCGGCCACCTGCTCCTGCAGCCGCTTAATCTCGTCGTCCTCCCCGGCTGTTAGTCTGATGACGGGCAGCGACAGCTGAGGCCTGATGCCAAAGGCTTGCTCACCTGCTTCGTGTCCCTCTTCTTCTGCTGCCTCCTCTCGCTCACGCGGTCCCAGAGCCCGATGGAGGAGGAAAAGGTGCCGATCAGCGTAGAACATAATGTGGCGATGATGAAGGTATTCTGGGCGCACGCGTCAGCTGAGTCCGGAGTTTGGCATGGGCGAAGCCAAGGTCTACCTTGAGGCCCTTCCCTTCGGTCATGTTCGCCAGGTTCCACGGATTACTCATTCTCGCGGGCAGGGCTTATAAGTTACTTGCTATAAGTTACTTGCTGGCGCTGTGGTAAGACGGGGGTATGGAAGGTTCTCTCAGGTGAAGACGAAAGATGGGAGTGATGCGATGCTTTCCCAGCGACGGGAACAAGCTGTAGATCAAATGCCGCAGCGATTCTCCGAGTGCCCACTGCCCGGTTCCCCCCGAAGCCTTTCCGACTTGCGATGATGACCTATGACAGTCGTAATCGCGCGTGCCATGTAGGGTGCTGTCTGTCTCGTCGCCGTTGCACTGCATCGACTGCATGGCAACAGAAGCAGACAAATAGAGACCAACTGGCCAACTGACCAACTGACCGCCACTCCGGTCAGCATTCCAGTCAGCGTTCCGGTCCATCATCGTCATGGCTGCAAGGGTGTACCTAGATAGCGCTACGTCATGGCGCCTTTTCGGCCTTTTCGGATCCTACCATACTGTCTATGTCTAGGTCCGGATGGAACCGTGCCTGTCAACTACCCGGCCCGCTGGAATGGTAAAGGCAGATCTGAAGACTGGGATGGGCGATTCCTCGTGTCGGTGGTATTATTATTATATTATATGGGCCGTGGTACCTGACAGGATTGGCCTCTTCCGCGAGGATGCTGACAGGGCGGCACAGTCAGCCCCTACAGTAGAAGCATCCTACAAAGAGCAGAGCATACGATACGGCATGCTCTGTGGACTGTCCCCTGAAGCCAGTCCGGTGGGTGGGTGCGACGAACCATGGCATCACGATATTATCAATGAGGATTGGCTGGCTGCTGGTGATGGTGCATACCTCTGAGCCTTGACGGACAGAAACACGATTGGACCGGCCGTGGCTCTGATCGATTCGTCTGCGTCCTGCCACGTTGCTCCTGACCCCCGATTATTGTGAACAAGAGGGCGCACCAACAACTCTTTCAACAGGAGCTCTCCTTCGTGGACATCACGGGCCACGCCATCAGGGGTGCAGTGCTGGCGTATGGTGAGTCTTGGACGGCGACATGGTCACCATGAACCCTGGACGAATGCGCTGGACGAGTGTGCTGTATGTAGTGTGTATAGAAGGTGGTGGATGCTTTTTCATACGTGGCGCAATGTAGGTGGCCATGGAGGAACGAGGTCACCCATTCAGGAGAGTATACTGCTGGCAACTCTACCGATGCCGATACCTCTACCGACTGAGTGGTTGTCATCCACGCCGTCGAGGTGAGAGATGGAGATGGAGATGGGGCCCCATCGTTTCCAGTCCATCCCATAGTGCCCATTGCGGGCGAACGCGCAGCTAACTTATAATGACGAGTGGAAGAGGTCCAAAGAGGTGAACCAAAGAGGTGAACAATGTATACAATGCCCACTCTAGCCACTGTCCACCAAATGAGATTATGAGCCCCCTGAACTAGCAAGAGACCCCCGAGTTAGCGCCAGGAACGGCCTCGTCGGCAAGCGGCAGCCGGCGCAGATTATCACCTAGATTATCACCTTCCTTTCGCCGCTTGGGGTTAGGTTGAGGAAGCTAGCCCACACTGAACACCCTGACACCGTATACCATATCCGAAAAGGGAAGACGGGAAGAACGTAAGAAGGAAGAAGGGACCTCGGGCAGCTCGGGCAGATGCAGTGGCAGCTGGCATGGACTCACGATGAGACCATAAGAACAAACGCGGCGCGGGGTGGGACAGCTGCTTCCGTTCCGTTGCTCTCCCATCCACATCGTCAGATCTCTTTCCATCGATGGCGGTGACATCACGAGTGATATGAGTTTCCCTTGCTGTCACTGAGGATCCCTACGCGACAGGCCGACAATGCCAGCAAGCCAGATCGGCCGTCGTCACCATTCTCTGCCCAGCGGGCATGAGGCAGTGGAGGGTATATCGAGGACAGAGGGACGCAGTCGTGTTGAATTGTCGCGACCACGATCTAGATCCACTACCAACGTCAACGTATTCGACAGCGTCAGCCACGCGTCGCGACATGGATCGGGATCGGGCAGCATGAGGGAGCTTGAGGAGTTTTGCCGCACAACGGGGCCAGCGCCCAAACGTAACTCGTCGCCGGAGGCGAGGCGGTTGGGGTGGTCGATACAGGGGCTCCGTAAACCCAAGAGGACAAGGTCGCAGCCCCCCGATATCGCCGTGCCCGAAACCACAGCATGCGGGCACCGCTACATTGCCATATCCACTCCTATTCCGAAGCACCATTACGGTCCCTGGTTTCAATCCCAGTACCCCGTTTTCCCCCTCGGGCCTTCAGCCTGGGATATGGAACACCAGAAACGGCCCGAGACGACGTTAGCAACGGGGCCGGCGGGTGCCGATGCTAGAGGGGCCTCCCTACAGACGCAAGCTGGATACGGAGGCGACGGACCTGGCCAGCAACCCTGCCCGAGACCATCATCGATGGCGGCACTCGAAGAAGGAAACGAACCACCCGGGCCGTCGGAGAGGACACTGCCGGAATTGGGTTCAGTATCTGATGGGGCCACTGTTGTTCGATTGGTAGACCACGGCTTTGCAGGTCAAGATCGTGATCCGAAACTATTAGACGCAACAGAGACGCCGTTGCAGCGATCGAAGATGGTGCGGTGGGAAGACGAGGATGATCCGAACCGTCTGCAATCGACGGCCCAGCCCCTTGAGACATCACCAAGTCTTGATTACCAGCGTCCGGAGGTCATAGGGACACCATCAACGTCGCTGGCAACTTCACTGCCCCACGAGCAGCAGTGGCCCCCTCTGGGGAGGAGCTCCCATCACGGTCCGCCACGACCTTCCCGACTGTCGTCGAGGAAACCCTCCAACGTGAGCATCCACTCGGACCACTCCACGTTGGCCGTACCTAGGGAGTATGTGCTACCTGAGTCGCCTGGGTTTCCGAACATGCTAGCGACCATGACATTCCCTGAGCCGCCGAAAAGCTCGAGATCCCCTTCTTCGGTCAATGACATCGGCATGCATGCTTTTACTTCAGTTGCTGCGCACGCGGCACCTTCGGGTCAAGTTCACATGCAGGAGCGACAAGTTCGGAGGAGTCCTAACACGCCTGATATGCCAGGACTTGCCAGCAAAACGAAGCCTGCCAGGGGGCTTGTTTTCCCATTCGAACTGGGTCAAACCGTACCGCCCAGATGCGCAGTCGCAGACAAACAACCGCGGCAGTTGGCTGTAGCAGCAGCAGCAGCGCCCTCCATAGCGTTCACATCAAATGGCCATGAATACATGGGCATTCCCACGACCCCAACCGAACGGCACCAGAAGTCCGACACGACGAGGGGTTCGTCTCGCCAGTCGAACAAGAGTGGGGTGGGAAGCTTTTGTGCCATGGCTGTTGCCACGAGTGAGAGAACCGAGCAGCAAGGAAACGTTTCTAGGTCCGACACACGTACGTCTACATCAACCATCTCGCACCACGACCCGGAGCATCGGTCCCAGGGCATCGGTGTACAGCGCATGGTCCGGAAGGCCAAGGTCCGGCACTACAAGAAGCGTGACCTTGATGCAACTCGATCTAGAGCCCTTGAGTAGGTATTCCAGAGCCAATTTCCACGCCATTCCTGGGCTTTGCTATGAGCCAGCGTCCCCAACACAAAACCCCAAGCCCGAAATTCCATACACGAGGTGATCGCTGACAGCGAATCACGTACAGTTCCCCGGTCCTAGGTCGATTTCCAGGTGATGCCCTCCGGGCACTGGTATTATCACAGCAAGAATCGTCAGGTCTGACACAGGGCCCACGAAGGCCCTCGACTCGGAGCGTCGATACATCCGCAAACCAAACAGCCTTCCGTACTCACGGCCAGGCAATCAATGAGCCACTCTTCCCTGCTTCTACCCGTGATCTGCAAATGACCACGGAGCCTGAGAAGCAACGGCGGACTTCGCCTGCGCAGTTGACGGTTTCCCCGATAATGGGCACTGGGATACAACCGCAATGCCCAGCTGTTGCTGCTATGATGCCGACAGATGAGATCACCATGTCGCCAATAATGGTTGTTGCCAACGTCGCATCAAGCATCGGCTCATCCACTGACGCATGTACCCTTCGACGCCTTTCTCTGGTGAGGCCAGATACTCCGGCGGCTCCTACACCGCCTCCGAGATCAGCAAACAGGCCAAAACCGCTCAAGATCACGATCAGTCGGAATCCGTCGACCGGGGCTATCGAGCGTACAACATCCGCCGACTATCGACTCAATCGTCATAGTCTTATCGTTATGCCAACATCGCCGCTATCACCTGGAGTGCTCCAGTCGCCGAGGCGCATGTCGTTCCCACCGAAGCATAACTCTCATGCCCAGTTGCGTGAGTTGTCGAAGCCGGCGTTAGAACCTCGGCGGCAGGACTGGCACGAGCAGGAGAACAGATGGCGAAACGCAGCATTGAAGGAGCGGGTCATTCGAGAGAAGCTTGAGAAAGAGAAAGAGATTTCTGATATTGTTACGAAGACAGTTGGTTTGCCTCCGAAGCAGGCGGGGTGCGACGAGGAGCCGGCCACGCAATACCAGGAACAGCATACGGCGGAAAAGACAGAGCGGCAGTTGAAGAGGCTGGAGAAAATCAACGGTGCATGGTTGCAAGCGATGAAGCCCTTGTTGGAGAAGATGGGCAGGACTCTGGACGACATGCGTGCAGACGGCACACGGAGCGGTCTGACGATGAGCGATTTCATCGTTGACATGCAAGCTGAGGCCAGGCGGTTCTCCTGCTACAGTCAGCAGGTGGCCCCAGGAGACGCCGCTCAAGAATTGTCACTCGAGGACTCAGACAGTGGGGGCAGACCTCTGCGGCCGCCTATACTGGTAGCAAGTGAAGACCGTACGCCGCATGAACGAGAGGCTGAGGCTCGAGCGGCTGTCAAGCGACGCATGCGGCAACAGGAGGCTATGATGGATAACCTGTTGGAGCGGTGGGGTTTGCCATCTCCCCGGGCGAAGAATTGCATCCAGGACGAGCGACCCATGCTAGCAATGGGGTTCATATGGATGCCGGATCGAGCCCATTATACCCGCTGATGCGGGAGCTCAGGGGTGCTTCATGACCGAGCACTGAAGATGAGGATACCATGCCCCACCCACCACTCGGCCACCCCCACCACTCGGACTGAAAAATCTACTGCCACACACCAAAACATCAACAACTTCACTTATAGCGAAATCAGTCAATTCATGGTATTTTCGGCTGTGAAAACGTTCAATCTACTCATCTATGGCGGTTTAGTTATTGTATCTAGCCGGCCGGCGACTCTGTCGGCCCAAACGGGTCTCCCTAGTGGCCACAATCTCCTCTTCTTCCGAATCAGAGCTTTTATCCTCTTTCCATCAGTGGTATCTTCAACAACCACAGGCTGCGCAGCCCTGCAGCCTCTCTGAGGTTGTTCTTCACTAGCTGACAGAATATCTGGGATATTTTTGAAGCGTTTATTTGGGTTAGGGATCTTTCTGTGCTTTTTAGGGCGCATGCGGTCCAGTTCGGCCTCTAGGCTCTCGATTTTCTGGTCCTTTAGCACCATCTCTCCTAATTGCTTCTCAAAAGCATTCGCAACCTTGCGTAACTTCAGCCGAGTGGTTGGGGACTTATTTTTGCCCATATCCATGATTTGGCGGCTATTTTTGGGCGTCTGGAAGTCTTCAGGTTCTGAAGTTTCGACCTGTTCAGGCTCAGGGGTTGCGGCCTTATCCTGTTGGATTTCTGGATGTGATAACGCCTTTCTGCGATTAATAGGCCAATTGCCAGTAGTTCTAAAGCCAGCCTGACAATTTTTGACCGTCAGGCCGTCGTTCCTTGCCTTGGAGTAGCATCTGATGAAGTTGATCTTGTCCACACGGGCAGCATCAGTCTGAGTAGCTAACTGAGCGATATGCTTCCGGTAAGCAGCCTTCACGGCGTTAAAGGGGCCATTATCGAGTGGTTGAAGCCCGTGGGAGGTGTGTGCTGGAAGAAAACAAAGCTGAACGTTATTCAAGAAGCACGTGGTCATGAATTCATCCTATCGCTAAATGATTAGCTATACATCTATCGATTTTTAAAAAAAAAAGTAGAAAAAAAAAAAAGTTAATACATACGGAGGTATGGCTCTTGTGCCCATTAAGGATCAAGAGTACCGCTTCAGAATTATCATCTTCTCGTACCTGGTTGGCTTGAGGGAGGAAAACACTCTCCAACCACTCCACAGCGACTGCGTTATCCGTCCAGCCAATATCAGTGCATATATAATGCAAGGGGGCGATCTCTCTGAACTCCTGAAAGAACCACTGGGCTTAGAGATCTTTTCCTTTGAATATAATGCCTGGCGTGAAGGCCTTGCCTGTAACGGAGATGGCCTCAATGAAGGAAGTCCAGCTGCGGCCTTGGTCGCTCTTCAAAAAGGTCTTTTTCGTCTCTGAGCTGCCTAAAACGAGACCATTAAGCCCTAGATAGGTTAGTTAATGGATAAAGGCAGCAAGGGATTATTTAGGGATTTTTTAGGGGCTTTCTTGTACCGAAACCCGCCATGATACCGCCTTCATCCACATTGTACGTGTTTTTGGGCTTCACCTGATTGAAATCCTCGCGATGATCAAAGTACCAGTTAACAGACTTCAGCATAAAGCCCTTAGAATGAGCGGCTTCCTGTCTGTAGCCAATTTTCGTCTTTATTTGGGGGTTACAGAGAAGAAATCCATCTATCCAGTTCTTCCCAACTGTCTTAGTGATGCCGTTTAACTTGGAGGTAGCCTGAACGATTGCTTTGACGGCGCTATGCGATAGGGCGAGCCCCAAAGACTCCTGACGAAGTATCCACTGGGCTAGGCGTGTTTCCTGCTCGTTGGATAGTCTTCTTTTTAGCTGTTGCGTCTCTCCCTTCGAGGGTTTGCCGTTAAGGCGGTCAGACAGCGTCTGCTTAGGGATACCCCATTTCTGAGCGGATTTTCGGACCGACAGCTTGTTATTGGTGACATCTAGTATGGTATCTACCATAGTATCCTCTGTATAAGAAGGCATTTCGAGAGTCACAATGCTGCGTTGCATACAAAAGAAGAAGAGAACGGGTGCATAAAGGGCAAATTTGCCCTTATGAGGGGTAGAAACCACGGGCGGGGAGACCCCTCATCGCCGGGTCTGGCTAAAAGGATCTATATTGAGATAAACCTCAAGAAAAGAGCTATTCAGCGAACTAATTACATCGCGAATCACTTCAAAACCAGCTGGATTCGGTATAAGTGAAGTTGTTGATGTTTTGGTGTGTGGCAGTAGATTTTGCAGTCCGAGTGGTGGGGGTGGCCGAGTGGTGGGTGGGGCATGGTAGCGGACGGGGGAAGCCTGGTGGTCCCACAATAATGATCCAGCTACAATTGAGATGTGGTTTCTAAAAAAAGTCCCTACCCAAGACAACGCGGCTAACAATATAGAATTCCTGTCCCACCCGGTGATCCATCACCTCCTAAGATAAAGAACCAGCGGCTCTAATATGCAGGGGTTTTAACGTTAATATTAAGCACACAAACTTTGCGACTTGCGTATACAAGCTTATCAGCTCGCTCCGGTCTGCGCTTCGCGCAGCCTAGAGAGTAGGGGCTAACGTATAGATAAGGGTTAACGTATATGGGTGGCAGCGGGCTTTAAAGAGGCTAACGCGTACGGGAAGGTGAATAGTACTTGACATGAGGTAGTATTACTATTTAAAAACAGGTACAGTTTAAAACGTTGCTTTGTAGCGAGCTAAGCAGTGCCGTTTCTTTTTTAAAAACGGCTTTATTAGCTTAAACAAAGGTTACGTAAATTAGCGCTATATACGTTATAACACGCGTACAGGCCTTATTTATATACTTTGAATTAAATTTCCTTACGACGGATTTTTTAAAAATGATTTAAACGGTTGAATGAATTACCTTTTTTTTGTATTATTATATAAATATCGATTAATTATATATATAACTTATTTAATTATTAAAAAAAGGTCGAGTTAAACGAGGCGAAATTAAAATATTTAGTTAGTTAGTTTTTGTTAGATAGAGTGGTGCAGGTGGTGTGGCTGCAGGTGGTCTGTGCGCAGACCAGGTGGATTTGGGATGGTTCTAGCGCTTTAAAAACGGTCAATTAGCGACCGTTGCCCCACAGCTCCAGCGCTACGCTAGCTGGAGGCGTTGTAACTGTACTTAAGTGAAAATTTGTCTATAATAGGTAGTTACAAAACTACAAATGAACGTACCACCAATACTTCCGCATACAAATTCTTATAGTTTTAATTATAGCAGTACATTCATATTAAAGAAGATTACCATAGACCATTCTATGTACCAATAGTAGATAATCAATAATACCACGTAACGGCAGTAGTACTTGTACTGAGGTACCCAGGCAGTGGAAAACTGGAGGAGACTACCCGTGCCTCGCACTACTTTCCACCTCGCTAGGGCTCACCACATAAAGTGGTGCTCACCATAATAGCATACCAACCACAATAACACACCAATATGAGGTTGTTCAACATTAAAATTTACGTAGCAACCGTATCTTCTTGCCAGATTCGTAGATATTAGCAGTAGGCAGTCTCTTAGTAGTCTTCCAATACCTGGCCAACTTTGCTGCCTCTTTAGCAAGGTTTTTTTATGATTAGAGCTCCTTCTTTGCCAGGATATCCGCCTTCTTCTGGAGGTCTGTTGTGATCTCTTGCTCCTTTTTTCTTGCTATTTGACACCCGATTTTAACTGTGAGCATTCCTCTTGATTGGAGAGGAGTGTTCTTTGCAGACTTACGCTGTTTGTTAACTCGAGAAGCTAATTCAGTCCTTCCAAGGTCCCTTTTGGTCTGGACTAGCTGGGAGGCGTAGAAGCGCGCCCCCTTGGATAGGAGCCTGATTCTCTCAACATCTTCAGGAGTAAGATCCCCCCCCGCCATTGTCCTGGTTATTCAAGGCCTTGTCTACTTGATAAGCGACCTTGTGAATCTGCCGTATTATAGCTGAGGTGGCAACTGGAGAGGAACTAGGCTGGTTAGAGGGGGGGAGTGACTGGGTCCTTGCACAAGCTTCGCGCTTCTTCAACTGGTTAATCACAATTGACGGGTTGAAGGAATAGATACCCATTTTCTTGAAGGCAGAGAGGATAATAGTCTTCTTTAAAGCTTGCTGGCAAACTCCTTCAATACATGACAGGAACTCGATCTTCCTAATATGCGTAAGACCATCACATACCATAATATCCAGGGCTTTAACATGGTAGTGCTTCAAGGGCTGGAAAACCACCACATTGAGCGGCTGTAGTAAATGCGTCATATTTGGACGTCATATTTAGAATGAGACCAAAAGGGATAATGCTATTGTCGTCACAATATCTAATGAACTGTATTGTGTGGTGGCTACTATGACCGTCATGTAAGGGTATTACACCGGCATGTCAGGCCGACTAGTCACCGATCGGAGCCCTAAGGCCCCACTACCATATCCTCTGAAAACGCCTAATTCCAACAAACATACCAGGCTAGATTGAAGTATCCTAATACACCTATTTCTTAGAATCACCGCCATCACTTTGCTTCAGCATTCAGCAACCTTAACCCTTACACGTTAATAATTAGGAGCCTCTTTATACCAACTTGAAAGGTCTTATAGTGCTTGTTGAAGTACTTAATCCACTCTAGGCTGATCTCGTCGCCCGAATAACCACTCTCCGCAGTTGTAATTGCCATCTTGGGGTCTAATTTAGGACCTTGTACCATGGAGATATATAGTGAGTGCTAGAGAGAATAAAGAAGCCTGAGACAACCTCGCCTGCAACGGAGATAGCTTTTATACTAGTAACAGACTCCCTATTCTCTGCTATTCCGAAATAATGAGGGTTTTTTTTTTGTGACAACCATCTGGTCTTTTCCAACCCTTAATCAAAAGCCAGTCTTGTCTATGTTCCACAGGTTGTCAGGGAAGATGCCCTCCTCCCTGGTGACCCTCCTCAACTGCTGAAAGTACTCTTTAGTGCGCTTTGAGTCTTTAGCAGCTTGCTGATCTTGTGAAAGGACCTTTTAAGGCTGCTTGAAGTATCTATGGCGCTTAATGAAGCGAGAGGCTCAGTTCTTGCTAACTATGGGTAGTTCCGTGACCGCGGCACTTGCCGACTCCTTGAGCAGCAAGTTAGCAGCCTCTGTGATGAATTTTAGCCTCACAGAGAGATTAATGGCATCTAGGTAGTCGATATAAGCACAGACGGCCTTTTCTTGTATCATATTCAGCTTGGTAGGTGGTTCTCATAGTTCTTTTTTGGAAGGGATGCCATGCAGGCGGTTGCGAAAGCGCTCCTTTGGAAACCCGAATTGGTGGCAGATACCACATTCGGAGGCATCCGGATGCTCGTCGGAATAATCTACGGCTTCGTGAATACGGGATTCTATCACGGAAAAGTCGTCTGTCCAAAGAGACAATGACTTTGGTGTGATTTTGGCTAGAAGGTGGTTATTTTGGAAGACTGGTGTGTTATTGTGGTTGGTGTGCTACTGTGGTGAGCACCACTTTATGTGGTGAGCCCTAGCGAGGTGGAAAGTGGTGCGGGGCACGGGTAGGTAGTGAGTGACATGTTCACTTCGGCAATCGAATCAACATCGAAGCACGTGCATACCCACATGTGCTCCCCCCTATTTCCAATTCCACTTGTACAGCGATGACGCGATTATTGCATTAGAGGGGTGCTCGGTAAAGCGGGGCATTGTAATCGATAGTGGGAAGTACATGTATGTCCGGACACCGTACTCTTTGCTTGCTTCTGATCAGACTGCAACTTGTCCATATCGCGCCATCACCACCACGCCGACAACATTTAACGCTGTCCCCGCCCACGCGCCAGCCGAAAAACAAAACCCCACGAACATCGCCCACAGAACCAGCTTCAGAGGCCTCTCGTATCCTATTTCCGCAATCTTGAGTCTCCCACGCCGTTCGGGTCCGGGCGACATCAGCAACTCTAGCCCACTCTGGTGCTTAGACCCAGGCGCCCCGACAGACATCATGGACTACGAAGCGCTGAAGGAGCAATGGAGCGAGGTTGAGGACCGCGATGGTGTCCGACTGAGCTGGAATGTCTTCCCCAGCTCGCGCATGGTCCGTGTCTCCCTGCGTCCTGCATTTACACCAGCCGGTCCGAGAAGCGCCTGCTGACTTCCCGTGCAGGAAGCATCTCGCCTCGTCGTCCCCATCGGCGCGCTCTATACCCCCCTGAAGGAGAAACCCGACACTCCGCTGCTGCAGTTCGAACCCGTCACCTGCAAGCAGCCATGCCGCTCCGTGCTGAACCCTTTCTGGTGAGAAGAGATGCTGTCCACTAGAGTTCTCGTGCTGATACTACCACCCGTGGCCAGCCAGGTCGATCCTCGCGCGCGCCTGTGGATCTGTCCTTTCTGCCTCTCACGCAACCCCCTGCCGCCGCACTACAAAGACATCACAAATAATGCTGTCCCGCCCGAGCTGCACCCGTCCAACACCACCATCGAGTACCGCCTCTCGCGACCTGCCCCAAGCCCCCCTATTTTCCTCTACGTTGTCGACACCTGCCAGGAGGATGACAGCCTTGCTGCTCTAAAGGAGTCTTTGATCATGAGCTTGAGTCTTCTCCCCGAGAACGCCCTCGTGGGGTTGATCACCTATGGCACAATGGCAAGGCAGCTCTGCCATAGCCCCGCCGATCTGTTGCTGACAAGGACCTACAGGCTCAAGTTCACGAGATCGGATACACCGAGTGCGCCAAGTCGTTTGTCTTCCGCGGGAGCAAGGACTATTCAGCCAAGCAGGTCCAGGAGATGCTGGGCTTGCTCGCCCCTAGTCTGCGCCCGGGTATGCCTCAGCAGCAGCCCGGTCGGCCCATGATGCCTATGGGTCCCGCCACCAGATTTCTGCTGCCCGTCCAGCAATGCGAGTTCCAGCTTACCAAGGTCCTGGAGCAGTTGCAGAAGGACCCGTGGCCTGTTGCGAGTGACAGAAGAAACCTACGATGCTCAGGCGTGGCGCTTAGTGTCGCCGTGGGCCTGCTTGAGTCGTCCTTCCAGAATGCTGGAGGTAGAATCATGATGTTCGCCGGCGGCCCTGCCACCGAAGGCCCGGGCATGGTCGTAGGGCCGGAGCTCCGTGAGCCCATCCGCTCTCACCATGATATCGACCGTGACAATATCAAGTACTACAAGAAGGCGTTGAAGGTAAGACTTGGGGGTTCCGCTGCTAGGGGTCCCGCTGCTGATCTGACGTGGTCTAGTTTTATGACAACCTTGCGAAACGAACGGCCCACAATGGCCACATAATAGACATCTTCGCCGGCTGCTTGGACCAAGTAGGCTTGCTTGAGATGAAGGGCCTATGCAACTCTACCGGCGGTCATATGATTCTGACAGACAGCTTTACCTCGTCCATGTTCAAGCAGTCCTTCATACGTGTTTTCGAGAAAGATGGGGACGACAACCTGCTGATGGGCTTCAACGCTGTTCTGGAGGTCCTGACAACCAAGGAGCTCAAGGTGACTGGTTTGATCGGCCATGCCGTGTCACTGAATAAGAAGTCGACGTCGGTAGGAGAGACGGAATGCGGCATCGGCAACACATGTTCCTGGAAGATGTGCGGTATAGATCCCAACGCGAGCTACGGTGTCTATTTTGAGATTGCGAGTCAGGGTGGCCCGACGCAGCATCAACAGGGTCACCAGAAGGGCATGATGCAGTTCCTCACCTACTACCAACATTCGTCGGGGCAGTTCCACTTGCGCGTCACTACCATACAGAGGAACCTGAGCGGACCAGCAGGTGACCCGGCCATTGCGCAGTCTTTCGACCAGGAAGCCGCGGCTGTGCTCATGTCAAGGATCGCCGTCTTCAAGGCCGAGGTTGACGACGGTCCCGATGTGCTTCGGTGGGTGGATCGCATGCTGATCAGGCTGTGCTCGCGCTTCGCCGACTACAGGAAGGACGATCCTTCGTCTTTCCGACTCGAGAAGAACTTCACCCTGTATCCCCAGTTCATGTTCCACCTGCGGCGAAGCCAGTTCCTGCAGGTCTTCAACAACTCGCCGGATGAGACGGCCTTCTATCGTCACGTGTTGAACCACGAGGATGTTAGCAACTCGCTCATCATGATTCAACCTACGCTTGACTCGTACACGTTTGACCAGGACGGTGGTCAACCGGTGCTCCTAGACTCGACTTCTATTCAACCTACGCACATACTGCTACTAGACACCTTCTTCCACATTCTAATCTTCCACGGCGAGACGGTGGCGGAGTGGAAGAAGGCCGGCTACCAAGACCAAGAAGGCTACGAGAACTTTGCGGCGCTCCTGGAGCAGCCCAAAGAGGACGCAAGGGTAAGTTTTCGTTTCTGCCCGGTATGCGACGTTCGGGCTGACGCTTACTTCTGTACAGGATCTCATTGGCGACCGCTTCCCTCTTCCTCGGTTCATCGTCTGTGACGCGGGTGGCTCGCAAGCGCGTTTCTTACTGTCTAAACTGAACCCCTCGACCACACACACGACAGGCGCGTACGGAGGCGTTGGTGCGCAGACAGCACAGACCATTTTCACGGACGATGTGTCTCTGCAAACTTTCATGGACCATCTGATGAAGTAAGCACCAAGACAAGTCAGTTCTGGGGGCTAAATGCTAACTGATATCAACAGATTGGCGGTGAGTGGTACTAACTAGGGACCCGCGATGTTTGGTTGGTTGAGGTGCATGATGGTGGTCACTCACTTGGCTCGCTGCTAGGAGAGAGCTTACCAGAAAGCCGAGATAGAAAGCCGGAGGCAGCCAAAGACCATCTGAACGTACTAGCCATGCCTGTTGCATAATGAATGTGAACGCACTCGAAGGGAATCTGCTTCAAGAACCATGTTGTTTAAGGCGGTCGGTGTCAATTAGATCACCTGTCACTGAGAGACTGCTCCGCGCCCAGGTCGAGTGCTACCTACTTAAGAGTCTGGCCGTTGCGAGATGCGGCATGGGCTACATGCGAGTGTGTATTGATATATTTACGCACGGAAGTCTGCAGATGATGCATCAACTCGGTACGAGAAACTACAGGTCTCAGCCAGCGAATGCTCGACGGTTGCTCGGCGTTGAAATACCGTCCGTTGAATGAGTACTGAAGTCAATCAATGGTGCTGAATTTAAATGTTTACATGTAGATAATCGCCTGTCAATAGTTCATAGAATACATACGTGTTGAAGCAGGCAGGCAGGAAGGTGTGAAGGCAGGGGGTAGGTGGCACCTACCACAGCGGCTGACGGATAATCTTCGGGCTGGAGAGACTCAGAGAGGCTGATGATTGATCTGATTGTCTTGGGCACCCCCACTTTTTCGCTGGACCTTTCAGGCTTTCACTGCAACCCCCCGCCTAGGGCTTCTCCAAACCCACAACACCGATTTTCTTTGCCGCTTGTCCATCGCATTGTCAACTTTTTCCCTCCCGGTTGCAGGCGCCCTTGACTGAGGCTCAGAACATCAGATCTACCACGAATCCACGACTTGACAGACTCTTGAGATTCAACCACAATGCGTAAGCCCTCCAAGCCCTCCAAGCCCTCCCCGCTGGTTTGCACGCAGGTGAGACTGACCATGGCCGCCATTGAACAGCTCCCAAGTTTGATCCCAATGAGGTCAAGGTGATGTACGTGCGACTCAACGAACTTCCTGACGCCTTGCGGCCAAACGACATGCGCTCCCTGCCCACGCCGAGCTCTGACTGATTCGACTATTTTGTAGCACCCTCCGAGCCACTGGTGGAGAGGTCGGTGCCTCGTCCGCGCTCGCCCCCAAGATCGGTCCCCTGGGTCTGTCGCCCAAGAAGGTCGGAGAAGACATCGCGAAGGCAACTGGCGACTGGGTAGGCTTCCTGCGCATGCCGGATCTGGCATTGTAATCTCGGGCTGACACGAGTGCGTTGGACAGAAAGGTCTCCGGGTCACCGTCAAGTTGACCATCCAAAACCGTCAAGCCGCCGTTTCGGTCGTTCCCAGCGCGTCTACTCTGGTCATCAAGGCCCTGAAGGAGCCGCCGCGTGACCGCAAGAAGGAGAAGAACATCAAGCACACCAAGAGCATCCCTCTCGACGACATCATCGATATTGCCCGAACGATGCGGTTCAAGTCTTTCTCCAAGTCCTTGGCTGGCTGTGTGAAGGAGATTCTGGGAACGTGCTGCAGTGTAGGCTGCCAGGTTGATGGAAAGAGTCCAAAGATCGTCACCGAGGAGATTGACAGCGGCGAGACCCAAAGTGAGTCTCCGAAGTGGAAGAACGACCCATCCGTGGGATGTACGTACTGACAAGTAGGATGCAGTTCCCGACGAGTAAAGGAACCGGACCGGATAGGATGAGCTGAAGAATGTCTCATTTTCTCTGCATCTTTCACAGGAGTTCGGGAATGGCTTTGCATTAGGCTTCGCCAGGGTCCTCTAAATCGAGACATGAACCAATGCCAGCTGGACCGAGTATTCCGTGGTGACATGAACGACTGACTGCTTGCTTTTCCTGCCTTTAGCCCTACCCCCTACCCCCTACCCAGCACCTTGCCTACACTCCGAAATATGCCTAGCTCTCCATGGTCTATTTCTATTTTGTGTCAAGGAAGAGAAAATCCCGACCGATTACTCACCGCGGCCTCCTGCTGCACAGCTGTGTGGAGGTTGAGGTCCATCTATTCCGGTCGACATCAATGCGAATATTGACTTGGTTGGGAGCAAGGGGAGCCAGGAGTTTACTGGCGTGAGGGTACATGTCAGACCCCTGGCATTCTGCTGCGATGCACGAGGTTGCTGTTGCATTATGGCAAGATGTGGGACCGCCCCACGGCAGCGAAGAGTGATGGGCATGTACTTCACCAGAGACCCGAAAGCGGCCGCACAATCTATACATGCCCGGAGTGGCATGGTGATAAATGGTACGTCACTGGCCAAGTGGCGAGGGGCCAGATGCTCTGGCGAATTGCTGTCCAACCGTTCAGCGTCTCGAGAATGTGGAGAAACTCGAGCCCCAGCCTGGCTTGTTCATATGGGATAACCCAGACGAGTAGTTATGTTAAGGATGTTGAATTCCATGCCATGCAGCAAGAATTCCGAGCGCGTTCCATGTGCCGAGGGGAAGCTGGCAGCGTAGGCGCTGGCAGAGATATGACGGGCTGAGCTGACGTTCCAATTGATGGAATCCGGTGCGACTCGAGGGTGTTGGGCCGTTTGCAATTCGGGCTGATTAGGTCAACATGCAGACAGGGATTGTAAGGTACCGGTGAGATTGAAGATGATGCAGTCTGCCCTCGGTCCATCCACCGCATGCCCCTGTTGCAGTACGTTGTACACCAAGTACGGTACTGCCCTCCAGATGAGCCAGTCGGGCTTCGAATCTCTTTGGGCGCGTCGAATTTGGCATTGCCTGGCAGGTGGCCTTTGATCCGAACGGTGTTGTGGTCAGAACCCACAGACATCTGTAGATTGTAAGTAGGTACATATACGCCTATGTTATGCTTGGGTGGATGATCCCGCATGTACATGGTTTAAATCGCATGTACATACATGTGCTCTACATCTGATCGGAATTCTACTGGTACCGCTTGCAAATGCCAAAGAGATGGCTTCGTTTACAAGTGTAAGCACATGTAAGCTTGGGCTCCACATGGAGCTTACACCCCTCCTGTCGTATAGCCGCTTTCTTATCTTATCCCCTTAAGACCAGTCCTACATAATACCTGTAATGAGTTGTCGGGCTGTGGCGACAGGAGTAGGATGCCAATCAATGAATGTGTTGCACACATCCATACCTTGTACACATAACCCTGTGCGCTGTGCCGATGCACTACCGTCCTTACACTGTACTGCACGCTGTGCGCCATGTTAGTGTGACCGAGGAAGCCAAAAAAAAAAAAAAAAAAAACCCCCGAAAAAAAAAGGCACAAGCGACTTAAAAGCTGTTCGATTATATTAATATAACGCTGTTAACGACTTATAAATCTTTTTGTTTTCTTTTTGTTTATAGTTTTAACAGCTTGTCATTATTATTATTAAAAACCAAATTCAAAAAAATTCAACTTACATATATCAGTTAATTATAAGTTATATATAAGCTTACTTTTTCGTTGATAAAAAAAGCACTTGTTTTAAAGTTAATACTGTTAATAAGTCTCGAATAAAACCGTTAACTAGTTATTTAAAGCTTTATAACCTTATTAAAAAAAATAAGTTTAAGTTTTTTTAATCTCGGTCAAGCGAGGGATACTTATTATTAAACTATTTGTCAGATGTTGGATCCCAGATTTGGTGCCCTTAGGTGCAGTACCCACTAGGGGGCTGTCAAGGGAACAGTGGATACACTCTAGCATGGTGCAGTATGGTATTTAGCTGTAGATTAGCCCTGCTGAGCATACTTGAGAATGACAACAACGTTTGCAGCGACTGCTTACACCCCCAAGGCTTGTGACCCTTCTAGAATCTCACACTATTATAAAAATGCTAGTAATACGGGTAAATCGACGACGGCAAGCTGTTATTTTAACTATTATAATAATAGCTTTTAATTTTAAAAGCCTGTTTAAGAAGCAAGTATTATATACAAATCTTATCATAAGTTTTAAATATATTCGCAGCCTTTTTAACTTAAATAATAACCGGTTTGAACGCATTTTTTATATGATGATGATTAAATACGATGTTTATTATAATAATAAAATTTTTTTAAATTAAATTATAAAAAGCTGTTTATTATCTATATATAAAAATCCGTTTTTTTCGTGGTATAACGCTTTTTCATATAAATAACTATTAAAAGATCGAAATATATAATAAACGTAAAAATTTCGGTTTTTTGAGGTTTGATTTTTTTTAATAACGCTTATATAACAAAATTTAAAGCTAATGACGTTTAAAAGTTTTAAAAAAATCTCTTCAAACTAGAAGTTTTCGCCGTATTTTAATAACTATACTGGGGTTATCAACAGCTTAGAGTTTATTATTAGAGTTTATAAGTACAAAAAGCCGTAATATAATAAAAAGCGATTTCTATTAATTAACTTATTAATAATATATAATTTTAATAAGAAGTTTATGTATATAAATATTAGTTTAAAAGGTTTAATAAACGATATCCGGCTTTTTAACGAATATATATATTGTTCAACAACTTTAAAAGATTTAGAAAGTTTTTCTTTAAAACGTTAAGTTTAAAATTAATAAAAACGGTTTGATGCTTTTTTATAATATGTAATATTATCTTTATAAAAAAAGGAGTTTAAAATTTTTGGTAAAATTTTAAAATTTTAGAGTACGCATAGTTAAACAACGCGATTGAGCGTAAATTCGGCAAGTAAAAACACATCTTTTATATTTTAAAATAATAGCCGTACTTTTATGTAGATATTTATATCAAAATTATTTATGCAATAACAGCGCTTTATAACTTTTTACTCAATTATAATAATATTAACGTTAAAATGTCGCAATTAATCGATTTAAATATTTATATTAATAATAAAAATTACGATGAAGTTATAATCAAGTTATAAAATCAATTTATAAAACTTTGAAAAAAGCCAAGCAAAAAGGTTAGTAATAAGGATAAAAAGATATAAGGTTATTAGAATATTAAATTTACACAGAAAATACATTAATAAAAAGGATATCGGATCATCAGAGTCAAAACATTGGTGTGATGATCGGTCTAGTACGTTGCGTTTTATCCATGGGTCTGTGGGACCAATCTAGTACTAAATACACACCAAAATACAAAGATGTACCCATCCATTGATCCTCCAGCCAAAGATCCCTTGTCTATCACCAATGAAAGCCACCTTTTCTGGTGCTTCCATCCCTTTATTCTGCCAAGGTGCCTGCCTGACCCTTTGTCAGCTGGCAGCCTCCCTAACTGCCACCATACTGCCACTACAATTCTCACAAAGGAAGGTTATTATAAATAATTATTAGTATTTTTGAATAAAAGATTTAACATCGAAATTAATAGGTGTAAATATATTACAGGTTACTTTTATAAATTATAAACTGGTACTTTACTACGGATATATAAGAATTCAATAACTATGTTTAAATCCTTTCTTTAATAGGTTTTTATTAAAAGTGTTAAACTTAACTTTTTAAATTTTCGCGTTTATTATACAACAACTAAATATAATATATAAAAAGTAGCAAAATTGTGACGGTCTGACCTCCTGGAAGTCTGTCAACCCATCAGGGTGGCCTGTGCGCAGCATCACATGACCTGGCGCATAAGACGTGTGGCCACAACTGTACTAGGCTAGGTAATAGTGGGGCGGATGGAAGGATCATTAATCCCACCAGAATTGGCTGGCGGGTCAGATCCTTCTTTCCCTCCCCACCAAGAGATTCTTACACGTAGGTAGTGCAATCAGGACTTTTATGTCCTCATCTTATTTACGCTTCGTGACAGAAATATTTATTTACTAAGAATTTTTTGAATATGTTATTAATCGCGTTTAATTTATGCTAATCGCTTATAATTTATTATATTTACTTAAAACCCAATATTCAGGCTTTTTATTGTTCTTTAACAAACTCATGAAATTTTTTTATCGTCGCTTTTTGTTGGATCCATGCGATTCCAGCCTGCAAACCATCTATACCAGGACCCACATGTATGATTAGATAAGTGATTAGATACCGGATTGCGAGGTCACTTAGCCAGACCTTGAGGTCCAGCTAGACCTCCCAATCCAACCATCAGCAACATCATGACCTTGACACCATACTCGAGTATTATGATTGATCGTTCAAGCCTGTTCCAACACTTTTTATATTTAAAATCGTTAAATATTCGTACCTATTAAAGTTTTACTACACGATATTTTTGGTTCTAAATAAACTAACTTTATAAATAATGACTAGCTTTTAAGGTTATTAATAGCTTTAGAATTACTATTTTTTCTAATTATTATTGATAAGAAAGATCGTATATTTTAAGCTAAGTGTTAACTGTTACGAACCAATAAATACCACGTCCCGTTGGAGGGACAAGGGGAGTACACCAAGAACCAATAGAATCAGGAGCCAGGAACGGAACAATGGGTATTATGGATTACATAACAAAAGGTCACGTGACAAATCACTGGATCAGGGAGTGAGCCAGTGAGCATCACTCTGGGACAAGGTGATCCTACTTCATCAGTGAGGGAGAGATTGGATATATAAGGACAGACATTTCCCAGCTAGATAGATAGACAGTCTCTACCTCAGTGATCAATCTAAGAATCTTAGACAACCCTAAGGTGGGAGAAATCTCCTGACAACTCGGCTACGCAGTGAACCCAGTTCAGACCAAGCCACAGCTGTTGAATGGGAGCCGGAGATAGACACTGGAAGATCTCCAGTGGGGCAAAGACGCACAGGGCATCTGACCCACCAAGAAAACAGATAATCAATCTATGCACGCAGAGCAGAACAATCAATAGCATCCATCAACATCTGTGTATTCAACACTAGCATCTGAGTGTCTTCTAGTTGATGGAAGCCTCTATCGTCCTTTGTGTTGACTTACCTCAGAACAAAAACCCTGCAGAACCCTTTAGCCTTATAGGTTAGACGGCTCGTCACATTAACAAAAAAAACTCTTATCACTAATATTTTATAACGCGATTATACGCTTTAATATTAATACAATTAACGTAATATTCTATTAATACTTTAATCGCATAATTAAAAGACTTTTATTTAAAATCGGTATATAACCTAATTATTACGAAAAAAAGACTGTCAAGAATTCATTTGTTATCGGGTTTTTATTTTTACAGTTATTACTAACTTGAAAATATAACACTTCGATGTCGTTATTTAAATTATTTCAATTGAATAAATCGTTATTAAACTTAATTAGCGCCTTTTAAAGTTTATAAGTTTTTGACGTAACGTGGCTTTGATAGTTTCTTAAACTATTTATTATCTCGTACATTTTCTACGCCGTTAGTAGCGATCATTATAAACTACGAATATATTTCGAGTTGTTTTATACGTTTGTTTACGTTTAAAGTATTTCATGTTAGATAAAGCGATAAATAAAGCCTTTTAATATAGTTTTACAGGTTTTAACGATATATATTAGCATTTAACGGCTTTAACGGTATATAGAAACAGCAATAAGAACGGATTATTATTAGTATTTATTATTTATTTAGTTATCGCCTTACTTTTACCTTTATAAGTATTACGAAAACTAAGTGCGTATTTATTAATCGCTTTATCACTTTTACTTTAAACTTATTTTTAAAAAAATTCGATTTTTAATATCTTTAAAACGAAAACGTTTAGCTTTAAAATCTGCTTTTCACGGTCATAATCTTATAGAATACAAAAATATTCAAATATTTACTTACTTTTATATACTTTATACATATAATAAAATCTTTAATAATTCTTGTTTTAATTAAAGTTATTAACTCTTAATATATTAAACTACGTCGTTATTGTGACGGCCTGCACGGACCTTCCCAAATGATAAGCCGATACTTCCCAATAAGGAAAGGATCTGACCAGAGGATCCCCTTAAAGGGGCAACCTCCCGCTGTACCTATCTCTCTCTCTCTCTTCCTTTCCTCTCTAGTCTTGATATTCTCGTCAATAGAGTAATAGCTGCTTGCTGCCGGCCATGTCCCAGCTCCTCAGTACGCTCGCCGCGACAGTTATTATATTACGTGAGAATTATTTTTAATTTTTAACCTGTTTATAGCTAGTTTATAGCTAGTTTTAACTTAATATAAACGTGAATCGCATTTATAATATTCGAGAATACACGCTTTCTTAAACTAGGTTTTAATATATAAATACCGTTGAAATTTTTAACTTTCATTTATTCAAAACAAAGGGTTTTAAAATAAAACTTTAAATAAAGTTCTTTAATATCATTAATATAATATGTGTTTTGTCGGCTTTTTAGCCTTTGCTTTACTTTTACTATTACTTTTCTTCTATATAAAGGTCGGTTTAAAAACTTTTCTAAAAAGCTAGATTTTAATTTAAAACGGGTAACGTAGATAACAAGCGAGCTGCGAATATAAGCGAGCTTTGAAGTAGGGCTTCTATATATTAAAAGTCGGTGCATAACTGTGCGTCTAGCTTTTTAAAAAATCGGAAATATCTCAGAGCTGCTACATTGAATATAGCCTTTTCTAATAACTAAAAATAATATATAAGAATTGTTTTTTGCTGATTTAATAGCCTGTACATATCAAAAAGCCCTCTTTATAAGGGTGGTTTTAGCGTATTTTAAAATAGATCTTCAAATAAAATATCTATAAACTCAGAAAAGGTGGCATTAATATATTTTTCAAGTTATAAACCTAAAAAAACCGGTCCAAGATCTTTTCTATTTTCCCCTGTTAAGTCAAAAATCAGCGGTCCGAATTTTTTCATATAAAAGCCCCACCTTAGAGCTCGTTAATATTCGCAGCTCGCTTATTATTTACGTTACATTAGTTAAATTTAATAATAGTATTATGTAATTAAACGAAAAAAGCATTTATAAATATTAGCTTTGAATATATTGAAATTTCGAAGTTATTTAAAAGTGTCAAAAGACTATTAAACATATTGAAAGCACGGTGTTAATAAAAAGCCTTTTAATTATAATAATAAATATTACATATAAAATGTTAAGTATTAAAAAAAGATTAAATTTAATAAAAAGAGCTATTAAACATATAACAGTTAATATTAAATATGGTAGTAGTTATTATTATAAATAAGCGTTAATTATAAAAGAAGTTATATTTTTATAAATTATAAATTATATATATTTTTATAAATATATAAATACTAATAAAGTCCTCGTTTAAATCTTATTATTGTTGGATCTATGTGATTTCACAATCAAACCATCCATACAAAATCTACATGTATGATTAGATAAGAGATTAGATACCAGATTGTGAGGTCACTTAGCCAGACCTGCAGGTCCAGCTAGACTTCCTAATCTAACCATCAGCAACATCATGACCTTGACCAAATACTCGAGTATTATGATTGATCGTTCAAGCCTGTTCCAACAATTATAACTATGTTCAAAGATTTTCTATATATTAACAGTAATAATACTAAATTACGTAACGATTAACCGTACTTAAAATAAAAACACGAAGGCATTATTACGATCTTTTTATTAATAATAAAAACCGTTAAAATTAGCAGAATTATTAGCAGTATAATCGATCCGCACGTTATTACTAACGATTAACGGCGCAACGATTATTAGTAGGGCTGCCACTAAAAAATGTCGCGCTAAAGATCTTCTAATTTGCAAGGCTGGCACGGGGTATTAGCATAAGCATCAGCCGAGCGACCGAATACCGCCCTAGGGACACCGCCCTAGGGACACCGCCCTAGGGACACCGCTGGCTATCAGCGCCGTGCGGTAATAACTTATTAATAAGGTACGAGGTCCAGTAGTACCTTAAGCATAATATCCTTAAGTAAGCTCAGCTGGTATCACTAGTATCAAAAACTCCCCAGCCGCGACGGACGTTCGGCTTCCCCACGCCTTTGACCTTCACACCTTCAAACCTTGACCGCAAATCTACCAGACCCGTCCAATCGTCCACCCACCCACCCGTCTGCCCGTCCGATATAATCCAACGGCTCAGATCCACTCTTTCCCGTACCATTTGACTTTCCCATCATCGTCGTCGTCCCTTCGCAGCCGCCGCTACGGCACTCAGTCGTCACCCGTCACCCGTCACCCCGTCATTCTCTTCCTTTCTCGTCGGTCTACGCGCAATTCTTCCTCGCTCTTCCCCGACGCGCCGCCCGACAATACCGCCTGACAATACCGCCCGACGACAGCTCCCTCGACTTCCTGAATCCTGCGTCTTCGTCTCCTCCCGGAGCCGAGGCTTTTCATCGCGAGGAGAGGCAGTGTGGAGGGCAAGGGCCTGCCGACACGCCATTACACTGTGACCAACGTCTCCTCCGTCCCCTCCACTTGTCGGACTACCAATGCCGGAGTCTGTACCTCCAAATGCATGCCGGTCAGCTTCCGTCAGTCGTGTTCTGATCACCAGGCTATCATGAGACCGCTCCTCGCGCCAGCCTCCCGACACCCTGCTTTCAGGTCTTCTCTGTCCGAGCCAGATGTTGCCCCTGGTTCAGATGCACCAGATGGTGCACGCCTCTCCTCGTATCGACGCCCCATCGCTCCGTCAGCCTGATCGACCCCACGACCACCAACGCCCTTTCCGCCCCTTTGCCCGCCCTTCGAGCTCTCCCGGCCAAGTCCTCGGCCCCTCCACTCCTCACCCCGCTTTTCCCATCCGCACCTCTCAGGCCCAGCCACCGCGCCAGGGACATCCGAGATCGAATGGCCTCATGAACCTTCCTTACCTGTCGGAGCCGGGCGAGCACCACCTGAGGCGCAAGACTCCGAGCGGCACCATCGACGCCGGCTACGATGGCACACCAGCTCAGCTCGCATCCGGGCCACCGCCCCTGAAGCACATGATATTGCCTGCCTCATCGAAACCCCTTCCCGCCCCAACACCTCTGCAGCCGGACTTCCGCTCCGCCCTTCATCCCATCCGCTCGTCAGCCGAGGGCTGGGCATACCGGTCGTCTCCGTCCTTCGGTAATCTGGACGCAGGTGGTGCCATGCGTCCCGACTCGAATCTGCTGCCTTTCAGAGGCGGCTGGCCCGCTGGGCCGGCCAACGACTTCCGCTCTGATCTGGCAGCCGACTTCGCCCCAAACGGCCCCTCTGCCACTTATCTCCCCTACAACAACGGGGTCAGAGTGCCAACTGCCCTGCAACCTACATATCAGCATCCGCCGGGGCCTGCCGTCTTCAACAACGGCGGTCTGCTCCCGCCTTCCCCATGGCCAGAGGCTCACGTCCCTGGCTATCACCATGTTCCGCACGCCGCAATGCCCTTGTACTATGGCCTCAACCATCCGGCGATGCCCCACCCCCGATCGCCTGACGCGCTGGTGCCCATGGGCTCACAATTTAATGCTCAATCTCCTTATGACCTGGTCTCGGGTCCCTATCAGGCACCGTCGCAGAAGCTCGAGTCCCTCACGCTCGAGTCTACTCGATATAATTCGTCCCAAGTCCTTGTTCCACACGCTCAATCGCCTGCCAGGTTTAGAGAAAAGGCTCTGGCACATGCACACCGAGCACATGTCGAGTTGTTAGCATACCTGCATCATAGCAAGAAATCTTCAAGCCGCTCTACAGCAGGGACAAGGTCTTCGTCGAAAATGGTCATATTCCCAAAACTTCCCAAGCCGCTCAACCGTTCGTTCAGCGCGTTCAGTCCGCAGCACCCCCGCGATGTGCAAATGAATACCGATGTGAGAAGTGACAACTATGCAATGAGCACACAGCTCCAGACCCCCACAGACTCACACATGCTGCCCGTCATGAAGCACCACTCACGAGGAAATGAAGTGTCGAATCCAGCATTCTACCATCTCTTCAAGGTTGATGGCGCACACGTCCCCAGTGTTGACTCGCCACGCGGTCACACCATTGCGCCTTTGTCCGGAGCCCAGGCCGCTGTCGAGATGCTGACCCACCTGTGCGAGCAGAGCGGCTGGAAATGGATTGACGGCATGCTTCTCGGCGGGTGCCTTCACTATGGACTCGAGCATTACGAGCAGTCGCTCGAGTGGTTTCAGAGGATCACCCGCCTCGATTCTCAGTATGTTTGTTGTTGTTACGTCGATCAGGTAGACCTCCAAGGTGAGCTGACTTTGTGCATCGCAGTCACGTTGAGGCAATCTCAAACGCCGCCGCGGCGCTCTATTGCCTCGATCGGCACGAAGAAGCGGAGAGTCATTGGTTGCAAGCTGTTCGTAGACGACCAAGCTACTTGGAAGCCGTCGAGCATCTCGTGGGTCTCCTCTGTTCAAGCCACCGTAGCAAAGAGGCTGTCGACATCATCAATTTCGTCCAACGCTCGATTCGTCTTCGCGATAGTCGCTTTGGCAGCACTGCTGACCCCGGGGCGACCCAACGGACCAACAATCCTGCCCAGGGCCACGCTGCGCACCAGGCTACGTCCCATGCTGGATCGTGGGGCATCGCTGACTGCTGCGAGGAGTCCAACTCGCCTGGCTTTGGCTCGAGCGGCTATTGTGTGGCTGGTAGTGAGAACGGTCGTGTTATTGCTCTGATCCACGCAAAGGGTAACATGCTGTATGCGCTGAAAGACATTGACCGGGCGTCCGAGGCATTCGAGGAAGCAGTATTGATCAGTAGTGGGAAGACGCTCAACTGTATTCATTCACTCATCCGCAGGATACAACAGGTTCTATCACCCGCGGATCGGCATGGCAATCCGGGACAGAATGATACGCAAACCGCGTCCTCTGGCCCGCTGCTGCTACCGCCGGAACGAGCAAGGCACACTGCGCAGCTGGTCTTTGCCGCCAACGGCGAACTTCCAGGTCTTCGCTTCGTGCCTGACGGTGTACCAAAGAAGTCGGCAATCTCTACGACGAGCAACTCGCTTCTGTCACTAGCAAAGATATTTCAGGACGCCATGTCTAACGGCGGCTCGTACCCAAGACTGATCCGGCAGCCCCCTGGCGTTGGGGACATCCTGGCACTCTATTACCTATCACTGTCACTGTCGGAGAGCCCTTCGACGGCCAATAATGTGGGGATCCTTCTCGCCAGTGTCCAGCAGTCAACGTCGTCTCCGCCTCAGCAGATGCTGGAGCATGCCAACGGGCCCCAAATTCCCGGGATAACCCCTGGCAGTGGACTGGCTCTGGCTCTTGCTTATTACAACTACGGCCTGAAGTTGGACTCGAAGCACGTCCACCTACACACAAATCTTGGCAGCCTGCTGAAGGACATAGGCCAACTTGACCTAGCAATTCAGATGTACGAGCAAGCTGTGGCCTGTGACGGCGGGTTTGATATCGCCTTGACAAATCTCGCCAACGCCGTCAAGGACCGGGGGCGCATCAGCGATGCCATCATGTATTACAAACGAGCCGCCAGCGCGAACCCCCACTTTGCCGAAGCAGTGTGTGGCTTGTCCACAGCTCTCAACTCGGTCTGTGACTGGCGGGGACGGGGCGGAGTGCTGCTCGGCCATGGGAAGTACGACCGTTGGCACGTGGACGAAAATGGTATGCTCAAAGACGCCAGGGATGAAGAAAGCGGTAGTGGCCTGGTGAAGAAGGTGGTCGACATTGTTTCCAAACAACTAGCCGACTCGTCTCATTGGGGTGCCGGCATACTGCGCAGCGGCGTGCTCGAAACCATCGTGTCACAGTTGAAAGGTACGGCAGCCGACGAGGTCAAAAGGGGCTTGCAGCTCGAGCTGGAACTTGGAACGTGGGCTGGCCGGCCATGGGAAGGATCACGACTCCTCCGACTCGTCGAACGTTCGACCAAGGCGGCAACACATCGTTGGTACCAGGACAAGTATGTCCATGGGCGCCTATCACGTACCGGGTACCCAAGGACCAGGCTCCCTGTGTCGCTGGCTGTGCCGGCGGCGCCCACTGTTCTGCCCTTCCACACCTTCACATCCCCACTGACGGCCAAGGACATTCGCATGATCTCGCATCGGAACGCTGCAAGGATTTCGTGCTCTACCCTGCGATCTTCTTGGCTGCCCAGCATGGTTTACCCGCCTCCGCCACCGCCCAATCCGCAGCTGAACATCGGATATGTTTCTTCCGACTTCAACAACCATCCCCTTGCTCATCTGTAAGTCCCTTGTTCGGCAGCCTGCTTACCTGACGTGTGGTATGCTTACTCTCCCTGTCTTGGTAGGATGCAATCGGTTTTTGGGTTACATGATCCTAGGCGGGCCAAGGCGTTCTGTTATGCCACAACGGCTAGCGACAGATCGGTCCATCGGCAACAAATCGAACGTGAAGCGCCTGTCTTCCGCGACGTGAGCAACTGGCCGGCCGAAAAGCTGGTCGACCAGATTGTCGAGGACGGTATTCACATCCTCGTCAACCTCAACGGTTACACCAGAGGCGCGCGGAACGAAATATTCGCAGCGCGTCCGGCGCCGATCCAGATGTCCTTCATGGGATTCGCCGGTACCCTTGGTGCTGAATGGTGCGATTATCTCCTCGCGGACGAGATGGCGGTTCCACCGTCCACTTTGCGGCCACGAAGAAATAACGTCGGTCTTGAGGACGTGTTCCGAGACGAGGAGTCCAGTGAAGCGGAAGACTGGGTGTATTCGGAGAATATAATCTTCTGTCGGGGCACGTTCTTCTGTTGCGACCATGCTCAGTCGTGCGATGCGGACGAGCGAGCCGTCACGTGGCAGGACGAGCAGCGGCGCAGATGGAAGATGCGCAAAGAGCTGTTCCCCAAGCTCCCCGACGACACCATCATCCTGGGCAATTTCAATCAGCTCTACAAGGTATGAAAGGAAAGGCTCGATCCCCCAGGCGGCGGCGATCAGCCCCTGCCTCCCCACCTCCTGTCTTGCTCCCTGCCTCGCCGGGGCCCGGAATGCCTTTACTGTTTACTGACTGTACTGATTAGATTGATCCGTCAACGTTTCGCACATGGTTGCGCATACTCTCCAACGTCCCCAAGGCCATTCTGTGGCTTCTCCGGTTTCCGGAGCTTGGCGAGAGCAACCTGCGAAGGACTGCCAAGGCATGGGCGGGCGAGGAGGTGGCCAGCCGCATCGTCTTTACGGATGTGGCGCCCAAGCAGCAGCACATCTCACGGGCGCGCGTGTGCGACCTGTTCCTGGACACGCCCGAGTGCAACGCGCACACGACGGCGGCGGACGTGCTCTGGTCCAGCACGCCTCTCCTGACACTGCCCCGGTACCCGTACAAGATGTGCTCGCGGATGGCGGCATCGATCCTCAAGGGGGCGTTGCCCCGGACGCGGGAGGGCGAACAGGCGGCTCGGGACCTGATTGCGTCGGACGATGCCGACTACGAGGCCCTCGCTACCAGGCTGGCGGGCGGTCTGAGCTACCGGTCTGCCGACGGGCAGTACTACGAGGGCCGCGGGCGGCTGGTGGAGATGCGCAAGACGCTGTTCGATTCCAAGTGGACGTGTGCGTTGTTTGACACGCACAGGTGGGTATCTGACCTGGAGAGCGCCTACGACGAAGCGTGGCGGCGCTGGGTGGCAGGCGAGGGCGGTGATATTTACCTTTGAAAAAACTGGCGGGTCCACTGTTGGAGAGCGACGGTGGGTCGTCCGGCACCTTGGCCCGCCGTTTCTTGATGCATGGTCGATGGAGTGAGGCGCGCAGATGTCGGGACGGGCGCACTCGCCTTGTGTGTGCGATGTGTTTGAGTGGTGTGCATGTGTGCTCGGTGTGTGCAGCGAAAGCGCGATCTATGTTTTGAACCGGGCAGCAGGGAGTTATGGTAGTCTGAGCAAGCGGGATGCCTGGCACGGATCCTACTGGGCTGTTTTCTGTTTCTTGATGGTATCTCATTTGCATTTCAAGACGCAGTACCCCAACGTCACCGAATGGGGGTTTGTTTTATGGTTATATACATGGTATAGAGGAAAAGATGGCGGACTCGGACCAAGTGCTGGCAGGGTTTCGTCACTCGCGTACGGATTACAGGTGGCCCCGACGGCAGTGGTGGAATTAGGCGTTATCTTGGGGTGGTAATGGCACAGATCAGGAGTGTCACGGTTGGTGGTGATTGTGTAGATATGACTCCAAGAATACCCAGAAGCCGACCCAATACGGTCGGCTCGCGCTGCATTGCTTTGGTAAGCTGTTTATGCCAGGGCTTGACCGCCCTTGGATGCCATGTCGGTCTCGGTGATTCAAGATGTGAGGTAGGCTCGCAGTCATGCAGGCCGTGTGTGATGCGAGACGCAGAAGACGCAGACGCAGACGCAGACGCAGACGCAGACGCATAACATGACATAACAGAAGAGGGCGTACTTGGATGTGAGCGACGACCAGACGCCAGGGAGGTAGGGGAGGTAGGGGAGGTAGAGAGTAGATTGGGAGCGGGGCGGAGATTGGCGGAGCGGGCGGAGCGGGCGGGGCGGGTGTACTGTGGCTCATCCATGTCTCGGACGAGGATGGTATAATTCCCCGTCTCGCCAGATCTGAGATGCCCCAGTTCGCGGTGCGCAGTTCGCACTTCCCAGTTGAGGTCCCAGATTTCAGCGGTTGGCCAGGGACGGGGATGGCCCGGGATATATACTAGCTCGCTTGGCTTTCCCGTTTCGAGAATGGTGCACCGTTATGAATCTAGGATATCTCAGCACGGCCGGAAAGAGATGTGGAAGGGAAAGGGAAAGGGAAATAGTAAAATACATTGACTACCACCTAATAGAGGTAGGTGGGTGTTGTGATTGGTGGTGGTTGGAGTATTGGGTCTAATTATAGCGATGGTGATGATGATGATGATGATGATGATGATGATGATGATGATGACGACGACGATACCATAGGGGTAGTGAAGGGGAGGTTATTAAATTATTACCAGGTGAAAAAGGGTGATTGCGTTGTTGGGCGTCGTCGGGCATTGTTTCTGGTCCTCCCCTCTTTTCTTCTGCCACTGGAGGAGGGAGGAGGGAGGAGGGAGGAGGGTCGCAGTGCGGCTGGATCTGTATCTGGGATCTGGTCTGGGATCTGGGATCTGGGATCTGGATCCAGTGGGCTGGGCTGGCTGGGCATGGCTGGGATCTGCCATGCACTCCCGTTGAGATTTGATGAACCTCAGATCTTGCATACAGTATTGAAAGAGTGATCCGGGGGGTTGTTTCGGTTTTTCCTTTTCAGCTTTCACTCTGGCAGGGTGAGAGTCCCAGGAGGACGGGACAAGCCACGCATCTGAAGCTGAGAAGCCCCCGGTTCGATAGATGCTAGGAAACGCTCACAGCCGTCTCGGTGAACCCTGTCGCGATCTGGGGTCAAGACTCAACGGGTGCTGGTTCCATGGGTCGGTCACCCCCTGGGATGGATCATAGATCACAGATATGCATCAACGACCACCACTCACCTAGTCAGTGAATGAAGCTCAAGTCATCCCAAATAGGCAATATACTAGTGGCGGCTCTCCACTTTGGCCACGGGTTGAACTACTGCGATAGAGTTCAGTCGTCTGCCGGCTAGAGCTGTCAGGCTGTCAGGCTGTCAGACTGTCAGACCGGGCGGGAGTCAATGTTCGTGTCTAGGTACCTCGTATATGTTTACCTTGGTATAGTACGGGCAACCCCAGACCCGACCCAAGCAGAACCATGATGGATAATGTCCGTCTTTGACTGCTAGACTAGTTGAAGGGCTTGAAGGGGGGGAGGGGGGGGGGGGTGCGTGGCACCTGTGTGGGTACTGCCCCCTACGCCCACCCCCATGTTCTCCTTCCAAGTTCCAAGTTCCAACTAATAACCTAGGAGGAGCCACGTCTCTTGTCTTGTACTAGTATCTCTACGCACATCAGCCCCTGCAGCCCCTACAAGTCCCTTTTCCGATCTCCCAGTCTCCCTGGCAGGTGTACCCACACCTTAAACCTAGGTTATGGTCCTGCACCGCTTACCTAGGTATATACCTAGGTACATACATAGGTACATCCAATGTTGTATCCGTCCAGTCTATTATATAGTCATCTCTCCCGTCCGTGTCTGGTCTCTGGTCTCTGGTCTATGGCCTGTGGTCTCCCGGTCCACTCTCTCTCTCTCTCTCTCAACTCTCAACTCTCAACTCTTTCCTCTATATACCCAAGCCAGCCAATCCCATCCTTCGCCTCTGTACAAAAGTCATACCTACCTAGGTAACATTCCTACTGAGTGTCAAGTTTGTTAGTCCTCACATGTCAGGCTTCAGGGTTCAGGCTTCAGGGCTCCCTTATTGCCTCTTATTGCCTCACCCATATATACCACTACCACTACCAGCACCCAACCTGCACTCTAAATCGTTAGAGTTTCACCTCAACTACCTCAACTACCTCGACTGAACCCTCCCGCCATCTCTCACGCGACGTTGCCGAGACGTTGCGCCGACGTTGCCACTGCCGAGTTCGGAACGGCCCGTCCGCGTTGAATATTGAATTCTTTCCTCCCAGCGGTTTGGCGTGTAAAACCGTCTTCAAATACACATGCACGACCGCACAACCCATCCTCACGAAATCATGTCCTTGCCGCAAAAGAGAGGACCGTGGTCCCAGCATGAGGACGAGGTCCTCATGCACCTTGTCCACCAGCAAGGCCCCCTGAACTGGGTCCGAATCTCACAGCAACTCAACTCGAGAACGCCCAAGCAGTGCCGGGAGCGCTACCACCAGAACCTCAAGCCGTCGTTGAACCACGAGCCCATCACCCCCGAAGAGGGCCTCCAGATCGAATTCTTCGTCCACCAGCTGGGAAAACGCTGGGCCGAGATCGCCCGGAAACTGAACAACCGGAGCGACAACGCGGTCAAGAACTGGTGGAACGGCAGCATGAACCGCCGCAAGCGCATGATGCACCGGAGGGGCCCCGGAGCCGGAGCCAGAGCCAGCTACGAGGACCCCGAAACGAGTCACCGCTACGCCCGATCCCCAGCACCGCCACGCCTGGCCACGCTGCCGCCGTATTCTACCTACCCGTCGTACAGGCAGCCGTCTCCCTCGGCCCCGCGCCTCAACTGGAATCCCCACTCGGGCCTCCCATCGCCGTCGATCACGTCGCCGGGCGCCGACTCGCTCGACGGTGCGCCCTCGTTGTTGTCGGACACGGGCTCGCCGTACAACGCGACGTCACCCACAGCAGGACCGTTCAACGAGGCGCCCATCGAGCTCCCACCGCTGCGGTGGGGCGACGCCGACTCGCCCAAGAACCTGACGTTCGGCCCCGGTCCCGGTCACGGGCCCAGTCCCACGCTTCCGCCGTTGAGCGCCAGGCACGACCAGTTCCGGCTGCCCCCGATCCGTGACTGCGTGGACGAGCGCAGCTCACTACCCACGGCACCGAATTCACCCGTGCAGCCTGCGTCAAGACTACCATACCCTCACCTGTCCGGGCCCAGTCGCGACGACGAGCGGAGCGAGCAGATGGAGAGGATGAGGATGAGCAACTTTGTGAACCGAGTGGTCGCGTGAGGTTGACCTCATGGGCGGGGAAGATACGACAGCGATTTGACATTATATTTCACGATATGGATACCCCGGAGGATGTGATGAAGATGATCGGTGACGGCCAAACGGAACTCATGCCGAAACTGTACCATTATTACATGCAATAATGCCCGGGATGCTATTGCACCATGGAGCAATCACTAAATGCTAATGGAATATATGATACCACCACCCCGTCCAGCTACTTGTATATACAATGACCACCGTGATTGATCACTTATGTGGTGGCTATGTGGTGGCCTTGCTACGTGAATAGCAGTGGCTACCTAGCAAGCTGTTTGAACAGGCAGGATTCTGAAATCTCGTGGAAGAAACATGCCGCGAGACGGGGCCCGGGTATGCGTCCCAATGCGGCTAGAGAGGATGGAAAAGCCACTTGACTCGACCAAGGCACCAAGGCCAGTGACGGTTGACGAGCCGGGACATGTTCAATAATCAACGCTGCATGTTCAAGGCTGAACCCGGGGCAGGATCCAGGTCGGGAGGCCGGGAGGGTGACGCTTGGGAAGTAGCGTACGTTACAGAAGCATGCATGTCTCTGCTCTGCGCTGCGCTTGGGGCCGGTGGAGTAGGAGTATGTAGGTAGACAGTGTGTAATATAAGAAGAATGCCCGGACGGCCGCTCGCTGCATCTCTGGGACCCCTGAACGGGACAGCGCAGGAGGACTCCAACGGTCGAGTCGAACGGCCGGGATTAAACTAGCACAGACTGCACAGACTGCACAGACTGCACAGACTGCACAGTAGGAGATCCCTGCTGTGGAACGCTTGCTAGCTCAGGCTTGGTCAGGTAGCGAATCGGCCGCCATGCTGGTTTCGTGATGATACATTACTGACTGAGGAACAACAAGAGGTTAGTTGGAACTGGCGCGTGCCAGGTTGGGCAAGAGTCAAGACGGCAAAGGAAGACATTGTTGACAAGCTAGCCCGGCCGGTGAGCTACGCATTAGTAGCAGACTGTGCCATGTGGTTGGTGTGTGCTTGGCTTGTGGTGTGTGGTGATAGATAGATAGATAGACAGATAGATACTGTAGATCATAGCAAGGCGGTCAGTCAGCCGTGGACCGGGACCACCCCTGACCATCGGGATATCACTAATGTCACGAACACGCAGCATCCCTGCCGCGGCATCGGGAACGGGTCACAGATCATCACAGATCGCAACAATCTGCGGTGTCCACTGGTGTGTGGGATTCGATGGTGATCCACGGCAGGGAATGTGTGTGATCGACCGCCCACCCGGGTTGCCAGCTTGCCGTTCCCGTTCACGTCCCATCCATCCACCGTCCAGTAGCCCAGATGGCAGAAGAGAGAGAGAGGGAGAGAGACTGACGTTGCTTTCTTGCCACGGCCCACTAGACCACCACATGAGGTTTTGTTATTGTTTCCCCGACCAAAAGGGGGAAGCGCTCGCCCAGCCCAGTTAGGCTCGTTCATCGCTCATCGCTCATTAGCATAGCCAACGGTTTTCTTTTACTACTTTTACCTACTAGGTAAGCACACAAGGTAGCGCACGACGGTCGACAGCTCGTCGGCGCTAGAGGGGGTATGTCATCTTACCTTTCCATTTTTCTTATATTACGGTAGCAAGGGATGGACCATGACGCCCATGAACAAAATCCGCGCAGCTGAAGACATTGGCCGTGTTGCTTTTTACTTCTCGCTCCTCGCAAATTTACTCCTGCCGCGGCCATCTCCTTGGGCCCTGTCTGCCTGTGTTGAGGACAGGCTGGGTCACAGGCTGGACAGGCTACCCTTGTTGACCTGTAGAGTCGAGAGTCGTCGGGCACGGAGCCGAAATGAGGAGCTGATGAGGAGCTGAGCTGGGCACTGGGCAGCTGGGCAGCTGGGTGGAAGAAGCCGTTCAAGCATGGCAAATTTCAAAAGCATCCCTGGACCCTGGCAGGCGGGCAGGCGGGCAGGCGGGCAGGATGTCATGGTTGATTTATAAAACAAGCTGAGGGTCTTTTGTCACCACTGACCAGTCGCATCTTGCATCTTGTCGACGACAGATGCGACTACAGCGGTAATGTTACTATTCCCTGGGAGTCGAGACTATCTACAGGCTAGCGCTTCGATCCGCGGGACCACCGTGGGACCTTGGCCATCATGGTGCCGGCGAGTTATTAGGCGCCGTTGCACGTTGCGAGCGCTGTGCTCCTACTCCAACGTCCAACGGTGGGCGAGCGAGCGAGCGAGCGAGCGAACGGGCAACCGGTTTGCAGTCGCCGGCTCCGGCGACTAGCCACTCTGTCTGTCTGTTCTCGGAGATGGGGCCTGCAAGAGGTCCATGTCACAGCGTTGGACTCGAGTCTCGAGATGGTCTCACGTTGGGTCGACCGTCGACGTTGGACACGGCCCACGGTCGTAGTCTGTAGATACCCGATACCCTGTGCCAGACTCCCCAGTAGGTAATCCACCCGAGGACCCGGTCGATCATGACAATGCCATGCTTTACCATGCAACCGTGATCACTGATGCTACCACACCAACCCGAGACACGACGGTGACCACTGACCTGTCCTGTAGAATAAAGGGATGCGGAAAGACAGCCGCGCCGACGTGTCCACGGTCATAGCCATGCGAGACATGCCCAGAACAACAACAAGTCCCTCCTCCTATTCCTTCTTCTCCCGACACGATGGGATGGATACTTGGTGGTAGGGCATGACTCGCGCAGGGATGCCTCATTACTGCTTCAGGCATCATCGTTGCACTCGCAGATGACGGATGCAGATCAGGCCTGGTGCAGATCAGTCCAGATGTCCTCTCTCCCCCTTCCTGGCTTCTCTGTGGGGATGCAAGATCCAGCGCAGCCAGAGATTGTGCAACCCACCAACCCACCCAGAGGCAGAGCCAGAACGAGAGCCACCAAGTTTCTCTCTTTCTGTCGTAGACCCGTAATAACATCCTGCCGAGTGTCGCCAGTGGTTCCGAGCACCCGGCATGAACGTGAAAGAGGTACAGTGCATCCATCGAGGACCCATCGTCTTGCTCTACCCCGGCCGAGACGAGAGCAAAGGTGTAGGTAAGGTACGTATGGAACCAAGCGCGGCCGCACTGGTGATACAAAACACAAAATCACACAACGCACAACGCACGACATGCAGCCATCATCGTTGCCGTCGTCGTCGTTCTTCTCATGGCCAACCGTCCAGACTCCAGACCAGACAGACGGGACCATCCGAGCGACCGTGCGCCGTCGGAACGCTACATGTCTGAGACAAGCAGCAACCGATGAAAAGGAAAAAGCAGAGGCGAACGGTTGTGGCACGCCAACTGGCGGTAAGCAGCCCCGTGCCCCCCTCCCCCCTTCTCTCTCTATCTCTCTCTCATCACACTGTCTCTCTCGCCCGCCCACTCGCACACCCACTCGCACCCTCCCTCCCTCGCCGCCTCGTTTCCCCCAATCTCCGAGCGGTGGTGGCGGCGGCGGCCCAGCGATCTGGTTCAACTGCCCTCGGTTATCGACCAGATCTCCCCCGGCTGTCCAACGTCGAATCTCGATAATAATAGCAGGCATCGTAATAAAAGCCATAAGCCATAAGCCATAAGCCACCAGCCACCAGCCACCAGCCATCAGCCATAGTCCCCCGTCAACCCAGTCAACGACACACGGCTGGCTGTGCATCACATGGCAGACGTTCAACACTGTATGGGCTCGTGAGTACATCTCTTATCTGCACATCCGATCTCCATCTTTGCGCCCCGGGCCACAGAGCTTAACCTTATGAGAGTTGTGACACATGAGGCTTATTACTTCTACCCACATTTGCATGCCACGTAAACCTTGAAGAGGTCAGAGGTCAGAGGTCAAAGGTCCGGATTCAGAGTTCAGACGGATGAAATGGCGTGCTCTCTCTCGCGCGTGTCCCCGCTGTAAGTGTCAACGAACCCTATTCTAAGTTCTTCCTCTTCCTCTTCCAAGCTTCCTCTGCCACCTGGGGAATCCGAGTCCGTTGCAAAGCCCGGCACGCTACCGGTACCAGCAGACGTCCGTGACAGGCCAGTACCGGTACTGTTCCGGTATGTGGGAGACCAGTGACCACATGCACACCATGGTCCGGATGAGGATGCGGCGCCACCACTGCATAATCACCTTGTCTCTTCACTGCGCCACAACAAAGCTACACACTCGAGTCTCGGCCGAACAGATGGGCCTACACACCATGGGTGTCGACGCAGTACCCTCGTCTTGATACAGACAGCCCCTCGGCATGATCACTCCACACCCCTGCTCGTACTGTTGTACTGTTACTAGGTACATACTATCAAGTAGTAAGTAGTATGTGCCCCTTATCATTAACGGCCACCACTGAAACCCCAACTGTGGCTTCAAAGCTTCTGCCATTTACCTAGCCTTAACTCAAGCTTTCATCATGGCTTCACCTCTAGCCTGGTTCGGGTGACCATCCAGGAGAAGAGCGCTGCGCCCAAAGTCTGTGTGTGGTGTGTGCGCGAGAACAGTCAAGGCAGGGGAACCGTCATGGCAGGTCTACTGGGGTTACTGCCTCGGCAACGGCTGCGTTGTGTGCCGTGGAACTCGACGTTTCCGTTGGGCCTTTCCATGTGCGCCGTTGCCGACCACCCGTCACCCTCGGTTGCCTTGCTCTCGGCTGCTGTTCCTGGCCACCGCACGTGCCGCGGCAATGCGCGAAACGTCCTTGTCCGCCTGCTGCTTGCCGGCCGCGTCCCGTCCCGCGACGGATCCCTGTCCCCATCCCGAATCGGGCCCAGGGCTGCCCTGACTGGGAGATGATATCCTCATCACCGTCCTTCTGCTGCTGGCCGTGCTGGCCGTGCTGCCCAACGAATCCTGGCTCGTCATCCCCGGCTGGCCCTGCTCACCCCGCAGGGCCGTATGGCTGCTGCTGGTAGAATCGTCGACGCCACCGCGGTTCTCCTAGACCGCTGAGGCGCTCCCTTCCCCTCGAGCATTCGACGGCGGCGCTAGGCCACCCGCAAGCCCGCCGTGGCTTTGCTGCCTGCGAACAGGTGAACTCTGTTGGCCAGCATCTGTCCGGCGTCGGGGAATCTGCTCATAACGCCGCATCTCGATGCCTTCGCTGGCCACCTCGTCCTCCTCGTCTTGGCCAGCCCGGTCGGCCAACGGTGGGAAGATATCATCGCCCTCGGCGAATGAGAAGCCTGACAAGCCTCGCTGATGTCTATAGTCTCGCTGGTGTCTACCGTCATGCTCCGACATGGTGTGGCCATGGGGTGCATCGGAGGCGCCACCATGGCTCGCAGGCTGGTGGGCTTGCCGTTTCGGCCTATTGCTATCACCACCTCGACTGTCGTCTGTTTCACTGCCGAGCAATTTCTCTAGCACCTGCTGTCTCACATGCTTCTTGCCCGATACCGAACTGTCCAAATAAACTTCGGGGCTGCCGCCGTCGCCCGCTGGCCTTGGAATGTCATCGCAGAAGAGCGGCCGCGTCGTGCCAACACTGGCTTGACCTGGCCTTGGCGCCACTGTCTTGTCCATCGTTGTACTGTCACTTCTCGGGCTTCGTGTGGCTTCTCTGGGCCTGCCCTGTCGTCTACCCCTCAAGTCGGTAGCGCTAGCTCTCGCCACCGCGTCGGTTCGTCGAAACCTTTCGCTCATGAGGAAATCGTTTGTGCTGTCTAAAATCTTGGGAAGGGGAGTTGGGCCTACGTCGAGTCAGTCATGGCTTTGTACCCGTGGACTCGGCTGACCTACGCTGATTATCGGGTGATGCTTTGTCTCGGTCCAGGTATTCTCGATCCATGGTGGTGCCCTGGGGTTGCAACTGGTCGGTTATCCAGGTCGCAGACGACGATGACGACGATGACGACCCTGTCACAATACGGCCATGTTAGCTTCAGCTTTCGGCCGACTTCCAGATACACGCAGACCGGACACACCTTCTGTGACGTTCTTGCCGAGTCGTTTGAGCCTTGAGAGAAAGTGCCTTGCGCCGGGGCCGGCCCTGTCGACGACGCTGTTCGTCCGGGCCAGGGTGACAGCCTCCAGCCCGTCCTGCGAGGTGCGGGAGAGAAGCACCTCGAGCCGCTTGATCTCGGCTTTGTACTGCTTCTCCCGCTCCATCCAATCGTCAGCCACCAGTCTGCACTGCTCCAGAATCTGCTCGAGTGACTGCTTGGCCTCGGCGCAGGCGGCGTCTGCGGTGCGGATCTTGTCCTGAGAGTCGGCAAAGCCCTCGATGAGGTGTAGGACGTACGTGTTGTATTGGACCGGGATGGGCTCGAGGATGCCCTGCGTCATGATGTTGACTTGCAGTACCTCGACCATCTGGTCCAGCGACGGGTTGTACCAGATCTTGTCCTGGTCACGCACCAGCAGACTCGTCTCACTGCCGCCCGGGAGGGGCTCGGGCGAGAAGGAGGCACGACTGGCCAGACTCAGATAGCTCGGGACTCGAGATGGACCGGGCCTGCGGTGGTCGGTCCCCATCTGCTGCGACTCCCGGTCTCGCGGCGGGGCACGTTCCGAGGATGTCGGCGACCGGGTTGCGTTGGGTGTGCGGGAGCGCTGCCCCAGTCGAAACCAGCTCAAGTCGGCCACTTTGCTCAAGTCGGCCATTCGTATATATCTCAAAGTGTCGAGTATGCTACGTGGCTGTAGCTGTGGCTGTGGCGGCGGTGGAGGAGGAGGAGGTTATTGCATCGTATTGCCGTGTTTTGTGCTGGAATGGTGACTTGCGGTGATAATAGACGAAGCCACTTGCCTACTATGATTATCCCACACACCTGCGAGAATGTTCCGAGAATGTTGCTGGCATATGCGAGACGTGACGGTCCCAATGATTGTAGGGAGTGTGTCGACGACAGTGGAGGAGTGACCTAGGCCAAGGTAGGTCAGGTAGGTCAGGTAGGTAGGTACCTGGCAGCTGCCTGGGTAGGTAGATACCTCCGGTAGAAAGGAGTGGAAGCCACCACCAGCAGTAATGGCAGTAATGGCAGTAATGGCAGTATGGGCAGTATGGGCAGTATGGGCAGTATGGGCAGTCACCGAGTGCGTCTAGGGGTGCGTCTGGGGGTGCGTGACTGACCCAGACCCAGACCCAGTCTCGTCATCCCGACTTCAATCTTGCTGGCCGTGCATGAATCAACCTTTTACCTTTACTCCGAGGCAGAAGGCAAACAAACGTCTTCAATGTTGCAAGTGAAACCACTGCCCGTCCGCCCGTCCGCCAGTCGCCCGCTTGCCCCAGCAACATTGAACACAGTGGTCTCTACCCAACTTACCTATTAGTCTAGCAACACATGGTTGGTCGGTCATCCAAGGAACACACCGCACATTGGGAGCCAAAACAAACAGCAATCTGCGCACCGCGCGGGGAATCTCTCGATTCATAATTCACCGTATGTATGCCTATTGTATAGGGGACGCCACTGAGATGAGAGGGACACCCTCCTCACCCCTCACCTAGGTACGTGAAGCTTCGCTAATCAACGCCTTCCTCCCACCAGCATCCAGGCACTGCACGCCCTGCATGCCCATGTCTGTCCCATGGATGCGCAGATCAGTCAAACAGATCACCTGCCCTCTGTCGCCGTCTCGACCTGCCCTCGAGCCCCTCGGCAAAGTGCTCCTTCCCAGAACTGCTGCCGAACTTGTCGGGAAACAGCTCCTTCACCGACTTGCCCGCTACTCCCTTGATGGCAAAACCCTGGTCTGGCCGTCGCTGACTTGCTGCACCACGAATACTGAAAGTCTTGTCCGCCTTGCGACCCGGGCTTGAGATTCTGTCGGCCAGTCTGCCTTGCCCCGGAGCCGTGATGCGATGCTGGAGCTTCCGACCTTGTGTCGGCGGCGTATCGCTGCTCCCATCCATCAACGGCAGCATGATGCCCTTGGCCAAGAGGGTGGCCGCATCTTCCACGCTGTCCCCGAGACGCCCGCTTCCCGAGCCTGCCTCGTCCGGGAACAACTCTCGAGTCCTGGTTCTGCGAGACATGTGGCTCTTGATGGCCCGTGCCTTGTCACGGTTCCGATCACGTGCTGCCGATCCTTCTCTCGACAACCCTTCAGTGATGTCGCCGTCTCCATACCGAGCACGCGCGGGTGAAGCAGAGCGATCCCGGGAAAACCCGCCATTCCCGCCCGCATCGCCCGGGAACAGTTCCTTGCCACGGTTTTCGTTGTGATACGACCTCCTCCGCTGCTCATCCCGCTCCGAGTCGGGCGTGTATGATCTTCTGCGTCGGGCCTGTGACCTCGGCGCCTGGCTAGCCTTGGAACCTTGGTCGTCATCGTAGAGGCTGACGTCAAAGTCATCGTTGCCCTCCTCTCCACGCATGTGTCTGGCGCGGCGGCGAGAATAATCGTCGCCATCCCGGTCCCGGTATCTTCTGCCCTCATTCCGCCGCCGCCGTTCTTCGTGGTCATACTCGGGGTTGAGGAGGTAGAACCGACTTCTCGATGCCGCACCTACTTCCTTCCTGTCGGAAGCAAGAGCGCGTCGCACCTGGAGCGCGATCTCGGGCTTGTTGGAGTATGCTTTGGCCGCGAGGAGACTGCGCGCCGAGAGCTGGGAAACGTCGTAGATGGCTTCAGCGGCTAGGGCAATGAGAGCCTGCGACGCCTCAGGTTCTGAGGCGAAGAGGAGGTTGGCGGAAGAATCGTCTATCCACTCTATGCGCTCGAGGGGGCTCTCGGGACAGCACTCTGCGACGTATGCCTTGATATCGTCGGGTTTCAGGATGTCGAGGCCTCTGATGTGGACCTTGGTAGGGGCCAGGGCTTCGGGGTCTTCGTCGACTTCGCCGGGGGAGCGGGAGCGGTTGCCCTATGCGACACGACGATGATTAGCATTGGAAGGCGTCGCAGGGATAGGCAGGTAGGTGGAGGGGGCTCAAGCTTACGGATGTGTATTGGAAGTCGGGCTCGGCCACAATGGGCTCGTCGGCAACGAGGTCCACATCCACATCCACATCCATCTCGAGGTCCAGATCCATCGAGTCCATTGCGCCTGCTCGGTCTGGTTGGTGTAGTCGATTAATAGCTATGCGCGCTCGGGGAAGCACTTGTGCGAGGGGCACAAGCGTTTGTGCGGGTTGGCCTGGGTGTTGGAGGAGAATGGCAAGCCGTTGAGATAACTATGCGCGAAAGTGCCGGGGACTTGGCGCTTCTCCCAGGGGCCAACTGACTGGAACCACAGCAGCCTGGCTGCGTGTTCCGCTGCAGATTGGGCTATCCAAGGCCTGTCTGCACAGGCTGGCACATTAGTTGGTGAAGGAGTAACAAGGCTGGGCGGCCAGCTTTGCGGGAACAAGGTAGAGGAAGGTGTGAAGCAGCTAAACTAAAGAAGTCATGCGGTCGACCACCAAGTACCTGCCTGCCTGGGAGAAAGAAACGTGGAGCGACGGTAAGTATGTAGGTATGTAGGTATGCAGGGTGAGTTTGCAATACGGTTGATACAAAGTCGCCTCTGATGTTGGGAGCTGTTATGGGATGCACGTGTGTTAAGAGTTGAGTTCATGCGGCGGGTGCGTGTAGGTCGAGGAATGATGCGCGTTGGAGAAAGAGCCCCACTACTGATCTATTCCTAGCTGGACGGATCCGTACCAGCACCGGTACGTGCATATTCACGCGGGCTATGCACACTGATGGCACATGTAGGTATACGCAGTACATGTATGCACAGACTGGCTGGTGCTTCTACATACAACATACATGCATGCTAGGCACACAAATTACATTCACAGGCCTGTAACTCGATATTCCAACCTCACCTTGGATTCAGACCATGTCCATAGTTCTGAGAGAAACCCTGTCACTGCAGGCTCCTGCGGCTTTCACCTGTCTTCTTGGCAGTACGATGAAGCAACTCCAACCACCGGTGCCCCTAATCGATTACTTGGGCTGCATACTCGATACCTTAGGTACATAACCACAGGAGATTCTTGACATGCAGCAAAGGGATTGATAGGTATCCCACAGCCACGCATCTATTGTTAGTCAGGTAAGCCTATACCTAGCAAGACTGTCCCATCTACTACTTGGAGTCCCCGCTGCCAAACCCCCGTCTCACCGGGCTCCTATTACCAACTTTCGCAGCCTCCTTCCCCTTCGTGGCACCAATACCCTCCACTGACTGCATCTCAACTGCATCTCAACTCATATACATAGCAAGGGAAGAGACGAAGCGGGGCGTAGCTGATTCGAATCTCGTCGAATCATGTGGTATTTCCTCCATCGTTTGTTTGCGCCAATCGCCAGAAAAACAAGATCCTCTCCATGTCTATTCGCGTCTCGTCGTACCCTTGACTGTGCATACCCAAATACGACATTCTAAACCGTCTCCACGCCATGTCTACGAAGTTCCAGTGGCGCCTGGATGCACGTCCGCTGTAGTTTTGGCCGAGAGCACTCGGCGCCATCCACTGCCGATGGTGAGCTGAAGCTCGGGGCGCGCGACATCTCCGACGCCGTCCGCTTCAGGGACGGCAATGGAGGCATGATATCGCCAGCCGACGGCCGGTCCTCCTCGTCCCCGCCGTCCTCCAGATTCTCACTTGGGTCCAGCAGCGAGTCATACTCCCAGCTGGCTTCGAGACCTTCAAGGTAACACGGCGACCGCCGGAGGAAGTGCCACGAGAACGAGTCGGAGAGCAGGGCGATGTACAATGATTCCACCTTTCCGTTTGGACAGCAGACGGCACAATGCCTCTGCAGGAATTCTAGATCATAGTTGGACCCGACTAGACTCGCCTCCAGGGGTCTGAGCATCGGGAGGCCCTGTAGCGTGACCGCATCGCAGAGTCGTGCCTGCAATGGCACCCAGGCTCTCCCCCGGAGGAGACTACCGAACGCCTTGGCCACGGCCGTGGCAAACGACTCACTGTCTGACCCGCCGACCGCTAGCATCTGATGGAGCCCGCGGGACAGGCAGCGTTTATAGGCATTGGTGTCTTTCTATTGTGCGTTAGCGAATGCTCCATCTACTGGCTCCCGGCGCTCCCCTACGCTCGGCCCAAGTGGACCCGGCAGAGACATGTTCAGGGGTAGGACACAGTCCAGTCTCAACTTGTTGACGGTGTGGAGAAGAGAAGAGGGGACCTTCAGAACACTGACCTCGAAAGGAAAAGGCTGCGATGCCGTTGGCAAGAGCGATACATGCACCGTCCATGGCTCTGCCTGCTTGGATTCGCTGCCCTCGAAGGCCGCGGCATGGGAGCTTGGGAGCGGGGCATGCCCTGCTCGTGGCAACTCGGTTTCGCGACTGCTCGATGGCCAGTCCCGTTGTGTAACCGGCCACCTCGTGTTCTTGGATTGTTCCGATTTCGCCGTCGAACTCGGCCTATGCTGGCTGTACTGGGTCTCCCGAACATCGTGGTATTCCAAAGCCTCCACGCGCTCTTCCAACGCCATCGAAGCCTCGTCGAAATCTATGAGCCGGTCGCCGAGTCTCTGCAGGGTATCATCATGGTCGTCTAGGCGTTCATCATACAAGACGGACGTACTCTCGTAGAGAGCCTGTCTCTCCTTGAGCTGGCCGACCGATTGCCATACAAGGTTCAGGTTCCTGTAGCAGTCCCTCATCTCCTGGCTCGCGTCCTCTTTGTTGCCCTCGACCTGCTCCTCTAGCTCTCCCAGTCGTTTGACGACATCTCCGAGGGCACTGCCGATGCCCGTGTGGTTCTCCCGGTCCAGCTGTCCTTCAAGGACCTGTATCCGCCGGCGAAGCCCGTCCACCTCGCTCTTGTCCAGAGGTGGTTCGGTGGACTTGATGTGATAGCATGACAGGTGGCCGCACTGGCAAGAGACGCCGGGCAGGCCGCGGTTGAGTGTGAAGCCGACACAGGCGCAGCGCAGGCCCTTGATTTCGGGGTTGAGAAGGATGTATCGGCATTGTCCACTAGGCAAATTCTCTTCGTCGGCGAGCCCTCGAGCGACGGGGGCTGGCAGCGGCCGGGGCGACGGCGAGGACTCTGCAGACGACATATCGGTTGCCTGACGGGTACGGCAACCAGGTCTAGAAAGAAGTGTTTCTTCTGGGGACTGGGTGTCCCCAAACACGGTGGGCGCTATGCCGAGCGCAATCAGCGCTCACTGGCGACTTGTACTATCGGATGCGACGTGGAGAATATGGCAACCGGCTGGCGGGGTCTACTCGGTCCATGGAACAATTCTGGGGTGGCACGCAAGCACCAAGCTCATTTGTCTAGCAGTAGGATCAAAACTCAAAAGCAAGGGCGGTCGGGTCGTCTTGACTCCTTTGCTGGCGAGGCGGACCAGGTCTGAGGTCAAGCAGGATGGCGAGAAGCGAGAAGCAAGGCGGTCGGACAGGGCCACAGTCATTATAGAACGGTTGATTCGGATGAGGTGCTATTCTGGGCAATGGGATCAGACCGGGTTCCACAGTTCGTTATCAGTGTGCCGGCCGTCTTGCTTGTGATTTTTCTCTAGCGACTGGGGGTGTTGACAGGCGAGGTGCGGGTATCTAGCAGCCCCTGCGTATGAAATAGTCAGGATGTTGGCGGCGACAACTTGACTGACAACTTGCACGGTGTGTGATGGCCGATAGCAGGTGAGTTATGGACAACGGCACAGAGATAGGCATCCGCTGTGTCCAATGAGTCGTCGTAGCGAGTCAATGCACAGAGAAGACGAAGGCAGCGAGGGCAGTGAGGGCACCAGGCGCTCAGGCCGTTGATGTCGGTATGCAGGTATGCAGGCAGGCAGGCAGGCAGGCAGGCAGGCTCATGGGCTCGCGGGCACATGTGTATGTACAACTGGTGGTCTGCCAATGGTTCGCTGCAGATAAAGCGATAGGCCAGAAAGCGTCGAGATATGGGACATGAGATAGGTATGGAACATGAGATGGTACACGTACCCGGGACAGGGGCGTTGTGGGTGTGTCGAGACAAGGGCGACAAGGGCAGAGCTTCAGATAATAATCGACGACTCCCGTCTTATCAGGTGGCACACAAGGGGAACATGAATGCTCATTGCGCATGTACTCGGTACTGGCGGTAAGCAAGCATCTCTCCCGTCTTCCCGGGCTGCGACTTTGTCGGAGTCGATGACCGGGACTCTGCGTCAGCGTTGATTCAGCATTGGTGGGGGGATACTGAAGGGGGAAGGGGGAGGGTCAGCCAGAAAAGCATGAGTATGGGAGACGGACGGACGGCGGCACGATGCTACACGGGACTGCCGCAGATTCCTGTCTGTCCATTAGGTAGCTGCTTGGGGGTTGCTCTTGAACTGTCCAGTAGGTGGACTGGGACAGTGCATGGTGGGCAGCCTCGACACTGTCTTGGGAATGGGGGATGAGGGGAGGGGATGGGGATGGGGATGGAGATGGAGATGCTGATGGAGGGGAGGTGGAGGACGGGATTGAATGCAAATGGGGGTGGAGCACTGGAACCTGTGGGGGGCACTCGATAAGGACAGCGGACAGCGGCAAGCACCTGCCACCGAGACCGAGCACGAAGCGACCACTTTTGGTTGGCTGGCTTATTCCACAATCCCACCATGCCGCCGCCCCTCCCCCTTCCCCTACAACAGTAACGTTAAAGGTATCATGTACACAGCACTCTACAACAGGGCCACAGGAGGCGGCCCAGCGGCATCGACTCCCATCCACTCTCCCACTCTCCCTGTCAGAATGTCAGCCTGTCAGCCTGTCTACGCGCTGCTCTGGTACAGTACTGTATCAGGGGTCTGATGCAAGATGCAAGATGGCGACATCGGCCTGTGAGTGGTGCTGCTGCTGCAGTGCTGCAGTGCTGCCAACCGATCAATGCATCCAAGCCAGCCCAAGGCTCCAAGCTGCCAAGCTAGGTAAGGTATTGTTGGTAATAACCCCCACGCTCCGTCGCCAGTTACTACACAGCTGTCCGTGGTGCAGGGTGCAGGTACCGGCGGTAGTACACGAGGGGCTTTGGGTTGAGAGCTTGAAACCAGATATATGAGAGCCCGAGGATACTCCTTATTAGTAGTAGAGAGGTGAGGGAAGTGTCATCTCCAACCAGTGAATAGAATAGGTATAAAGGCAGAGCGAAACATAGACGTTGACTTAGCTACGGGTTCCCTGATACCTAGGTATTAGTCGATGATGGTACTTCAAATGTATGGACAGCATCGACACAAATTATCAAGGCTATACCTAGGTAATAACATAGTTACAGGATACTACGAGGCGTGCGGGATTTCCTACCTCGTTAGAGCGACTCGGCTCTCGAATCCAAGTTCCTGCTTGCCGGTACCTACATCTCCCATCTCCCATCTCCCATCTCCCCCACGGATGGGTGGGTGTCTGGACTCTGGACTCTGGACTCTGCACACCGCACACAGCAGAACGATTTGTCGCCACCCCCCGCAGCAGAAGGAGAAGAAATGCCGGGACCACCGCGCTATCAATCCCGCGACCTTGGCCGGATTTGGGACACGCTCGGAGAGGAAATCCTCATACACGAACCCTTCGTTGTGCTGAACCTTGCGAGGCTCACGTATCACGACACGGACAAAAGCCTGGGCGTCATTGCTCGCCTGCTTGAGCAGCCGTATCAGTCTCGACTGAACCAGGGGTTACTCTGTGTTGTACTGTATTGTGTGCTCTCTGGAGCAACATACGAAGCGATACATACATACATGCCGAGTACATCAGCTAATCTATGCTAACAAAATGCTCGATAGACCCCTATAAGTTGGTAGGATGCCTCTATACAAGTTACTGCCTCTATGCATGTAGTGGTGCTGTCGCTCGACCCCGCACCCCATGCCCCTTACGCGCCCGCTGTCTTCAAGGTTCTTCCATCTTCCGTCTTCCATGACCTAGTATCCGCGTCCGGTGATTGTCAGATAGTGAGCAGTTGAAAGACTTGGCCGAAAATGGGCGAGTTTGGTGCCAAAGTCTCCGATCTGCTCGACCTTTACAGCAGATGCTCAGGCTTGTTGAAGGCTTTCAGGGGGACATCAGACTCCGACGTGGACTCACTCAGCTCATATGCACGGCTCCGGAGCTCGATTCGCTCTGACCGGGCCAAGGTCCGTAGGGCCTACTAGACACGGCTGAACGAGGGCGGTGGCCGTCTCGCCGAGGGTGACGGTAAGCTCATCTTGCCCCTACTGGCTCAGGCCTCGTAGCAAGCCTCCTCGGATCACGGACCCCGGCTGACACACTTCGAGCGACGTCAAGGTCGGCGCTGAGGCGCATCCTGAGGAGGCTGAAGATGGCCTTGGTCGACATTTTGGGCACGGCCAAAACACAGAGACCCATTATAGATTACGAGTCACTGATGTCCCTATCGAACACGTCCCGAACTGACACCATTAAGACCATCGAGCGGTTGTCACATCGACTGAGCAGTCGCCGGCTAAGCAGTGCCCAAAAGGGGCATGAGACCTCACCGCCATACGCATCAAGGAGCCGTCGACATAAGAAACAGTCGTCCTCTACCAAAGAGAATAACCGCGACAGACATCGCGCGGGATCCAAGGACCCGAGGCTTGGGGACGCTACGAGGCTACGAACACCAAGCCATGGTGAGCTGACCCAAGACCTTTGCCTACGGTCCAATATACCTGGGAAGGCGACAAGGGAGGACATACGCAGCAAAAGAAGCGGAAATGCCCATGTCGCTGAAAGCTCGCATCGCATTTCCTTCATATCCACGTTCTCGGATAGTACCAAACTCGGCGAGATGCCACGACGAAGGTCACGCTTGGTGCAAAACTCGGATGGCGGAGAGTACACGGAGTTTCCATTCCACCCAGTGTATCCTATCAACGCCTACAGGCCGGAATCAGACGAGAAGAGGAGTTTCTTGAGACGCCTGTTTGGAAGTCATGGGAGGAAGTGAGGTGCGAGTATCGGCTGCACTGATGCCACCGTGGTCGGCATGGCATGCCCTTGGCTTCGCAGATATACGGAGCCTAGCGGCGAAGCCAAATGTATTGATAGCAACTCTCGTCAGGCTGGCAGAGAGGCCGTCGCTGGAAGGGAGCGCGTTGGTGGTAAACGTGGAATATATATATACCTTACCTCGTACTCGGATAAGCCAGCTTGTCGACTATATGGCGCTTGCAACTATCAGATATATGCTTAATCGGGGTTATCGGGTGCATGCTTGTACCGAGTAGGGCACTAACTTTTAATGTTCACCACGTGCATGTAACCCCCACCACCAAACTGCGCAGCATGACACCACCACACCACCACGCGACCATACAGCTCCCACCTTACCAGGCGAAAACTACACATCGTGACCGCCGGAACAGGACCATGTCGAAGTAGACCGACACCGCCTATCCGCTCCGCCCCCGCCCAGGTCGATCGTTTGCCAACCCCCAGGCAAGTCACAACATGTCGGACCCCGCCGCGACGCTCGCTTCCCTCCTCCGGAGCTCGACCATCCAAGACCACGACGAGGTCCTCAAGGCCGCCAACGCAGCTATCAAGGCATCCAAGGGCAACCTGCGTGCCCAGCACACGCGCGTCGTCGCTCTCCTCAAGCTCGACCGCTTCGACGACGCCTTGCGAGCTCTGGCCGAAGGAGGTGACAGCCTGGAGAAGGAATGTCAGCTCGAGAAGACCTACGCCCTGTACAAGTCCGGCCAGCTTGAAGACGCCCAGAAGGCTGTCGCGTCCGCTCCCGGGTCAAAGTCGCAGCGTGCCTTCCGCCACGTCGCCGCCCAGATATCCTATCGCGCCGAGAATTTCCAAGATGCCGCAGCCACGTACCGCAACCTCCTCAACGAAGGTGGCGGCTTGGCTGGCGAGGAGAACGACCTGAAGATCAACCTGCTAGCCGCGAATGCCCAGCTTGAATGGAATGGCCTCGGCCATGTGGTAGACGTACAAGAGAGGCAGCCCTCGCGCCAAGATCTAGAGGCCTTCGAAACCGCATACAATGCCGCCTGCGCATACATCGCCCGTGGCGACTTCACCCGGGCTTCTGTTCTCTTGAAGCGTGCAAGGGACCTGTGCGAGGCGAGCGAGGATCTGTCCGCCGACGAGAAGAAAGCGGAACTACTGCCCATCATGGTCCAACATGCCTACGTTCTTAGTCGGTCAGGCAAGAACACAGAGGCGGCGGCCCTGCAGAAATCCATCGTCCTATCCGAGTATGTGGTACCAACAGAAGCTCGTCTACTGCCCCAGCTCACACCATCTACAGAATACCCGAAGCCCCGACGAGGGCGGTGGCTCAGAACAACCAGGTTGCTATTGGTGCGGGCGAAAGGAACCCGTACCTTACAAAACGCCTCACCGAGTCGGCAACCGCTCTACCGGATAGCCAAAAGCTCTTCGAGTACCAGGCTTCTGTCTTGCGACGTAACAGATACGCCTTGGAACTCCAGGCACAAAAGTTCCAAGGGGTGGAATCATCAACCAGAAGCCAGATTCTTGGCGCAACAATCCCCACAGCATCTGTTGATGTTGCCAACCTCGGTGTCATCAGCGCCGCTGCCCATACACGGCTTGGGACAGGCAAAGTAGCGCTGAAACAGATTCTCCCAATGCTCGAGAGACGTCCGAACGATGTAGGACTGCTCCTGACCATCATCCAGCTATACGTCCAGATGCAGAGCCCTGGGCCAGCACTCGCTCTCTTGGAGACGTTCCTCCAGCGTCTCGAGACGGCGACTGCCCCGGATCATGAGGACGTGCGGTTCGCCCCGGGTCTCGTTGCGGCGGCTGTCGCGCTGTACCGACTACAGGGGCGCCAGAACTCGATACGCATGGAATTGGCAAGAGCTTCCGCCCACTGGCGGTCCAGGTCGGAGCCGTCATCCACCTCTCTACTACGCGAAGCTGGCGTGGAACTCCTCCGGTCCTCTAACCCCGAGGATCTCGCCGCAGCCGGCGCGACCTTCGAGAAGCTGGTCGCGCAATCGGAGAATGACATGACGGCAATCGCAGGCCTCGTGGCGTCATTCGCCACGAGCGACTACGCCAAGGTCGAGCCGTATCTGCAGGGCCTCACAACGGTGGAAAGGCTGGCCGCCGGCGCCAATGTCCAGGCGCTGATCGACGCCGGCGTCGCCGCGATCCCCGTGCCCGTGCCCATGAGTAAGAAGCGGGCGGCCGATGGCGACCCGGAGAAGGATAAAGCCGTAAAGCGCCGCCGCAAGAAGCGCCTACCCAAAAACTACGAGGAAGGCAAGCAGCCCGATCCAGAGCGATGGCTGCCGCTCCGTGACCGCAGCACATACCGGCCAAAGGGTAAGAAGGGCAAGAAGCGCGCCCAGGAGGCCACTCAGGGCGGCATGGTCAAGCAGGAAGAGACGCTGGAGCTTGTCGGAGGCGCCGGCGCCGTCAAGGTCGAGAAGGCTACGGGCGGCCAAGGCGGCAAGAAGAAGAAGAAGGGCAAGAAATAGTGAGATCGGTATTCAGGAACGTCATAAAACATTCCACACGATGATCATGACGCTCAAGAATAGCACTTGAACTTGCACCGATACCATTGCCATTGCACATGCGGTACTATGAACGTGACAACTATCCCGCACGGTACCTAGACTAACGGATCCCCAACCATGATGCGATGTGATACATGTAGTCATCAGGGCTGGACGGGCTCGTCCCGTCCGCTCCGTCTTCATTGGTACAGGTCACCGGCCCTACCTACTTTACATATGTAGATATCTCTTCACTTGACCCTGCTTCAGGGGGTTTCTTTGCTCTCGCGTGCCCATGGCCCCCTTCTTTTGAACTCCTGCGCAATGTTCGGCTTCCCACGTAGTGGCTCCGAGAAAGTAAGCCCCCATCGCTCCCAACACCCTTGCATGAAATTACTATCAATACACTACTGCCTATGCGCGCACTTCTTGAATTACGGGGCTAGGCAGCCGTTCCAACTCGTGAGTCGTATCCCCGCTCGCTCCTTCGCCAGCAGCGGGTGTACCCTGCTGGACCGGAGAGCTTGGAGGATCTGGCGTGTAGAAATGCGCCTGGAACGGTATAGGGTCCTCCTCCTCGTCGTCGAGCGGGGGCAGAGGCGACCGCCGGCCGTCGGAGAAGCTGAGGGCCGCATCGCTATCCTCGTCCGATGGGACTGTCAGGCTGCCCAGTGCCGGGGCCTTGTGTGCTCGGGACGACGAGTACTTGCGGTGTAGCTCGCGAAAGGACCGGGCTGTCGCGGTGCTGGCACTGGCCCCCGACCCTCGTCGATCGAACCCTTCCAAAGGTTTGCTCAGAACAGATTGGAAGTCATCGTCGATACTGACAGGAGACGTTGGGCCTGGTTCATCGCCTGACTGCCCGTGTTTACGGTGGTGCTTGATGCGCTCTTCCGTTGACATGGCGTGTAATTCGTGCCCAAAATTGACGACGGATGCTTTCTTCCCATGCACAGTGAAGCTGCCCGCTCCCCGGGAGAGAACCTCGTCTCGGACAGTCTCATCCGACATGCCCCCACTGCTGGCCGAGTCTTTTCCCTTTCTGCTGCGATGGTGCGACATGTGTCCCTTTCCGTCTCTCAGCGTTCGCTGGAGGCTGCGGCGTATTCTGCTTCGTTCGAGTCTATCCTTTTCGGCGCCGGCAGCGCTGGATCGCTTGCTGCGTTCGGGCGTCTCATCTGCATTCTTGCCGCTGGATCTTGGGCGATGGTCCGTCGTTCGAACGCGCTCCATATCAAGGAGTCCCGCTTGTTCGAGTACCTGCCTTTCGCGTGCATCTGCGGCCGCTTGTTCATCGGCACTGTTTCTCGCCTGTCCGGATGGTGGACTTGACGGAAGCCGCGGTGGCGGCGTAGATGTGGCCACAGGTTTGGACGATGAGGCAGCACTAGAAACCGACGCCTTTCTGAAGTCAGCATTCTCGAAACTCAGAGGCGGCATGTCGCGTATTGCCGGCAGGCCCGCGCTGGTGGGTGGTGTCTGGAATACATCTGTCTCTGGCGAGTCTCTGCCCACCTGTTGGGTCGGCTCGGAGGACCGAGACAGCGACAATGGTGCTGGAGACCGCGGACTCTGTTGTTGGGTCACATGTGAACTGCCCCTTGAGCCCTTGTGCAGGAGTGACTTTCCGGCCACTGTGCTAGGTGTGGCAGGACCCTCACTCAGGTCTCCGTTGACTTCTTTCTCCTCGGCCAGATCCAACGCAAGAACGTCCCGATGACATTTCAGCCTCCCCAGCTCTATGCGAGACCATTTCAGCTGGGCTATGATCTTGGCAGCACCGCTACGGACCTGCTCTCGAGTCTTGTCCTGAATTGGTGCCAGTACTAGCAAGTGACGGGCATTCCTAAGCTGATGGTCGAGATGCTTCTGCGCGGCTTGCAGTTTCTCTTCCGCCTCTTCGATTTTCTGCTGCATGAATTCCCGCCGCGCCACAAGAATGTCTCGGGCCATCTGATGGTCGATTTGGCTCCTGTTGACCGTCACTTCCCCTGTCGGCGTCTGGATAAGCTGCGTCGCGTCGGTGCTGTCTAGCCGTCGGATGGCGCGCCGACTCTGACCTTCGTGATTTCCGCCGATAACACCACGCATCCGCACGCCAGACGTCCGGAACGCGGCCGCGTAATTGAGCTTGGCCAGCCAGTCATTCCTATCCTCCTCGTTCTGCGCCAGTAACACTTCTTCGAGTCCGCCATGCCTGACGTAGACGAACGCGTTCTTGTGTTTCTTGTAGGTTGTGTCATAGAGGGCCACGGCACCATCGGTCGACATCAACGCATCCGGCTTGAAGTTCTCGAGCGGTGGATTGAAGATAAGCGGGACATCGTCGTGGCCAGTCTTGATGTGTGCCTCGTACTGTTGCATCAGGTTCTTGATCCACGCCGTGTTACGGAAGAAGTATAACTGGGCGCCGGTCAGGATGGCGCCCCATTCTTGCCAGGGTGACCGGGTTTTCTTCCGCTTAGTATCCTTCCGCCACAGTGTCCCTACCTTGGTGACCTTGATATCTACGATGCCAGGGTGCGCTTCTTGGGGATTGTTCTGTGTCTTTTCCGTCATGAAGGCGTCTGGGCGTGATCGCGCGGAAACGATCTGGAGAACTCCCGTCTTGAAGAATGTCTTTTGCAGTTCTTTCAGATTGAACCTGTTAGCCGTACCTAGGTAGTTGTAGTGTTCCTCCAATTGTATCTGGTCCCTGAGCGGAGGTCGCAGCGTGTCAAGTCTGCCGTCTATGAGTAGGGTATAGGGATCAATGGGGTCCTTGGACCTTCGAAGCGGCTCTGGGGTCCCATTCGGGAACACAGGTTTTTTCTTGGACTTCAGACTACCGGTAGGCTCGCCTTTGACTTGAACGTCGTCCTCGACATGAATGAAAGGTGTATAGCTGATGTTGTCGTAAAAACACTCGAGTATGTCGTCACAGATGCCCTCGCCACGGGTGTTCTTCAGGTAATCTGGCTTCTGCATCTTGTACTTGTTGTTCTTGTTGAACACGTCGGTATGCAGAATGAGCAACGAGAAAGCTATGAAATAAGCTTGATCTGACGATGCGTAAATGCCCGGATTGCATTCATGATAGCGGTTTGCGAACGCTTGGAGGCACCTATCAATCTGCTGTGTTTCCTTGGGAAGTTGGGCTACCATGAGGAGCCTCCGTATGGACATGTCCATAGGCTCTTCAAAGAAACTCAGAGATCGCATATGGCTCCGCAGAACTGCAGCCATAAACGAGTCGCTTCCCTTGGACAAGGCACTCGCGATCACGCTACGGCTGAGCGCATTGTCGACGCGTATTAGATACTTGGCAGGAGTATCATCCTCCCTCCGCCCAGGTAGCACTACCGGGACAGGCTCTCTGGTCAGTTGTAACGAGTTGTTCTTGGAAGTGTTGGAACCGGGTGTGGCCGGTGTCAGGCTACCCTGCCGGTTGGGGTCGGGATTTTGGCGCATGCGACTCAGACCAAGGAGATCGCCGAAGCTTTTGCGGCCCGTGGAGGATGAGGTGCGAGCTGTCCCTGATTGTTGGTAGTCGACGGCGCCCTCTCCAAGTGAGCTCATGGTGGAAGACCTGCCCCTCAGGCTTAGGTGGGCGCGAGTGGGAGATGATTGACCAGAGTGCCGAGAGCTGGGTCTAAACAGGGCAGTCGCTGGAGAGCCCGAGAGCTTGCCCAGGCTGCCTAAGCCGTGGGTCGGGGAGGCCAAGGGCGTCGCTCTGTCACGTCCAGTCGACGGGCGTTCGGGGTCGCACGCATGTCCGGTAGATGTAGAGTCGCGAGGAAGCGAAGACGTGTTGGAAGTGGTGGTGCTAAGGCCCGGCGTCTTGGCCTTCTGTGGAAGATGTGCCATGGGGAAGAGTGGCTCAGGTTGTTTCTGCTTGCGCCGAGGCATACGAAAAAAGCTACTCGAGGTTCTGCCCGGAGGCGGAGGGGTAGGAACGGGGCGCTCAACCGAGCTGCTCTCGGATCTGGACGATTCGGACAAGCGATTTACAGGTGGAGCCAGCGTCGGGCCGTGATCTTCGGTGATGGTGGGCGTTGTGGCAGATGTACTCGGTCGTTCGGGCTCCTCGAAGGTCACGATCTGCTTGCTCGCTGAGGACGAGGTGCGCGGAATCATGGTTTTTCTCTTCTCCTTTTTGCCGCCGGAAGAGATCCTGAGCCTGGGTGCTGGCTCTAGTTCACTCCGCGGGAGGTCGCTCGACCTACGCATCCGCGAGGGTATCTTTAGTCTCGATTGCTTCTTGGACGAAGTGGTGGTATCCATAGTAGGTGCAGTCGTGATTATGGCAGGAGCTAGATAGTATTCCATGTCAGCGGACAGGAGTCCCAGAATAGGTACATGAAGCATACAATTGATCCAACCAAATTGGAGGGCCACAAGCAGGCGTGTACTGTACTGTACTGCGGCGCAGGAGTACCGGTTATAGGAGAAGGTATGTACGTACGTTGGGGCATGGGCGGCGGCTTCTCGGCTTGCTGGTGCTGTTTTAATCTCGTCGACAGCTGCGAGTCGGAGGCATTGCGAAACCTCAACATGCTGAACCTGCGATGTTTCGGTGTCTGTTCCTGAATGGGCGGTGACTCGGGACGATCGAAGGGATCTTCGCTTTCTCTGGCAGGCGTCGGAGTCGCCGGCGCGGCCATGGTGTTTGTGGACGACTGGCTGCCCTCTGGGGCGTGATACAAAACATCAGCTTCACCCTGATCGGCGTCAGAAGGAGCACCCGGGCTCAAGAAAGCTTCGGCTTGAGGTTTCCGCAGAGGCTGCTTGACAGACTCGGGGTCAATGAGGGTAGTGTGGCGGCGCATGTCGTTCTCACTAGCCATGACGCCGCGACGGCGTAGGAACGGCATGGTGTGCTCGGGCGGGGGTGCGTGTCGATCTGGGAGTGACACGGGGAGCAGCGGAGCATCACGTCAATGTTTACAGCGGCGGCAATCCATGGTCTTAGGTGTATGGCAGGCAGCAGGACCGGTGCGAGGCAAGTATTGAAGGAGGTCGGTGATGTCGGTGATGTCGGTGATGTCGGTGATGTGGCGGCGTGGTATCGCAAAGGGGGCAATCGGAATCGGAATCGTGGTGGGCGGGATATATCACAAAGCAAAAAACGAGATGCCGAGTTGGAAGTCAGAAGTCAGACGTCAAAAGTCAGACGTCAAAAGTCAGACGTCAAAAGTCAACGCAACGCAAACAGGTATTGGTACACGATGGAGGTTCGAGGTTGATGGGACTGGACTGGACTGGATTGGACTGGGCTGACGGTGGATGGGCGACGGCGACGGTGACGGCGGTCGCCATTATGATCACAGCACTGTATCCAGCCTGCCAGTGCCAGCTACCCCAGTGTCACGTCCGGGTCCCACCGGGCTCAGCTGGAGTGCTGGCGGCTGGCCCCTACCAGAGAACAGGTGGCGGACGGCTGGCTAGGACAGCATTCAATATTACCTAAAACATCGATAATTACATATTAATAGGTACCTAGAGTGGGGAAGCCGAACCCCACCGTCACAACCCTGCTGGGGCCGCAGCCTGGAGCCCGCTGCTGCGGTACGGCAGTACGGGCAGACGGGCCAGGCTGCCTCTTTATTACCTAAGCTGGAGATGTACTTCGTCTGGCCTCAGTCTCAACTTGCAGTCTTCCATCCCTACCGACCTGCCTCCTGCTCTCCATTGAGGTACCTGCTCTCCACTGGGGTAGCCGCCACCGGTCACTGTAGACTGCTCATGATGGCTTCTATCTCCCTGTTGCGCCAGTCCCGGTCTTGCATTGCCATCTTCTTCCTGCTATTTCTTACCACACTCTTCTCCCTGGCCGCCGCTACGAGCCTCCCCCGACTCGCCCCTCCTCGAGATGGTGGCAGCTCATTCCTGCGCCGCCTGTTGCATCTCCCCTCGACCTGGGCTACCAGGAGGTCCCAGAAGAACCTGAATGGCTGGGTACAAGACCACCCCGCGCTTCTCGAGAACCTGCGAAGATACGAGGACGAGGTCGTCATCCGCTTCAATGTCTCCACCACTGAGCATGAAGCAGCCTTGAGGAAGGCCATTGACCAGATGCTACTCGATGTGTGGGACTTTACTGCCAACTACACCGATATCCGCCTCGGCCGTCGTCGCATCCGCCCGCTGATGGCCATTCTACCGCCTACCCTGCAGCATAATCACTCTGTCCTGATCCCCGATCTCTCTCGCCTCGCCGCCGCCACATACCCGTCGAATGTCCCCACCGACCTAGCCATACAAGCCATTCTCCCCGGCCGTGCTATCACTCAGCCACACGGAACTACCCTGCCTAAGAGGCAGGGTGTCGACGATGTCTTCTTCCATGACTATCAGCCGCTCTCCGTCATCACCACGTGGATGCGCCTGCTAGACTCCATGTTCCGGGGGCGGGGGCTCGTCCGCATGTTCAGCATTGGCAAATCCTACGAAGGACGCGATATACTCGCCTTGAGGGTTGGCATGCCGCCCAACAATGCCGCCGCTGCTGACCAGCCCTACCGTCGTCGAGATACTATTCTCGTGACTGGCGGCTTGCACGCGAGGGAGTGGATATCCACAAGCACGGTCAACTACGTGGCATGGTCCTTCATCAGATCCATTGACCAGGATCCCATGATCAACAAGATCCTCGAGCATTTCGACATCGTCTTCATTCCTGTCTTGAATCCTGACGGGTATGAGTATACCTGGAATGTCGATAGGCTGTGGCGCAAGTCGAGGCAACGCACCAAGATGCAATATTGCCCCGGTTTTGACCTTGATCATGCTTTTGGGTACCGCTGGGACTCGGTCGAACATCAGGACGAACCTTGTTCCGAGAGTTACAGCGGGGACAAGCCGTTTCAAGCTGTCGAGGCTGCTCGGCTGGCCGAGTGGGCCAAGAACGAGACGGACCATGGTGTCAATTTCGTCGGTTATCTGGATCTGCACTCGTATTCTCAGCAGGTCCTGTTCCCTTACGCCTACTCGTGTGGTGTCCAGCCTCCAAACCTGGAGAACCTGCAGGAGGTCGCTATGAACTTGGCGAAGCACATGAGGCTATCGAATGGAGAGGTCTATACCGTGGCATCTGCTTGTGAGGGGGCCGTCACGCAGGCACCAGACGTACGCAAGACGCGGACCGAGGCTGGTGGAGGCTCGGCCATCGACTACATGTACCATGATTTTCACGCACGGCACAGCTACCAGATCAAGCTGAGAGATACCGGAAGTTACGGTTTCTTGCTTCCGAGCGATGAGATCATCCCGACTGGCGAGGAGGTCTTTCAAGCTATGAAGTACTTTGGGGACTACTTGCTGGGCAATAATGGCCATGAATCGTCCTTGAACGTACCTCCGCAAGACCAGGCAGACCAGGAACAGATGACATTTGATGACGAAGAAGGTGTTCCGGAACTACGCAGACGGAGGCGGAAGAGGTGCCTCCAATGCACGTGAGAGGAAAAGAATTGTCTTGCATCATGTCAGACCACCCGTCCAGCAAACAACGGTAAATTTATCGAATTGGAATAAGCACCACGGAATAAGCATTGGGAGTGGCGTATCAAAGTTGAAATGCTTATTCCTGTATGCTTATTCCATTATTTCGAAATTTCCATGGGTGATCTGGAGTCTTGGTAACATGGCGCGTACGGAGACTTATGAGGGCTGAGTCGGGTGTATTCGAGCGTTTGGCGTTGCGGTCTTTTGCCAAGTTGGGTTGTATAGGTGGTCTCGTGCGAAGCATTGGGTCGGTTCTCTGCATTTAGCGGCTCCAGTTGGGCCTAAGACGGTATGCCTGCATAATAGGAGAATAGGGGAAAGGCTGGACTCGCGGCCCCTCTCCCAAGCCCATCGGGTCACGTGTGACACCTTGGCTCGTACAAGTATAAATTCAATTTTTGCAAGTGAAATTTAGTCAGTAGAGAGATTATTTCTAGTCTAGAGTATACACAGCTTCTGCTCGCTCCATCCGACTACGTTTGTGCCAACGAAATGCCGACCAGGCCCCTCCGCATCTTCTTACAGGCCCTGCGCCAGCTTATAGCCCGTGACAACAGCCATGACCTTGAGCGCAAAATCGATCGCCGCCGAGGTGACGAAGCCGCCGACGCGCCCGGGCGGACCCATCGAGGTGTAGCCGGCGGCGTACCAGACGCGGGCGGCGACCCATACGCCGCCGAGCCAGGCGCTCGGGGTCGGGAAGCGCAGGCCCGCAATCAGCAGCGCGGTCAGGAACGGGGCCTGGTTCTCGGTGTAGTTGGAGTGGGCGCGCTGGGCGACGTTGAAGGCGTAGGCCTTGGGGTTTTTGTCGGCCTGCTCCTGCGACGCGTAAGGGGTCGGGTAGGTGATGCCGCTGGCGCCGCGGGCTTTCGCCGTCAGCAGGAAGTGGTAGGTGTTGATGAAGAGGGACGAGGCGGCGACGGCGAGGACGTAGCTGTTGTGTAACACGGGTGGTTAGCCTGTCTGTGACTCTGTGACTCTGTCTGGGTCTGATTGATTGGGTCGGGGATCCTGGTAACATTATGGCGTACGGAGGCATGCATGGTGTGGGGATGTTGTTGGTTGGAAGCTGGAGTCGACTTACCCATATTCTCGGGGAAGCTCCAGTACGACAGACATGTTGACGGATGTGTTGATGGTCTCAAATAGGCTGATAAGTTGAATTGGTCTCTTTGGATTCGTTATTTGTGATTTCGAGGTCTGGTTTTCAAGTACCTACCTAGGTATGAGTGGAGGTCGGCTTTTATACATAAGACGCCCTCCTCTTCTTTACGGAGTTCGGGAGCTTTTGTTCCCGAATTGGTATTCATGGACTTCCACAGCACACCCCCTTGTACTTTGACACAGGCTGAAACTGATGACCTATCATACCCAGCTCGCAACGGAAATCACCATTCTATTGCATAGCTTTCGCATCGGTTTGTCCCGTCCCCGATGTCTTAGGTCAACCGCAAAAAGCATAGACGCCGCCACGGGCAGATGTCTGTCCGGGTGCCGACGCGGCTCCTGAACCGTTGGAACTTTGGCAGGTTCGTGACTAACCCGCCAGACGCGATTGGTAAAATTCTCCGAGATGCAGCGCCGTGTTACCTATCAATCACGCCGGCTGGCCAGGTGCAATTGACACCAGCCACAGAGGTTGTGGACAGTGAACAAGCCACATTATTGCCCCCGGATAATCGCTCCATCCGATATCCCACCGTGGCTGGAGGGCGTGGACCTCCAGCGGGCCCGGGCCAGCCCTCCTGGGCAGTCTGGACTGCCATGCCACCTGCACCACACCTCCTTTGGCTGCTCATGCCTGAAAGCGCCATGCTACTGCTCCGTACTCTGCCTTGAATCGACGACATCCGAACAATCGAGGCCAGACCACATGCCACAACGAACCCTACGAACACCTTGGAACACCAATTCGACGCTCCCCGTCCGCACCCCTCTCAAGCTGGCCATACTACGTCAATAGGCCCTTCTAGGGCCCGCAGTCTTGCACCATGAGTTCTTGTAAGTCGAGCCAAGCTGTCCCCTGGCTTGGCCATGCCACACACTGAATGTGCGCGTCTTTAGTAAAGCAATTCATCCGCAATGTGCGAGCGGCAAAGACCATCGCCGACGAACGAGCCGTCATCCAGAAGGAGAGCGCCGCTATCAGGGCGAGTTTCCGCGAGGAGAGCCACGACCATAACGTGAGGTGCGCACCATAATCCGGGGGCCGCCTGCCGGGAAGCGAGGCTGACCCCATATTGACAGGCGTAACAACGTCGCCAAGCTACTGTATCTATTCACTCTGGGCGAGAGGACACACTTCGGTCAGATAGAATGCATCAAGCTGCTCGCCTCGCCGCGCTTTGCAGACAAGCGCCTTGGACATCTGGCAACCAGTCTGCTGTTGGATGAAAACCAGGAGGTGCTCACCCTGGTCACCAACTCACTCAAGAAGTACGTGGCTATTCCTGCAAGCTCGGCATCACGTCGTGCTGGACTGACCTCGCTTGTGTTCGCTTAGCGACCTAGGGCATTCCAATCAATATGTCGTCGGTCTAGCCCTCGGCACCCTTGGCAATATCGCTTCCGTCGAGATGTCACGCGACCTGTTTCCCGAAATCGAGACCTTAGTATCTACCGCCAACCCCTATATTCGGAGGAAAGCCGCCCTCTGCGCCATGCGAATATGCCGCAAGGTCCCCGACTTACAGGAGCATTTCGTCGAGAAGGCCTCTCAGCTTCTGTCGGATAGGAACCACGGCGTGTTGCTGTGCGGCCTGACCCTGATCACCAGTATGTGCGAAGCCGAAGAGGAGGAGGGTACCGATGAGGGTATCATCGAAAAGTTTAAGCCATTCATACCAGTACTGGTGAGGACTCTCAAGGGCCTCGCCACCTCTGGCTACGCCCCTGAACATGATGTCACCGGCATTACGGACCCTTTCCTGCAGGTCAAGATACTTCGTCTCCTGCGCGTGCTTGTTCTCGGCGATGCTGATGGCACCGAGCAAATCAACGACATCCTCGCGCAGGTCGCCACCAACACCGACTCGTCCAAGAACGTTGGCAACTCCATCCTGTACGAAGCCGTCCGGACCATTCTGGACATCGAGGCCGATTCGGGTCTCAGGGTGCTGGGCGTGAACATTCTCGGCAAGTTCCTTACCAATCGGGACAACAACATCAGATACGTTGCCCTGAACACATTGATCAAGGTCGTCGCCATTGAACCAAACGCGGTTCAACGTCACCGGAACACGATTCTAGAATGTTTGAGAGACCCCGACATCAGTATACGGAGGCGTGCTCTCGATCTAAGCTTTACTTTGATCAATGAGAGCAACGTCCGTGTTCTCATTCGTGAGTTGCTTGCGTTCTTGGAGGTCGCCGACAACGAGTTCAAGCCCAGCATGACGAGCCAGATCGGTATTGCAGCCGATCGATATTCCCCCAACAAGCGCTGGCAGATCGATACCATGTTGCGGGTGCTGACGCTTGCTGGAAACTACGTCAAAGAGCCCATCATGGCCTCCTTTGTTCGGCTGGTAGCTACGACCTCGGAACTCCAGACGTATGCTGTCCAGAAACTATACAATAACTTGAAGAAAGACATAACCCAGGAGAGCTTGACCCAGGCCGGCGCCTGGTGCATAGGAGAGTATGGAGACTCATTATTGAGAGGAGGCCAGTACGAAGAGGAGTTGGTGAAGGAAGTCAAAGAACACGAGATCATCGACCTGTTCAACACCATATTGAACAGCAGTTACGTGACGCAAATAACCACCGAATACATAGTCACGGCTCTCATCAAGCTCAGCACGAGGCTCTCGGACGGGTCTCAGGTCGAGCGTGTGCGACATCTTTTGCAGACTCACCAGACTAGCTTGGATGTTGAAGTCCAGCAGCGAGCAGTCGAGTACGGCAACTTGTTCTCCTACGACGAGATACGCCGGGGCGTTCTCGAGAAGATGCCGCCGCCGCAAATCAGAGAAGAATCCAGGGTTCTTGGCGAAGCTACCAAGAAGACCAAGAAGGGAGCCAACCGCAAATCAAAGCTCATCGCGAAGCCAACAACAGACCAAGATTTGCTTGATCTCATGGGAGACAGTACCTCGACGCCCATCGCTTCGCCAACGAATGGTGCGCCGACCAACACTGATCTTCTGGCTGATATACTTGGAGGGTCTACCTCACCGCCTACCGCCACTTCACCAGCGCCCCAACAGGGCAACGCTGCGTCCATCATGGATCTCTTCTCACAAGGTCCGACACCTTCAGCCCCGAGCCCTGCCCCTGCCAGCTCTGGCTTAGACATGTTTGGATCCGTCGGCTCTCCCCCACCTCAACAACCAGCAGCAGCTCCCGCCCCTGCTGCCCTCCCTTGCTATGACGGAAATGGTCTGAACGTCACGCTGCAGCTGCAGCGGAACGCCGAAGGGGCGATACAGGTTATGGCCCGCTTCCGGAACTCTTCCGGGTCTCTGCTCTCCAACGTGGGCCTCCAGGCCGCTGTACCGAAATCCCAGAAGCTTCAACTCATGAGTATTACCAGTGCAGACATTGCCGCCGGCATGGAAGCAACCCAGGTCATGAGGATTACGGGAAGCAAAGGGGTAAGTCTATCATGTCGTTACAGATGCATTTTCGCTCCTGATTTGCTAACGTTGTGCTTCAGCCCCTCCGGTTAATGTTGAGAATTGGCTATTCGCATCCGTCGGCTGGCCAGGTCATGGACCAAGTAAAATGGACGGAACCTTTGTGAATCCGATAAGACGTTGCATCAATAAAAGGCGATTTGAACACCTCGAACTGGTGTTCATCACGTATTTCTCTACTAATCAATGCGTCGTCGACGGTGCTCATGTGACGAATAGACCTGGTTCGATCGTGGGGATGAGGTGGTCAGCCCAGGTGCTCACTTTGTTGGCATGAACTCCCCTATGCGGAAGAACATCCGAAGCCTACATACCATCACGTATTTCCATGTAGTGAGAGTGCCATGTCCAGTCCTGTCTGTTGACAATCTAGGGAAGGAAGGAGGGCTTTGAACCCCTCATGACAACACCTTGCCCTTGCGCTCAGTGAAGCCTCCGAAGGACCCACTCGGACTGTATTTCATTGCACCTCAAGAGCACGAAAACAAGAACAGTACCTATACGATATGCATGCAGTATTCAATTGGCCATATTCATGCGTTCACTCAATACTCATTCTCATTGGTCACAAGCCCTGTCGATGTCTGTGATTTGTACGAAATGCCTCCTCCGAGTCGTGATGCTACATCAAATCCTCCGTCGCTTCATGACATATACGATGTTCACTCCTTGTCCGCTGTCCTAGCCGCCGGCTGAGCTCCAATCAGCCAACCAACACCAGACGCCAAGGTTCCCACGGCGGCCTCTCTGAGCTGGTCTCTCTTCCGCGTGCGCGGCTGGCCTGAAGCTTCGTCCGTTTCGCTGTATACATCATCCGATCTGGCATGCTCACTACGTTGCAAACTCGCCAGCGCCGAGAAGTTGCGCTGCGCTCGCGCCATGCTCGCTTTGGACAGATCAAAGAGTGACATGGGCGCCTCCTCAGCTTGTCGTGAGGACCTTGCACCCGTGTTTCTGACCACTCCAGCGGGGACTATACTACTGAAGGCGCCGGGCATGGCTTGGATGTCCCCTTGATCGTCCCAAGCTGATTCCTGTGCTTCTTCGGCCTTGACAGCGGCGTTGAGCTCCTCTTCACATTTGCGGAAGACGTTTAGGATCTCCTGGAGGGTTGTTGGAGGAGCAATGCGAAGTGCTGTTGATAAGCACTCGATCCTCTGCTCCAAGTGTCTGATATCGAGATTACCACTAGCAGTTCCAATGTGTGTTGGTCTGATGGTCCGGGCCGTGCGACGATACTTACCCGCCTGCAAGGCCGCTTTCCAGGAGTAGTCATCAGCAACAGCTGGAGCAGTCGTCGAGGTGACGGGGCCAGCGATTGAGGCGAGACGGTTTACGACATAAGAATATGCCGTCTCAAAGTCATCCTCGGTGAGGGCAGCGTCCACGCACATGGCCATGATGCGCCTCTTGACGATGTCATGTTGCACAGAAGTCTCATTCGAAGCGGTGCTTGACTTGCCAGGCTGGTCACTGGCTAGTAGTCCAGCATCCACCATGTTGGATCCGATCTCCAGGAAGTCCTGGACACGAGTATAACTCTTTGGGTTTTGCTCAAGAACTTTTCCAACAATCGAGACGGGGTCTGTGTGCACCCGTAGAACCACAGGCGTGAAGGGCTCCCCTTTCTTCAGCACGAGACGATACTCGCTCAAGGCATGGCTGGCCCTGAGCAAGGCTTCGATGCGCCTCGGCTCTGGATGCTTTTCCCCTAACGTCTTGGGAAATGCTTGGAGACTGTGCCATTACTTGTTAATACGGAGTCTCCTGGATGCGGCGAGGCAGACTTACATGTCGTTACATTTCAACAGACCACCGCGCCCACGATGAAGATTAGAAGCGTTATCATATGCGTTCATGGATGCTGCAATGATGGTGTCGCGCAGTATCTGGTCGCTGAGAGGACACTCGGGCGAGTCTTCATATATAGACCTTGCCAGTGAATAGCCTATAGGAACTTAGTTTACGCAACTGGGGTAAGACAAGCTGCTGGAACCTACGAGTATTAGAGATAAAGGCTTTCAGACACTCAGTCTCCAGGAAGTCTCTCCGCAGTTGACCAAAGACTCCTCGTATGCGAAAATGCGACGAGCCGGAAGCTTCCTCGGCACCCCAGTCTCGCAACCACAGCAGCTCATTCCGGGCGCTTATCCAGTACTTGTCATCATTCTTCGGACCGTTGTTGCTCAGCGAATGGATGAATCTGACAGCCTCTGCTATCTGTTCCCGTTCATCTTGCAGGAAAGCCAGCTCTCCCGCCCTTCGCACACTACAGGGGGCGCCAGCTTTCGTCAGGATGAAGGCACTGAGCGTTAGAACGTGTAGAAGCTGAGTGGAGGATTTCTTAGGTGTAGTCAGAGGGTTGGATTCGTTGAGCAGGTCATTCCGCATGTAAGTAGCATTCTTGGTTGAGAGGATGTGCTCGCTCTCTACGTCGGCGAAGGGTGGGAGCAGAGACGAGGCGACTTGCAAGGTGGGACACGGGTCCTGATCCATCAGAGCCATGATTTTTGTAATGATGCTATTGACGCCAGACAGAGCGTCGATGGATGCTTCTGGGATTAGATATGCCGAGGCCAGCGCGGCGCGGGCGTACCTTTGCTCGAGAAGTCCCTGTTGTTCGTCGTCAAGCCACATGGAGCCATAGCCGCCCAGGTCAATGTCGGCTGGGCCGTCCCACTGATCAAAGGCCTTGACGGCAACCTTCCACGACCTCGAGGCCTGGGAAGTGAGCCACTCAAGGACCTCTTCCCATGCCGGACAGATATTCTCGGACGGAGGATCCTTCCCACGTTCCTGGGCCCATCTCGCATCGTTATACAGCCACGGGCCTATCAGGCCACGCAAGTCTCTCCCAATATGTGGCAAGTCTTCTTCGCGAGCACCAGTCTGGGAGAGCAGCAGGGCGACAGCAGTGGGGTGGTCCAGTCGTTCAAAGGCGGAGAGGGTCTGAGTCAGGGGGTCGTGTGGGTAATATTCGTGGTTCCGGCGCAGCAAGGGGAGGAGGGCCGAGATCATCCATGTCCGGATACAGGGCACGTGATCGAGGAAGGGGACAATCAGTTCGGGCAGCTGGGTAAGCAGCCCAGCCTCTTCGTCGACGCGATGGGCGCGCCGTATAAGAAAGAGAGACAGGGGATCTTGCAGGGCGTCTTGCGGGGCGTGCTCCCATGCTAGTGGCAGCAGGCGCAGGCGGCGGACTTTCTTTGCAGCCTCGTCGTCGGTTATATCTTGTACGGAGGAACAGTCGACTTCTCGGAGCCGTTCGCTGTCAACGTCCAGACTGCCAGACTCGATACGCTCGATGAGGCCGACATAATCGGCTGACCTGAGGGTCTCGGGCAGGCAGGTGAGAAGAATGCGGAGGAGGAGGTCTTCTCGCAGGACTTTGGTGTGTTTGGCTGCGAGCGCAGTCAAGCCGTCGACATCGGATCTGGTGGCCAAGTGTACGGCGAGGAGGAGGATGCGCGGTGGAGAGAGCTGGCTCGTCATTGTGCAAGAGTCTCGTGCATGCCTATGGATTTAGGGTTGACCAGGGTGGTGGACAGGAAGAACAGACAAAATCTGACTTCGCGGCTGTTTGTCGGTGCTTGAAACGTGGAACTTGGAGTTGTACTGCTTGCTGGTCACAAAGTGGGAAGCTCCAACTTGAGCTTGGAGAGCTTCAACGTGTTAAGGTAATGACGTGCATCACTGGGATGCGCACAGTACGTCCACGGCAGGGGGTCGGTTTAGTTGAAGGTACAGGCCATTGGCCATTCAGAGCTTCCGTAGCCACTGTTTAAGTGGAGTCCGACATCCCCTGCTAGCAGCTGCTTCGACTGTGGCTTCAACATCACCTCCAAACCTCTCCCGTTGACATTAGACAATCAGCCCCAGCAACGCCCATTGAGCGCGCAGTTCAGCTCCTGCCCACCCGCCGACGACGACGAAGACGAAGACGCATACAACCCACTAGTAGCCCGTCATGGCATCCGGATACGGTCTGCACGGAGGTCTGTGTCCTCCGCCACGTTACCACCAGCACAACTGACTGGCAGCTTAGGCCCCGGGCGATGCTTTCCCTTCTGGCAGGAGGTTCTGGCCTGCTACGTCGTCAACACATCCGCCGAGGACGACTCGGGGAAGAAGAAGTGTGCACCCATGCTGGAGGACTACTACGAATGCTTGCACCACAAGAAAGAGGTCCGCTGCCTTCCCGAGCCACCCACCACAAGCAACCTGCTAACCCGGGACAGGCCGCGAGAGTAAGGGCAATGCAAGCTGCCTACAGAAAAGCCGAAGCCTCTTCGGCGCGGGAGAATGCGCCCAGCGCAGGTCAAATAAGAAACCTAGGCTTGCTGGACAAGGAGGAGGACACCAAGAAAGTCCTCGGCGGATGAGTCGCGAACCAACCTCAACTCGACACCCGTCTGTACATACATGTCTTCAGCGTGAGGAATAAAGAGGCCAACCCATTATATGTTTGACAGCTCCATGCCGTTTATGTCATGGTGTGATGTGCTGGCTCGGATGGACTCCCGCGGAGAGTATCAGGTCGTAGGTGGGAGGGAGTATGGGTCACCCAGAATCAGGCGAGTATCCTTGATACGCAGACATTCTGTGGTTGACCGCATATCAACAGACTGAGGTCGGTACAGCAAGGTTATCTTGTCATTGAACGTACAAGTATTGAGTCCTGCTGGGTTGCGTTGCCCCGCGACAGCAATTCACCATGCCTATAGTTTGTGCACTCCTCTACTTCTACTACTTCTACTGTGATGCGAAATGATTCCCCTGGTACCGAGAGTTGATTGATGATTTACAGGCACCTGCTGCTCTCCAGGGCTGTCTACTATACTTTTTCCGACCAAGGCCCAAGAGAGGACTACCAAAACTTGCGCGCCTGAGGCAGGAGCGCCTGCTCAACTTTCTTGTTTGGCTGCTTGGGAAACTACGACCGCTTATACCCATTTTGGTCTTGCACTCCCCGTCTCGTGGTGCACCTTGCACATTGCACCTGGACATTGGCGTCGTCTCCTGTTCCCCTTTATTCGCACCCTGATTACTGTTCGTTGCATCTGTCGCCCACATCGGGAGACTCGCCCATGCGGCCTCTTTTGTTGCTGTTGTCATATCGTCTTGTCGAGCCCTTGATGGGCGAAAGCTGTTGGACTGTATGATTCTGTTGATGTCGTTCCTGTCAAGATGCCTTTCTTTCGCGGAATCGAGATTTGCGTCGTCGCCAGCCGTGAAGCTCAGAAGCTGCCCGAGTATCCTCATCCCGACAGCGCCTCCGTCCGCCTTCGGAAGGCTGGCACCACCGTCGACAATCTCGCCAACCGCCGCCATCTGAGCCCGAATTCGTCCACATCGCCTACCGCTTCCGAGGCCGCTGATCCGACCCGTCAGAAGGTTAACCCCCGAGTGTCTGTCTACGTCCCTTCGTTGCCCGGTCAGTCCTGATTCCCCAGCCGCATCCGCTCTTGCTGGACCACTCGCTCATTGACTCTTGATCCTGCACAGGAAAGCAATTCTACTTGCGGTACCAGATCCATCAGTCCCCACCACCTTCGAGATGCATCTTCTTCAAGATGATCATGAATGGTCGACCCATCACATCATGGGGTCTCGACACCAAGAGTGCCACCACGGGCGCCGTGCACAAGTCTCTCTGTGAAGTAGGCGAAAGATGGATGGAAAGCCTCGGGGGTGACGTTGACGTGGGAGCCGCCGGTTTAGAGACGAGATACTTCCATTTCATGCTCGGCATCGACAAGAAGTCGTCTGTCGGAGAGGACGGCGGCCTGATAGAGGTTCAGGTCTTCCGCAGTGCAGGACGAAAGCGTACTGCCACCAAGCCCGAGGTATGGGCTAGTCAGGAGCGCCATGGCATCGCGTAAGCCTCATTCCTCGCTCTTCGGCCGTACAATCCTCTGCTAAGCTTTGGCTAATGCTCTGTAGCTCACCCAGTGGCGGCTTACTCGACAACCCTCAAGACGCCACTTACTACCAGTACTACCTGATCGATGCTAGGGACTCGCCTTACGCGACGTTCTGCTTCCATTACAAGTCGATCAAGTACCTCGAGGACCTCAATCTCATGCCTCAACCCGATGCCAGACTTCGACCTGCATCCATGAATCAGTGCAGTCCGCCGGTGATACCTGGCCGGGGAACGCCTGGAACCGATCAGGTGTACCCGCTTGCACGGCCATTCGCTTTCGGTGTCGAGTCTCTTGATGCCCAGGTTTTTGACAAGGAGATCAGAACCGTGAATATTGCCGTTTCGGAGCCATGCACGGCACCGAAGCTGGAGCAGTATTTCCTGAGGAGCCCCCCGAGACTGTCGGCGCCATCTGCAGCACACGCCTCAACTGTGCCACGCGGCAAAGCTCCAAAGGATGAGATCACGGCTGAGATCCTGCAGAGACCACTTCCTGAACTCCCAAAGTCGCAGTCAAGGCGGTCATCTGTGTCGTCACTTCGATCGAACTGCCCATCGTTGACCCCTTCCCTGAAGCAGTACGTCGAGAGTGAAGACTTCGAGAACGAGGACATCAGGTTGAGCACAGCACAGCCGCTACTGATACCTTCGGAGTCGATGCAGGCGCTCGAACTCGGCAAGGGCAGTCCAGGGGGAGAAGAGGGATTCTCCATGTCAGACTACGAGATGTCACCTAGTTCGACAGAGACTTCTCAGTCGCCCGAGCTGCCATCCCCAGCTAGCTACGTTCCCACCACAGGCAGTGTCCTCGAGCGGCAGCTCATCCAATTCGACTCGCCGGTCGCTCACCTATCGCCTCGAACGGGCAGGACGCATCTACCAGCGTCTGGATCCGAGGCCACCTTGCTTGGAAACAAGGACCTGAACCGATCCTGCACGCTTCATCTGACGGAAGCGGAGTGGTTGAGACGCACCCCATCACCCGCCGAGGGAGATAGCGAGGCGGATGGAGAGCTGTGGAGTCTACGAGCAGAGAGACAAACAACTGAATTGGGAGCCAACGGGGGTGGTGCAGTGTTGGAAGGGGGCGTTCGGACTACTGAGTGCTCGGACGAGGGTCCTGTTGGCAATTGGATCTGAAGGGTCCTTGATGTTGTGAGAGGTCTGTTTTCACAAGGCGCCACGGAACAGTGCACTCGGAGGAGAGAGGATAGAGAAGATGCCGGACATCTCAGTGTCTGGATGGTGTATGCAATACAGAGGGGCTTATTTGTGGCTCGCTGTTGTCAGGAGTACTGGTAGATAGCCAAGCATTTGCAAACCACATGGGACATGAATGATCTGGGCCAGTATGAAGATATAGCAACAGTGTCGTGGCTGTCGGATTGTTCATGTGATTATACCATGCTAAGTGAGGCCGGCAAAATAGGTGTATGTGTGTGTGTGTGTGCGTGTGTGTCTGGTCTGCTCAGTGCTGCATCTGACATCTCACTCACCCCACCACCAGAACGTCAGTGGGGAGGATTGCACCCAGTTCTAACTTCTGCCCGTCTGCCTCGGCTTACAACATCACCAACCAATTACGAAGGTCCATGATACGGTGCCTATGATTGACCGAATTGAACACCCTCCAAGTTTACTCAGGTAGCGCTGCGTCTGTTCACTCACTACAAAACACTGGCATCGGCACGAAAAAAGGAAGCAGGCGCGCAACCATGGCGTCGTCGGCAGAGCCCAAGCCGGACCACCTGCAACGAACGGCTGCCGCGCCACGAGATAAGGTATGCCGCAATCAGTCCGTAACGACCTTTACATAGCCTATACTAAACAGATATACAGTCGCTGAGTACCGTGGTGTTGCGGAAGGTCGATGAGATCAACGACCAGATCCGCCTCTTCCGCCTCGAGATCCCCAAGGATGGACCTCCTGTTCGGGTAAACATGTCTCTCTTTTCCCATCTGGCTCCTCTCATGTTTGGGAAAGTCGACGGACCAAGAAGCTAAGCAGGCCCGCAGTTCCTACCAGGCCAATGGCTCGACGTCTTCGTGCCGGGCATCAAGGCAGCGGGAGGCTTCACCATCACCTCGTCGCCCGCCGACGCGCGCCCCACGGCAGCCACCACCGACGAGTCAGTGCGACCCGGCTACCTCGAGCTCGCCGTCCAGAAGTCGCCCGAGAACCCGCCCGCCGCCTGGCTGTGGCAGCCCGTCGCCTCCATCCTCGACGCCGAGCTCCGCGTGCGCATCGGCGGCAGCTTCGTCTGGCCCCCGCCGGGCATCAACGTGCGTTTGCTGCGGCGCGTCGTCTTCATCTCCGGCGGCGTCGGCATCAACCCGCTCGTCAGCATGCTCGGCAGTCTGGCCCGCGCCGGCGCTGCGCAGCAGAACCCGTTTGAAGTACAATTTCTGTACTCGATCAAGGACCCCGGCGCCGGCGCTGAGGTTCGGGACGCGAGCCGCATGCTATTTCTCGAGAGGCTGGCTACTGTGTTTGCGGAGCAAAAAGTCAGGGGCCGGTTGCGGCTGTTCCTGACAGGAGGGGAGGGGGCCGAGGGGGGAGGTGTGGTTTCGAGCGGTGGTGGTGCCGGTGATGTGGCTTTCCAGGGCCGCCGGATCACGGTTGATGATGTGGCCGAGGCTGTTGGTGCTGCGTCGGAGAGGCGGTTCGCTGTTGTCTATGTGTGTGGTGTCCCAGCCATGAACGACGAGTTTGTGAAGAAGCTCACTGATCGTGACGGTGGACTGGGCATGGAGCCGCATAGGGTCCTGTGTGAGAAGTGGTGGTGATGGGGTGGCTATAGGATCATGTGCTCGGGGTTTTCGAAGGGCTGGATGGATAGTCCTGCGGAATAGTACTGCCTCTATATGACAGACTCGGACAATCGACACGGGCAGCCAGCACCGCTGGAACAGCTTCAAGGGGGCTAGAGCATCGATCAGTAAATCCCATTCTGCTGCTTCGGATGTGTCATACTGCGCACACATACATATACAAATACATGAACACTCATGGCCACCCAGTGGTACATACGAACAGAGTGCAGGGCGAACAACACAGAGCACTGCTTGAGGAGTGAATTAACATATTGAATTCATATCCGCAGCACGACAACATAATCACCAAGCGTCCACCCCAAGTCGACAAATGGTGACGCAGTAAGATGTACATCTGGCTTACTTTCGACGGCTTGATGCTAGGGCGACTGAATAGCTGCTACCGGTATATATACAGAGTAGGCATATATCAACGTTGTAAAACATCCGGTGCTCGGTAATACTTTTTCGCTCTCGAGTCGCAAGGTTTCCCCCTTTCAAGAACAGAGTTAAACCCGCCAGTACAGCAGCTATAGCTATGAACGTGAACGCCAGTGGTATCAATATAAATGTTGCAAAAGGCCTGTGGTAGAGAAGCAAAGGACATATTGGTATAGGGAATCTACACCAGATGAGCCGTTCTCAGCTATTAACCAACCACTGACTAACCAATTGTACCCGTAAGGGCATGTGAGGTAATATCAAATCGCCGCCAGCTGTGGGAGAAGAGAAATGAACTATTGAAACAAATCCTTCCTACCGTATCACTGAGATAGCACTGAAAATCTCCCTCTGATAAGCTCCTCGATCGAGGACAATCCATTTCGCTCCGCTCCGACGTTGACCGAGCAGCTAACCCCTTGTTCCCTTTCTCGACCAACCTTCACATCATCCCCAGACACATACAATAAACAACCCGTCTCTTATCTTCTCGGCACGTCTCTACCTCCCCGGGGTGGGGAAAACAACCCGCGGCGCGAAGAAGTCTTCTCATACCGACCGAGCGCGCGTCTCATCTCGTCGCGCATTGTGTCATTGGGGTCCCTGCCAAGCAAAAAGCTGACCGACTTTCTGTGCCTGTGCTTGCGCTTGTGCGGGCGGCGTTGCACGCTCGTCTTCTTCAACACCACCGGCGGTGCCGTCTGGCCTAGATGGTGTGGGTGGTACGGGTTGAGGTTCGGCGGCGCGCCCAAGCCCAAGCGGAGCCCCTGCTTCTGCTTCTGCTTCTGCTTCTGCTTCTGCTTCTGCTTCTGCTTGCCAAGGTTCAACCCGCCCAGTCCGCGGCCCAGGCCGCCCAGATTTGCCAGATCCCGCCGCGCCTTCCGTGCCTCCTCCGAACCGTCTTCCCTCTCGTGCGCCTCCTCGGCCCGCTGCCGCCTATCCTCGCGAAGGACGAGCTTGAGCTGCGACGTGGCGAGCGCCAACCGTCTCTCGGCTGTTTGCCGTGTGGGGTCTTGCGTCGGCGACAGTCTGCCGGCTCTAATCCGCCTGAGGTTTTCGCGCGCCGCCTTGTACTCGCGCACCAGGCCCGGGTGCGCCCTCATGAGCACCTCCTCCTCCTCCTCGCCACTGTCGAAGCCATCCGGATGGGTGCCATCGTAGGGACCAGTGAATAGCGATGCTCCCAAGTCAGCTGAACCGTAATAGGAGGACAGAGGCTGGAATAGGCTGGTATGTGATGTAAGCGAAGTCGCGGCTCCGCCATCAGAGGCGTCGCTCATCTCGTCATCCACTTCCGAGTCACGGCCGCTGCTGCTGCTGCTGCTTCCCGTGCTCTCGTAGTCGAAGCCTGCCCGGTGGATGACGGTCCTGTTCTTCTTCGGTTTGTTTGACCGAGTCAGCTGCCCCTGCGCGCGCCTCTTGGTCGGGCTGCTTCCCGTGCTACTTGTGCTCGACCCAGCGTACTGTGCCATCATGCTTTGCGCTGCGGCATCGGAGGAAGGCTTGGGTAAACCCGGGAGTACATTTTTGGCATACTTGCTGGGATCGCCAAGGTAGGTGGGCGTTCCAGGGGTCAGATTATTGTCGAAAAGTCCCCCGGGGGTGACATATAAGGGATCATCTAGACGATTAACCAGGCTAAAAGTTGGCCTAGGTGTCTTCCTCCCAATATCGCCGGGTTTGACAAGGTAGATGGGCGATCCAGGGACAGCAGCTGGATCGAACAGTCCCCCGGGGTTGACATGAAAGGAATTATCTAAGCGATCATCTAAGCTCAAGGAATCATTCGTGCCAGTAGGAGGCTTCTGGCCAGTAGGAGTAGGAGGAGATGTGGGAGTCTTGACAGGCGACGGCGACACATGAGGCGTGGGATTCTTCGGGCCAGAAGGAGGAGTCTTTGGGTTAGAAGGAGTCTTCGGACCAGTAGGGGTCTTCAGGCCAGGAGAAGGAGTCTTCGAGCCAGTAGGGGTCTTCTGGCCAGGAGGAGGGGGTTTCTGGCCAGGAGGGGGTTTCTGGCCAGAAGGAGGGGGTTTCTGGCCAGAAGGGGTCTTCGGGCTAGGAGGAGGTTTCTGGCCAGGAGGAGTTGTGCTGGTCTGGGGGTTGACAACATATTGCGCGATAATAGCGGCTTCCTCCTCGGCCGAAAGCTTGGGCGCATCGGGTATTTTTAAGTTTGCTAATCGTGCCGTCCAGTCGGGGTCGAACCCATCGGAGCTGACCGGGCTAACATTGACATTTGGTTCGGGTGCTGGCGATGCGATCTTCGGAGAAGCCGGCGGTGGTGACCATGCGATCTTAGGAGAAGCCGGCGCCGGCGGCGTGGTCGCGGGCAGGTCAGGCTTGTCAGGCTTTGTCGCAGAGTCCCGGACGACGAGCGAGGTTATGGGGAACCTGATAGCGCTGGTCTGGTTATACAACTCCAGTGGCGTGGGTTTATTCTTTCTACCAGTCGAAGTGTTCTGCTGCGACGATGGCGGGTCCACTCCTTCTTTCCTTCCTCCGGCGGGCGGTCTTCCGGCGGGCGTGGTCTGGGGACGGCCGGTCCCGGTGTTAAAGTCGAGGGGATCCTGGGAGTACTCATCGCCCCACCCCGAGACGGCGCGCCTACCAAGCGAGAGTGTGGTGATGGCGTCAAGCGAAAGCGGCGGCGCCGTGCCCTCATCGAGCTTGCGTTCGGCATTGGCGCGGACATCCGAATCCCAGACCTCGTCTTCGACCGTTTCCGGAAACCATGTTGGCCGAGGAGCTTTAAAGCCGTCGAGGTGCAAGGTCCGGTCCAGAGTTGGGAACTGGCGCTGCTGGTCCTTCCACGACTTCCAGCCCGTCTCGATCTGGCTTTGCCATTCACTCCTGGGCTTCTTCTGTCTCTTCCAAGTATACGTGACAGAGTCTCCATCGTCAAACTTATCTGGCCCTGGAGTAATGCGCCAGTTCTTTGGGTCGAACTCGTCCTGACCGGGCTTGCGAGGTCGGTTTGGCGGCCCTCCCGAGGGGCCTTTCTTGTTATCGCAAGGGTCCCAGTCGGGACATGGAAGGGGAACTGGAAACAGTCTGCCATGACATCGCCGTGTGGTGCGGTGACGGCTTCTACTTCGATCACTGCTCTTGGCGCGTTTGTCCAACCTGTCACTGGCCTTCTCGCAATGTGCCAGCACCTCTTCTGGGGTCATTGTCGAAAAGTCAGTGTAATGTTTCTTCTTCAACCCGGCCAACACACCCTCTCCAATGTTCTCAACAGCGGTATGAGCATCTTCCGAGCCAGTCTCTGCTTGCGATTGGGCGAACATGGCCATAGCCACGGCCACAGTCGCATCGTCGAACTCCTCGGCATCAAAGTCATCGTCATCAGCATTGAAGTCGTCCGAGTCGCTGAATGGTTGCTCAATATCATCGTCGTTCAGAGAATCGGATCCCAGCCCATCGTCGGTAGGATCATCGTCGCTCGGAGAATCGGACCCCAGGTCATCCGAGTCCGGTAGCGTGACGTCGTCAGCGCTGTCCGAGCTGCCCGAGCTGCCCGAGCTGCCCGAACTGCCCGAACTGCTCGAGCTGCTCAAGCTGCCCGTCCAGTGCGAGCCGTGACCCGAGGTCGAGGGGTCAGTGCCTAGGTAGCTGTTCACGTCTCTATCTCGGGGAGGGTCGCTGTCGTAACCGCTGGTGCTGCTGCCACCGCTGGAGCTGGAGCCGGAGCTACTGCTTCTGTGGCTGGTGGGCGGAGACGGGGTAGGCGACCTCGATCGGTTCCGGCGGATATTCTCATCGGTGTAATGATTCTTTAGGTTCCTGGCCCGTATCTCGGCCGTGTCGGTGAGGCTTTCAGTGCGCCTGCGGTCAAAGGCCTTGTAGTGACGGGGGATGGCCGGGTCGGCGCCCGTGATCAGCTTGCCCGACTTCATGGCCAAGTTGGTCTCGCGGTGCTGGCGGCCAACGGCGGCGGCGATCAGCAGTTGGACCTCATTGCGCCGGATGCGGTTTCTGTATTTTTCGAGGCTTCTCTCATAAGCGTCGTCCTGTGTTTGCTTCCATTTTGCTTCTTGAGACTCCGTGGGCGACGGCGTTACGTCCATGCCGAAATTTTTCTTCTGCTCGCGGACTTTCGCGTCGGCGTCCAGTTGCTCCTCCGATTTCTCGTCTTTCCTCTTCTGCTTTATTGCCTCTCTGTCTTTACGTTGTCGGGCGCGACGGCTCGGCACGCCCTCCCTCTTGTAGGCTAATACGGCCAGCGGAGGTTAGCAGCATAGTAGGTGTAGGTACACTGGGAATGAAATGAAGGGGGCCATGTTCGCCCGTTTAGTTAGACGTACCTTCCACATTTACACGCTCCTGCTTCAGGTCCAACAGAGCCGCCGCGACATACACCTCGAGTTTTTTGTTTTTCTCCCGCAACAGCTCAACCTCCGTCTTCGGCCTCCCAAGAACACTGACTCGCGGTGGTAACGCTATGTTTGACGCCATGCTTGTGTAGTTCTGGGACGTCTAGTCGTGTTGGAAAGGCGACGGTACTATGAGCTCCCAGGAACTGGTCATCAGCAGTGGATGAACTGGGGAACACACTCCGAAGGATAGTCGAAATGGGAAAAAAGAAATCTTGCGAAGGACGCCAGGATCCATGTCAATTTCTAGGCCCAACAAGGTAGCTCCTTTGTCGTGAGGTTTCCCCTTTCGGCGTTGTGTCTTGATATCCAATTGCTTACGCTTCCGGCAAGGCGACCGTCTTTGTCGCCACACTTGAGACATCCCCCCTCAGGCTGAATCCAGAAAGTGCGAACAGGGCACCGTCTGGACGAAGTGATTGCGGTGGATAATAAATTCGGACAAGGACTGCTCAGGGAATGCTGCCTGGCTTGGATAGTCGACGGGACTGTACCAGAGACCGCCTTGGGCACGTAGCAACCCGCCAGTGGCGGACTGAGCTAGAAAAACGGACATCTCCACAGAACACGGCTAGCAATTACAAAACAGTCTATTTGGTACATACTAGGTTGGGTATAGCTGGCAGCATCTGCAATAGTTCGGGCATCCCATCAAGACACGACGTAAATGAGACAAATGAGGGCATCCTCGCCCTCATCTGCAACCAGGCTCGTTGCCAGGCACCGTCACATTCCAGCGCCTTCGACGAGGGGCGCAGCCCTGCGAAAACATTCTCCGTTAGCGTCATGTAGCAGAATAGGGAACATTACCTCGAAATTGTGGTCACTCAAGGGCTCCCAACATTGCCCACAACCGACAAAGTTGCCTGTAGCGTGCAAGTACCAAAAGGCCATGTGCACTGTGTAATGGGCGAAACAGCGAGTTGTTGGCGAGACTGTCGAAGGGACCTTCCAGTCTACACTGCCTCAATTCGTCATGCAGTTCTACCGAGTCGCCTGGTGGTGATTTAAATGTGGTGAAGGTCATGGTAGTTTACGAAAGTCAGAGTCGGGTCGATTCAATGTTGCACCTTTTGGGAATTTGCGATCAATTACGTGTTGCATTCTGCGGGACCATCATAGCAGAGCTGTCTCGAATATCTGCACCGGCAAAATTGCTGCTGGCGGTGGCCCAGTCGTCATGCTCGTCAAGCTCGAAAAGAAACCTCGGAAGTGGGAAATAATGATACAAGTGAGAGGTGGCAAGGTGAAATGGCGAGTTCGTGTCCATGGGAGGGTCTGTGGTAGTGGTGATCCAAAGGGAGCGGTAGGTAGGTTTGGTGTAGTTGGGAGTTGAGAGAACCACCCTCGCCAGTTATCGTTCCCAGGCTGAGAGCCCGGCAGTGAGTGTCAAGTCGCAAGGCGCCAAAAGTGCAACAGGCCAAGGCAACATAAACACCAACCGGGCCGCCATCTGCCTTTACGGGTCGAGAGACCCCGTTCGAGATCACAGTTGAGAGAAAGGAAAACATAGTGGGTCGGTGCCTTTTCCCCCGCCTGTATACCTGCCGTGTGGAAACTCCATGTCGCAGTTTTCGGTTCCTGGTATCCGCCGTGCTTTGCATGCCCAATAGAAACGCAAGATGAAGGGGATGCTAGATAGTGCCGTCGGAGATCAGATCCAACCTTGTGCGCATGAGGCAAGCGTTGGGAGTGACGTTCTCAACGCATACGACGGTCGCTCCCTGGATCATGTATTAGCAGCAGTGGTGGGACCAGTCGTATCGTTGCTCTTTGGTGATTTAAGGCGCACCTGCGTAGGGTTCACGGGCGTCGGGTCGAGATCCGGTTTCGCCGTAGCCAGAAGCAGCGGGATCGCGGGATCGAGGAGCGTCGCGTTCAGGACGATCGTAGCGCTCACGCTCGTAGCCGGGTCCACGGCGCTCGTCGCCGCCACCGCTGCCGCCACCACCGCGGGCTCCACCGTATCGATCCTCTCCTCGGCCACCTGCGTAACGATCAACTCGTCCGTAGCTGTCCTCGGTACGCTCACGGCGGTCGTATCCGCGGTCGTAGGCACGATCGTCTCTGCCGCCGCCCGCGGCGCCACCACCATAGCCGCCACGGTCATCACGGTGGCTCCTGTCGTATCCACGATCCTCTCGATAACCGCGATCGGCACGGTCGCCACGGTCTTCGTAGCGTGGGCGATCCTGTCCTCGGTAGCGGTACGGGTCGTCACGACCGGCGTATCCACCACCGAAGCCGCCACCGCCACCACCACGGCGTCGATCGTCGAATCGAGGGGGACGTCCGCCCTCTATATGCAGTTGAGTTAAGATGGAACAAGCGTTTCTTCATGGAAAGGATGCTCACCTCGCTTAGGGGGGCCAAAGTATTTGCCGGGAGTAGGGGTCCGGGGACGAGCTCGGCGGGCCTTCTCAATGCTGAGAGTCCGTCCCTCTATCTCTTCGCCCTGCAAACCGTCCTTGGCAGCATCTGCTTGGTCCGAGGTGACCATCTTGACAAAGCCAAAGCCTCGAGATTCTTTGGTGTGGGGGTCCTTCATGATCTGGCACTTCTCAACTTCGCCGTACTTCTCGAAGAGGCGCGTAACCTCCTGCTCGCTCAGACGGGGATGGATTCCAGTGACGAAGAGGTTGGATCCAGGGTTGATGGAGCCATCCTCATCCCTGTCGCCGTTGTCATCCTTCATAGGACTGCAAACAAATACTTGTTAGATTGCTACTACTCGACATGGCTGATGGAAAAGCGAGCTGGGCGGGCTCGCAGCGCTCTAGTATGCGGGGGGAGGGGTGGCTATTGAGCAGCGGGTGGGTGCTTACCGGTCACGGTGGGCATTTCCGGGGGAAGCGGAACGACGACGAGAGCCCATGCCATCGTCACGGGGGGCTCGGGGCGAGGCGCTGCGCTGATCACGCTCGTAGCGAGGGCCGTCGTCTATGGTGTGGGCAGATGTTAGCAAGGCAAGTCGGCAAACAGGCAATGTAGGAGGGAGGGATGAGTAGGCTTACCGTCGAATCGGTCACCATTCGCAGTCTCGTAATCCATCGCAGTGGTCGCCATGATCAGCTTGGTCTGTGGGTCTTCAGTGGTAGGTTAGCGGAATTTGTGTCGCGTCGCGACTAGTGGAGCTAGAGGCGATGGAAGAGCTGAATGCGCGCGAGTGTTCAGTTGAGGAAATATCAGATGGGAGTTGCAGGATCAGGATGCGGCGAGATGGCAATAGATTCCAGTGCTGGGACAGGTGAGCCAAGTGTGAAAGGATTGAGGGTAGAAACTTTTCTGGATGGGCGGGCAGCTAGCTGTGTGGGAGGAGAAAGAGAGGGAAGGGAAAGCAAAGACACAGCTGAACAACCGTGCCGACAATTTAACAATGTGAATGGACTTACTTATCTACTTTTGCAGAAAAACGAAAAGGAGCGGAAGACAATAAAGTCCAGGCGGCGGAGGTACAGAGGCAGAGGGCGCGCAAGGCTGTGTCTGCTGTGTATGCTGTGTGTTTGTTGTTGATGCTGTTGGCCGCCGAGGTGGATGAGAAGGGGAACAAGAGAAGAGGTTCAGGAACTGCGGGTGCAGGCAGGAACGCGGCGCGAGATGCAGGCCGGCAGATAGGTGAAGAAGTAGTATGAGGTGGTGAGGCGATGCAGCGTGGTGGATTACCGAACGCGATCTTGTATTGTCCCGATGAAAAGGTACGACGTATCAAAGGGCAGTGAGGGAGGGAAGTGAATGGGAAAAGGAGAATGGCGCGAATAGCTGAAGCAGCGGGTGGACAAGTGGATCCCGTCTAAGGGAAAAAACTGGAGAGGCAAATTTGTGCTGCTGGTCCCTGGGCAGTGGGCAGTGGGTAGTGGGCAGCCAGCCAGCTCGAGCTCAGAGCTGGGCTGTCGGCTGTGGAAATTGCGATTGCGATTGCGATTGATGACTGAAGCGCCGCGCCGCATTCAGCTGCAGCCACGGGCATGTTGTATCTTGATGTACCTCTGCTGTGGCTAAGGGCCTCCCCACTGAGGTTAGGTGGTGAGCACGGGCCCTGACGCACAGTGTTAGCCCTGGCCTTGATCTGCCATGGCCACCGCGCTGTCCCTTAGATTTGACATTTATATGGTGGTACCGCCAAAAGATCACCACTTTGAGATTGGAGTCATCCAGCTCAGAGCCGCATCCCACCTGATGTTGATACATATCACAACTTGAACTTTTACCTCCCGTTACCCACACCATACACACACACTTTGTGGTCATCCTGAGGTACAGTATGTACGTACCCTAGGTAATGTAGGTACAGAGCTGCATGCATGTGGATCCCAGCCACTGGATCCAGCCACCAGTACCTTATCGGATCTCCTGTCATCCAGGGCGTTCTACGATAAGGTTACCTCGGATGGCTGCCCCAGGTGACAGGTACGAACCCACTGTAATTTAGGTATTTAGATACTTCTCGGATGGGATCCTTCCCATCCGAACGTAACCAAGCACCAACCAGAATACAGCTCATCCCAACCAAGACTTGTGATAGATCTCTGTTCTGGTTCCGCTACCACAAAGGCACATGCAGACGCATGTCTATACCCATGTACTACAAAAAGCAGATTACCACATCCGGTGTATGTATAATGTAGGTAATGCAGCTAGCTACCTTGGGTAGTGAAGGAATGCAGCCGTTCTGCTGAATCGGTTTCATTCCATCATCCTCGTGCTCTCTTGCAACAGCCCATTGTAAAAGAGACGCACAAGACCTTGAAGTTGGATCAGTACTCCTCACCTCCAATCAATCAGCCAAGATCCCCTGATACACGTAGCCGGGCTGTCAAATCCAGCTTCAAATGTTCTTTTGTACCTACTTGTACTCGACCCAGTGTCCTCTGTACAACTTTCATCGTTAGTCTGTCTAACCGCGTCTGGTGACTGTACAATTTACACTCCCTATATTCAAGCATAGTCGAGTACCTCATACAGGAGCGTTTCCGAGCCATCTCACGACCCTTTCTGCTCTCTACACTACATCACACGTCCGCCACTGGCAATTGTAGCGCTTGATACGTATCACAGCTCCCCTGCGACCTCGGCCTGATTATCTACCATGTCCGCCGTCAACGCCTGCTCGACGTCGATCACCGCGGGCTCGGAAAGCTCTAGGAACTTCAGTCCCTCTGCCGCTTTGCCCCCGCATGCTCTCTCGAGGGCTAAGAAGGCAAAGTGACCTCCCACAACCGGACGGGCCGTGAAGGCAAGTCCACTGGGGAATTCTCCTTGGCCCTCCGTCTCGTACAGGTCCGTCAGGGGTCGATCTGGACGTGTCACAGTTAGTCGCCTCTGCAACATTCATAAATCACCCTGGGATGACTTCTTACCGGTGACCGTTTCGTTGACCCACGCTGCCACATGCTGCAGTATTTCCGTTCGCACCTTCTTGCTGGCTACGGCGGCCGCAAAAAACTCCCAGTCGCTCTTTGTGTACAAATGACGACTGTCCAATGGCAAGCCGTACCTTTGCATGACGGCGTGATACCAGTCGCTGTGAATCTGGTATATATCGTCCGGGATGAAGCTCTTAGGCTTCCGAGTATCCTTGGCTTGGATGCCTATCGGTGTCTGCCCCGAGCTCCCAATCCTGCTTGCACTCAGTGACGATGTGTTCTGGGCCGGCATGTGGAAGCAGAGTAGCGCGTCGGCGAAAAGATTGTAGATGGTCGTCCAAGATCCGTACCAAGTATATGCAAGTTTGGCATGCGTCCTGTCCCTAGAAAGCCCGAAGCCTTGCCACTTCTCGATGTATTCATCTGCAATATTGCTATACCACTCGGACTCGGTTTCCTCGCCTGCCAATTCGGCAATCCCACTCATGGCCTTGATCCCAATGATGCCTTTGAGCGCCAGGTTGGTTTGGTTTGCTAGCCAGCCAGCAAAATCATCGGTAGACAACTGGTTGGCGGGGATCAGTGACTCTCGAACGAGATAGCCAGTCCACTTCTTCCACAGCTTGTACGAGCGGCTCACCCACTTCACCGCAGCCTTCTCGCCCGTTGTGCCCAGGTCTTCCCAAGTGCGGTCCATACCATAGGCATCTACAGATTGCCATCTCCCCGCGACTGCCAACTCAAGGGCTAACGTCTCCGGAGGTGCAGTGCGAGCAAAGGCAGGTTGCGTATTGTCCTTCAAGGCGTTGACCAGTGCAAGGCCCATGATCAACATGTCCCCACACTCCTCAACTGGCATGTATTCGTCCTTGCCATCATTGTGTCCCGTCGCGTTGGGGAAATGGGTTCCAAGGTCGTGCATGCTGTAATCGTTCGGGTACTGACCGCTAAGCTGGTGTTCGAGGAGAGGCTCCAGAAGATGGACCAGCCACTGCGGGTTGGTGTATAGAAAGAAGGGAAAGGCTGGAAAGATGACATCAACTGTCTGGAAGTTGCCATTCGACGATATCTCCTTTAGGAACAGAATAGGGTTCTCGGGGGTGCCAGAGAACTGCGTGGCTCCGAGAACTTGGCGAGCAGACAGGGCAGCGATGTCTTGATAATCTTGCGAGCCTGAGGCGTAGGCATCCTTCCCAAGCTGATCCGAGTAGTCTTGGGCCAGGGAGGTCGCTGTCTTGTAATCATCGTAATGGTACTGCAACATCTCTTGTGCACTGAAGAAGAACGAAGACCAAAGGGGCCGCATCATGGTCAACCCCCTAGCCGAAGCAAACTGGACCACGGGATCCTGGGTGAGGGCGAAAGTAAGAACCATGCTATCTTTGGAAACGCTTGCTGTCGCGCCCGAGTTGTCGCCCAGCTTGAATGTCTTGGAAAAGGCGAAAACAGGCTCTTCCTCGAAAATGCCACGGTAGTAATCATCGACTTGATTGTCGAGCGAGCCAGACTCGGCGAATAAGCGACGGATACGTTGTGCCTCTCCAGATTGATGCTCGACGTCGTGCGGCGCAGAAAAATGAACATTGCCCCATTCGGCATGGTCCTCAAATTCAGTCAACAGCTGCTCTTCCCGCCGGGCAATGCTCCATGTCTTGAGCCGGGGCGCGGAGGCCTCGCTCGCCTCGGCTTGTTCAAGCTGCCACTGGATCTGGCTGTCTCGATTACCGCTCGCCCATTCGCCATTCACATCAATATAAAGGCCGACGTCGATCGAGCCCTCGACATGACACGTCAGATAGGCTGCGGGTAAAGACTGTCTGAAGGTGGACGTAGGTGTGATGGGCGACAGAAAAGAAAGAGTGATCTTCAAGTCGGTGCCGTCGATGGTATACGAGAGATTGGTGGTGGAGGCATCGAACGTGGCGCCATGATATTGTGGGAAGGCCACCTTGTATCTATATATACCGATTAGTCTGGATTCGGGCGAGCAATAGACCGCAAGTTTCCAACCTATCGTCACCCTTCTTCAGCGAATCGTGGGATCGACCGAGCAGGGGGTAGACAGTATGGGTTTCTGGCACGGATGCCATGACTGCAAAGCCAACGGTGCTGCCAGTCCAGAACATGGGCCAGCTGTCCCAAGGCATATCGCGAGCATGCGCAAGCCAAATGCTCAGATATGGGTTTCGAACGATCAGCGGTAAGACGGGAGGGGTCAGGGTCGATGCATTGACGAGGACGGCGGCCAGCACCGCAAGGGCGGGCCAAACATAGGATCTCATAGCGATGAGGCGAAGAGGTAGTATGGTTCTTTCATGCAGAAAAGCACCTTTCGGACGGAAGTTAGACAACGGAGAGCAAGGAAGAGATGAGAAGAGTAAGCAAGGCGGGGTCTAAGAATACATGAACCTAATTGATGGTATGTAAGCACGGATACATGTCATATGTTCAAAGACGAGAGGGTGTGGTGATCAATTGGGCCGGCCTGGGACAGTCGCAAGCGAAGCGCAAGCGAGGTGAACGAGTAGGAAAGTATGTCTTGTTGCAAACATTACCTAACCTAGTAGGTACGAGCGACGAGAGTTGAGGGAGGGAGGAGGGAGGAGGAGAGGATGAAGGCAGCTTGTTTTAGGTTAACTGGTTAAGGTAGCGGTAGGTACAGTAGGTACCTGTAACCTAACCTGAGGTGGGATCGCGAGATCCACCTGTCCACATTTTCCCCGGGTTTTGAGTTTTGGGAGCTGTTACTAATTAGCCTGTCGAGGACTCGAGGCCTGCAGGTGGAGGCTGACACTGGCAGTGACGACATCCCCCACGAGACCACCTGCAGGCTACCTTAGGTAGGTAAAGGACCGTAACGTACTAGGTACCAGGGTAATAAAATGGATCATGCGACAGCCAGCTGCTCATTGAGGACTCAGGAGCCCGGTACACGAACCAGAGCTGTCGACACCGGAGAAATGCGCGACTGCATAGTTTGTATTGCTCTACCATGGATGGAGCCGTGCAGAGTATCCAGCCCAACGCCCTTGGCTACCTGTGGGCGCACAGCATGAAGAGGGCAGGAGGGCAGCATCAGGTGCCTCTCGCCCTGTCTCCTTATAGGAGCTGAGGGTTCCAAGGTTGTGCATGCATCATGCAAGCGGTCGAAACAGTCGTCGGCCTATACTACCGCGAGGGAAAGGGAGGGGACTGGAGGAGTTTAAGATCAAGTATAAAGCTTGTCACGAAAGGAAGCACATTTATACTTCGATGTGTGTCCAAGCCCATGCCAGATTAAATCGTTGAATCATTGCAGCCTACCTAGGTACCTTAGGAAGCCTCATGCCAGAGTCACAGTCACAGGAGGTACAGCTCCGTGATCTTGCGTCAAGATACTCCTGTCGCATCTGGTTAGTAACACCGTGTACTGCGTCGCGCAAAGAGACCGCTCCAATCAGCCACTGCTCCGATCCGGAGCCAGCCAGCCTAGCATTCGTTGCCAACGGCACGGGTGTGCAACTCTATGGATGGGGATATTCTGGGGAGATCATGCGGGCGTCCACGAGGGCTTCGCCATATCGGTCGGCCGTACCTCTCTCTACCAATGGCATTAGACGAAATAGTAGTCATGACGAACGGCGAGGTTGAGAACACTTGATTGATGGAATACCGTGGGAAGAGCGACGGGGCTATGTCCTTGGCCCATGGCCTACTTCTTGTGAACCTTCTTCACCCCGATGCTACTTCTTCCTGATACAGAACCTCGTCACTGGTTGAAGTTCCATACCTGTCTACACGTCGAGTCTCGCGTCTTGTTTCTGCAGTCTGGCTTGCAACTCCGTCCCCGGCCGCAGCAAAGCTACCCCGCGAAAACCTGATACGACCAACTATCGTGTGTCACGCTGACCATCAGATATGGCGCTCAACGGAATGGTGTTTGCCATTACTGGCGGTGCCAGCGGCATTGGGCTCGCGACGGCCCAGACTCTGTCCAAGCGAGGAGCGACTGTTTGCATCGCCGATGTCGACCCGGCCGCTCTGAGCAAGACTGACGACCATTTCAAGCCACTGCACGTGCCCTTCAGCGTGACCAAGGTGGACATCTCGCAGAGGGCCGAAGTCGATACCTGGATTGATGGTATTGTCAACGAGTACGGCAGACTCGACGGTGCGGCCAATGTCGCTGGGGTCATTGGCAAGCATCATAGACTACGGGCGGTGAAGGACCTGGACGACGATGAGTGGCACAAGATCATCGCTATCAACCTTACTGGAACAATGTATTGTTTGCGAGCCGAGCTTCGAAACATCGTCAACGGTGGCTCTATCGTCAATGTTTCCTCTATACACGGACTTCAGGGTATCTACTTAATCATGTGACGCTTCTTCTATCGTCGGTCATGGCTGACAACCGACCTAGGCTTCGCGAAATATGCAGCATACGATGCAAGCAAGCACGGCGTCATAGGACTGACGAAAGCTGCAGCCCAAGGGAACGGCGCTCGGGACATCCGAGTGAATGCAGTTGCTCCAGGTGCCATATATACCCCTTTGATGGAGCAGGGGTGGAAGCTTCGCAATCGGCCCCCGGATGCGCCTTACGACGATGTGGCCGCGATCCGGCGTCAAGGAACGGCCGAGGAGGTTGGCAATGTGATCGCATTCCTACTGGGCCCCGATAGCAAGTACGTGAGCGGCAGCGTTTACTCGGTTGATGGCGCAATGTAGTGTAGGTATGTGCATTCGGGTTGGCGGAACCGAGTTGGCGAGCTCAAAATACGTCTTCAGGTTGGACCTCGTGCTTCCGGCCGTCGTCTCGAATGTGCTTGAGGGCCTTGTCCCGCTTCGTCGGTTTGCGCATGTCGTAGGCGTCCTCGCCGTGAGCGGTCGGGTCGTTGATGTTGTCGCCGTAGTAGTCTTTGACTACGCGATAGACGCTGTAGCCCATCCCCTCGTAGAACTTGATGGCCTTCTCGTTGCTCTTCCGGACAAACAAGTCGACGAAGTAGGCATTGGCAGCTTCGGCGCCAGCCTCGAGTTGTTCAGTGAGCATCTTGCCAATGCCTAGACGTCGAGCCTCCGGGGCAACAGTCAAGGCGGTGATGTGGGCATGCCACGGCAGGTAGTGCTCGGAGTACTGGAAGTAGTCGGGGGAGCTCTCGGTCTTGCCCATGACTGTGGTTGATTCGGTTGTCAGCCAAGGAGGCGCGCAGGGCTGGCAGGAGTATGATGTTGCGGCATGAAGGCGTGGGACGTACTATAGCCAACAATGTTTCCTCTGCTATCCTCGGCGACCTGGAATAGGGTGGGCCATTTCGCGAAGTATTGAAGATAGAAACTTAGGTCGTAGGTCTCGGTCAGAGGGTCGAGGTTGCACTTGGAGAAGTGGTTGAGATCGTCTGGGCGGAAGGCCCGAAACGAAGTCATTGTCGCGTCGGCACAACTCTCGTCTCGGGATGTCGAGGCTCTGGCTTGACGGAACAGAGGTTCGAAAATTGACTTTGTGAACAGTATGAATTAGAAGAGTCTGATGCTTCAGCTTGCTACCTACACAATAGGAATAGGTATGACAGGAGAATTGCTGCAGGTATTTACTAGAAGATGCTCCATACTCTAGTAGAGGAATCTTACAAGAAGTTGTTGGTGGGGTGCACATAGGTACAACAATCTGGCAGCTGGCAACTGCAGGCTGGGCCCGCTTCAATCAATGCTCTAGTCTGGTGGCCTTTTACGCACTGGCAGCCCTGGGAGGTACCTGAATGTTACCTGACATCCGGGCTGCGATGGGACCCCTTTGATAAACCCAATAGCACTCAGGCACAATACCTTACCGGTAACCTTCACTTCAAACACACCATGAACTAAGGTAATAACTGGATCATCAGGGTGAGGCCGAAATAGTGCACTATCTACCTCAACCATCTTCAACCAAGTATGCCGCCAACTATTACTTATGCGCTTGATTGCCCTCTGCCCCTGTGAGATACTTTGCAGTTGCATCCCCGTTGTCATCTCGGACTTGAGTCGGATGTTGCATTGAAAAAGGAAATGCACCTTCTACCGCCGCCTACAGACTCCGGTATAGATCCAGTTCTTTTCGATATAGCTTGAACCTCGACCCGTTCTGCCGTTCCAAACCCGCCAAATTGGTGTCTGCCCTTTATACCCTTGCCCGCCTTGCCCGTGGTGTCTAGTCCCCGTTTCCATAACAGCAACCATCATCCCGGTTGCCACAAAGGGACGTGTCGACGACAGAGTCACTCGGTCGAGCCACCACAAAAAAGCAACATCGTTCCGCATCCGTGACCTCTCGCCACCCGTCACTGCTCGCAGTCAACGGAGATGATACCTACATCGCCGCAGACACCTCGTCATTCGCGCCAGTCCTCCGGCATAGACGCCTCCTACCAGAGTTCAAGCCCGAATGCCTCACCTATCGCGAGACGCCAGTCTAAGTCCTCCTTCCAAGATCCCCTGACGCCGTTGCGTAACAGCATGAACGACTCCGAGCTTAACGAGTTCGGTGGTGATGGTGCCGGAGGCAACGGTCTCGGGAACTTGGCCGACGAACTAGCAGATGCTCTATCGGGCTCCGGTGAAGATGAGGAATACTACGACGATGGCGATAACACCGAAGACGAGACTACGGGACGGGACCCTGTAGAGGGCGTGCGGGACAGCGGGGTCGATGTCGCAAGTCAGTCCGACTACCAAGCCAAGAATCAGCGCGGCAGCTTAATCGTGCCATCGCCACCAAGCGGACGAGGCCACCGGCGAATCGGGAGCCGGTACGATGGCAGCGAGTATGGTTCCGAGTCTGACCTCGAGTCACCCGGCATGCCGCCAAGTTTGATCTCCAGGATTGATGCTGTCGAATCGCTGGCCAGGAGGGGCACCGAGAACACTGGCGGCCCTACCGACGGGGTCTTCAAACGGGTAACGGAGGGACTTAGAGACCTCGGGTCCCAGTCGGGCGTGGAGGGAAGCACAACGAGGTGAGTAGAGTAGGCTCGCGTAGTCCAACTCATGTCCGTCTCCCTTCGAACGAGAGACCTTTCTAACACTGCACCCACCATCTTACAGGTTAATCACTGCCCACACAGCGTTAGCAACACATCTGGCGCATCAGACCAGGCAACTCCACAACCTCACCTACCCCCTACTGTCACCATTGGTCCCACCCCCAGATCCAGAGACCATCGAGGCTCTATTGCCACTCCTCACATCCGTATCCGACGACATGCCGCGGCCTGCAACCTCGGCCTTCAATTCGCTATCGGCATTACACTCGGTAACTTCTGATCTCGTACAAACCCTCAACTATCTCTCAGATACACTGCACATGTCACGGCAGACCACCACCACGGCCGCGCGAAGGTTAAAGTCAGCTAAGGAGATGGTGGCGGATATGAAACGAGAGGAGGAGCTAAAGGAGGAGGGGGAGCGGTGGCTGACAAGAGGCAATTGGGGCGAGAGATTAGAGAAGCGTGAATGCGCCGGCATATGCCGGGACGTCGTCGGTGGCTTCGAAGAGGTTTGCAATGGATGGAGAGCGCGCCTGTTGGCTCAGGCCGAGTCAGCCTAGTTGGAGCGAGGTCCGCGTACGCCTGAGTGCGTGTGGTATGAGGCATCACGGTTGACTTTACGGTTGACTTTACCCCATGTCGGTAGAAAACATGGCATGACGCTGCTTGGTAGATGACGGGGTGAGGCAGCACATTACGCTCAAATTTTCTTTTCTTATGTGTGCATTGCGGCGGTTATTACTCTCAGAAGAGACGGCGTTTTGATACATTTGGGCTCACTGGCTGCTGATGACGGCCATAGAGATAGACATATACCTTGACGATGTAATGGCGAAGAAGAGCCAAGGGGCCAATACACGGACATCTCCAAAGTGTTGATGACTTTGTAGGTTGCATATCTGTCTACGAATTCTGCCGAGCCTCCACCTGATGGTTGCTTCGAATCAGTATATGATCACGGCTGCTGTCACTGTGGGAGAACAGGTTGTGGGATGGCTGTATAGTCGCGTTTCGAATGATCTTTGAACACACAGTTGTTTGAAATAGACTCAAGATGCGAACGATACATGGTTTTGGAATCGGAATGCCACTATAGAAGTACTCATGTACATATGTTGATTCATGGATGATACCAGAAATATATTGCCAGCGATGGACGAGATCGACACTCTGCAGCAATGAAACACTCCGTACTGGAACACTTTGTACCGTACAGTATAAGATAGCAATTGTATTACAGGTAAGTAGACCAGGCATCTATACACTAAGAACAAACATGACCGGGTACAGTATACATTGAGAACCGCCCGGACCCTTTCCGTCCGAGAGAGTGTTGCCGAAGCCGCCACCACTTCTGCGTTCAGCTTTTACAACTTGTAGTCGGAGAGCAGTCGTAGACGTAGCCATTAATAACCATCGATACGCACCGCACCCCTGCCGCCGCCCGCCCTCGGCGTCTCAAAGTCACCGTCATCAAACATTGACAAGCTGGACTGCGTCGACCTCATCCTCCCACCGCCTTCGTGCAGCACATTGGTGCTCAGGTGGTTCTGGTGCTGCTGCTGCTCGTCCATCACCCGGCCACTCACCGCCGCAAAGCTCGAGAGGCTCATCGCGTCGACCTGCTGGTGGTCGAACGGCCTGCGCCCGCTCGTGTACATCTCGACGGGCGGCGCGTCCCTCGTGCGGCGTCGGTTTGCCTCGTCGTCGACGAGCACCACCATCCACACGCCGACGGCACCATTTGCGCCGAGCAGCGGCGTGGCGTGGATCCAGCGGGCCTTGCCGACCGGGCCGTCGCCGGCGGAGGAGGAAGCCGAGGACGTGCTGATCCATCTCACCTTCGCTGTGACACCGCTCCCGTCGGCCATCGCGTGAGCGATGGCGTCGCGGACGTGCAGCGAGCCGCCGATGCGCCCCATGAAGCTGCTCTGCAGCATGCCCGGGACCCGCATCGAAGGCGACGCAAACAGGATGCGCAAGCTCGGGTGTGGCCGCACGAGCAAGTAGTTCTCGTAGACGCCGCGGAGGCGGCCACCGGACGCCAGCGAGGGTTTCAAAGAGGACACGGATTGCCGCTCGCGGATCTGCAGCAAGGGGTCGGAATCGTGGCGATCGAGCGCCGCGTCGTCGTTGATGAGAAGCCGCGGCTTGCGCCAGTTCGAGCCCTGCTCCGCCTCGCCCATGTCCTCCTGGTGCACGCGGTAGAGGATCCCGCCCGACTCGCGGACCGTCTTGAGCTCTTCGAGGTTGAGCATCTCGGCGAGCTCGCGGAACTCGTCCTTCTGGCCATTGGCGCTGTTGCCATGCTCTCGTATGCGGCTATTGGAGCCATCCACGCTCGCCTCGCTCTTGTCATGTTTCTGCGCGACGAGACGCTCGAGGGACTCGAGGCCGGCACATTCCTTTACCAGTCCTGACACGTCGACCTGGGCGCCGATGAAATACCGCACATTGCCGCGACTGTCGAAGAGCGGTGCCACCATGAGGAGATTCATGAATGGCGACCCATCACGTCTGTAGTTCAAGAAGGTTTCGCAATGTTCTTTCCCCGCCGCGAGCATCTCTCGTAGCCGCCGCACGCTGGCCGGGTTGGTTTTCGGTCCCTGCAAGAAGCGACAGTTGCGTCCCAGGACGTAGCCCATGCCATATTGGGTGGTCTTGTTGAATTCTGATCATCAAGTTAGCGTTCTGGAAGTCGGGTCTTTCACTGCTCAAGGGGTTTACCTTCGCTAGCAAAGACTATTGGGTTGTCCGGCCTCGAGGGATCTGACAGGCAGAACACTTCGGCCAAGCCCTCTGAGAGGTCTCTGAGGTGAGCGGGTAAGGTATTGGCTATTCGCCTCTTGATCGTCAAGCTGACACTCTGGACATAAGTATGGGTGATGTAGGCAGCGAGGTCTTCCCTGGCGAGTACCTCGAAAGCCTTGGTAGCCTGGGCTTGCAGTGAATCATTTACCGTCTTGGCGACATTCTCATAGCTGAACTGGAGGCCTTCGATGGGCGTCAGTGCTTCCGCAATAGCGTTCGCGTAGCCGATCGCTTTCAGCGCCTTCAACGAGTCGAGGTAGTAGACCAGGAGCGGTACTGAAGACGGGCGCGAGGCGCAGAGAAAATTGGTGAATCTCTGTAGTAGAAGCGGGTCGTCGAAGATCACCCGAAGGTGCTCTGTCGAAAAGAGCAACTCGGATGTCGTTTCTAACGCATACTGAGGGCTGCCCCCTCGCGCCGGAGCTACCAGGTCGAAAGATGCTGGGTCGAATTCCTCTTCGGCCAGTGGCTCGAGTCCGTCGTATTCCAACGGACCCCTACTTTGCAGACCAGGCAGGGCACTGCCATGAGTGGGGGCAAGCGAGGAGGTGGATGAGTTCGCTTGCGATTTTGTAGACCGAGACATGAGACTCCTCGGAGCTGTCGATGGTGACCTTGTCTCGGTGTCGTGATTGTCACCAGACTCTGTCATCGTCGGTATGAATATTGCGTCGGGGCTTGGACTCATGTTATTCCGAGAACTGCTCGCCCGAGTCAGAACATTCGTTACAGCATGGGCTGGCGCAGGTAAGCTTACCTTTCCGGGCGCCGCCTGTATTCTTGGTTTCGAACATCCATGAGAGGCAGACTGGGGTTCGCCACCCGTGCTGTTGGGGGGGTCATAGATTCCGCGACTGGTCTTGTTCCCCTCGCCGGTCTCCTAGGGATATCGGGGATGTCAGCGCCGCCTCCGTACTTGGCGTCGTTTGTTTGAAATGCTGCCAGTGACCGGACACCTTTTGAGCTAGAGTGAGTCTCAATGTCGTCCTGAGATGGGCTATGTCTTATACGCCGCCGGTCCAAGAAGCTTGGGAGTTGCGGCATGGCGCTTTGTTGACAATTAGCAAGCCGACTGCGACAAGCTTTTGGCTAGTTGATGAGTTGAAGCCTCCTTTGCACGGGCATCCTCGATCCACACGCGTTGGCTGGTCTTTTGTCCGCACTAACTTCTGACGAGATTATAATTTGCGGCGTGTGAATTCCAGACTAGGAAGTGTAATAACCAGTTGAATCTCAGAAGACGACGAGAAGGATATTCATATCACCAAGGAGCCAGAGAGAAGAGGCTGCAACGTTCTGAGCATTGGTAGCCGCGCTTGCATCAGATATTGCTACCCGCGATGCAGAATCTCGTGGTTTTGTGCTGAAGATAGAGTAAGGAACTCCTAGGCAGGAATCACCTGCCAAATGAACATGATGAGAATACCTACCACCACGGTAGTTGGGCGACTTGGCGGAACTCCGTTAGAGTTCGCCTTGATGCTAACCTATTAGGAAGTTCACCCGGTGTGCAATAGTGTATACACCAGCGGGATCGTCGCCCAGTCCAGACCATACGGGGAAAGGGAACCTAGTATGAAAGGCGCTTTTGCAGGAGTGAGGTCTACCAGCAGCTTGAAATTAGAGCACATGTGGAGTGGACTGCGATGACGAGCTGCAAATCCGATCGAGACATTATGAGCCAGGCCTCTTACGGATGCGGTCGTTCTCTTCAGTGCCGAATATCACTAGTCATCTTCATGGAGAGACTATAGCATCTGCCGGTAGTCGTCAGAGTGAAGTTGTGACGATCACCCAAGACTAATTCCGACCTGGCCCAATAACTTACCGGGAGACAGGCTGCTTGGATACCCTGGCCGAAGGTCGCAAGATGAGGTCGTTCCCCCAACTGAGTAAAGGTGCTAGACCTCATTATCGTTAGTTTCTCGGATGGTTCGTGATAGCTTGAAATCTTAGGCCCCTTGCTGTGATGTGAACACGGCTTCCGCTTCCGCAGCTCCACTGACCTGACTAGTATAGATCGCTTGAAGCCTGTCACGCAGATCCCGACGTCGTGAAATTTAGCCCGGTGGGCAAGTCCACGTGCTCGTTAACGTAAGCCGGTGTGCTCTCACTGGGTACTGGCAGATCCTCCCAGAAGGGTTGCCGGAACAACGAAAACGCCCGCCGAGTAGAAACGCGCCGAGAAGGAGATCGTTTGCTATCCGGTCATCATCAGTAAAATTTTGGTTGTTAATGATAAAGGGGACGCTGACATTGCGCGTATTGATGGGCTGCTGCTGCTACTACTTGCCAGACTGTGTGTTAGATAGTGCGACGGCAAAGACTAATGCAGGTACCTACTCATCACTGCATAGGATACGATACTCACGACACCTTGTATAACAGAGTAGCCACCATTCTGTCCCGTACCTAATGTAATCAGCGACGTCATGTCGAGACCCGGCCAAGGTTTGACGCTTCACATGAACTGCCAGGTGCCGAGCATTGACGCGCCAAGGTCCGGGGATTTGCTACCCGAGCGTCCAAAACATATCAATATATGAGATCAAGGACCAGCTTACTCAGCTGGGCTTGAAGCCGATGACTCTACTTGTTGCTCGTGCTTTCCACGAGGTAAGGTCTAACTTCGAAACAGAGCTGTCTGTCCCGAACGCTCGGAAAGATGTAATATCTGGGTATGATTCGGCTTACAGTGGTCCATGTCGTGTTCATGAGAAGATATCATGGAGTGACCAGCCCCGTACCGTCGACCGTTTTAACCTCGGCTATCACGTTCTTGAGGGTGAAGCAGCAAGCTCCGTACCCGATCAAACCTAAGAGTTACCGAAGAGCACATGAGTACTGCCATTCGCCGCCTTGCCTCGTGCCCTTCTCACCGGCAGCAAGGATGGCGGTGTCTATCAAGGTCCCCATACCAAGCGGTCACGCTGTCAGGGGCTAGGCACCAGATGCTAGATGACCACGATAAGATTTCCGTGAATAACGGCAAATACTCCTCTAGAGTCTGGCACAATGTTCTTTATATAAGTTCTCCAGGAGTGGCGAAGACATTGATCCAACCATCTCACCATCCCCTTCCCCAACTTGCCCCCAAAGTAGTAGTAGTTGGTGTCTCCGTTCTCACTTTCATCTTCGCTGATTGCTGTTCCACCAACACAGCCACAGCTGTCGGCGACGAGGTACTGGTCCAAACTACCCAGGGCGGCATCGTAGGCACGATACTAAGCGACAACGCAACGCAGATTGTAGGACGGACAGGTAGACACTGAGAGGTAGAAAGCCGCTGCGAACCATGGCCAGCAGTGCTACGATGGCAGCGCGGCCGGTGTATTGCTATCACTGCTCCGGAAAGTTTGTGTCAAGCATAGTCTGACTGGCAGGAACAACAATGACGTGGGTCCGCCCTTAGATAGCCGCGCTCGTCGCACCCTCGAGTCCTGAATTTGCATAGATTTTGGAATGCTCGATAGCTCCTTGACCTGGGGCTCGATGCTCCGAAAACACAACCCAAGAGGCGACACATTTTGCAGTAAGCATCATTGAAACCCCAAGGCTATAGTAGTCCTGGACACCGAACAAGGCAAAGGCAGGGTCAGATATCATCACGGGGCCAAGCTGTTTGGGTTGTGGGGGAACACACGAAAGACGACCCCATTCGGAAGAGCAAAGGCATCAAGAAACAGCATGAACGCCTAGAGCACAAGTACCTGAAAGGATCGGTTAGGGGTGAGTCACTTACAGCCCTCCGCGCGCAGCTGTCGTTGTAGCTAATGCTCCGATGAACACTATGTTATCTCCAATACTGCGATGCGGTCCAGCTCAGACCCTCCCGGAACCGCCTGGGCAGACGATGTACGCTCGACACCGAACGGCCGTCCCTACTGAGGTAGTTATAAGATGAATAAGGTGTCCAGGGTTCCTCCATAGGCCTATCCCGTGTCCTCGAGCCTACCTACCCCAGCTTGTGTTCACCACCGGCGAGGATACAAACAGTAGTTCATCGAGCGGGCGCGTAACGAGAAGGCCCAGCGCGATCGGAAGCCCGGTACGAGACCAATTCCATGCCATATTGGCCTCTCTGAGTATCCCGATGTGAACCACCCAGCATCGAGTCGCGCAGGCGAACTGTGTCGGATATAAAAGCTGAATGAAGACTTGGAGTCAGGTCCGGTAGTCGATATGGAAGATACATCGGACGACCAGAATGGGGTCAGTGGCAGTGCCATGGGAACTCCCGAGCGAGGCGGCAGATCCGGGGTTAAAGGTGGGACCAATCGGCAATACAGGCTGACAGGCCGGCGCCGCCTCTGCGGGAGTGCAGGGAGGACCCGGGGATCAGGCTTCAAGATGCTCTCTGGATGCGAATCCTCATTGCCAAGGGCTATTACGTGCCGCGATCTCATTTCGGTGTATACATACAACATACGGTCGTGTTTTCGCCAGGGACGCAGGCAGCTGACAGGCAAGGACCCAAGGAGGAGTTGACGCGCGCCGAAAGCATGCTGCCCTATCATGTCCAGGTCTGCGAGGCGACCCAAACGCCGACCCCTGAAATAGCAATGCGACAGCCAGTCGGAATGTTACCTGGCGCGTCTCTTTCTCCTCCCACCTTTGCACCACAGGATGGAAAATAAACAGCTGGACCGCGCTGGCAGTTCAACGGGGGCACCCCACCACGCAGATGATCAGCCGCCTTGGTGATTTCTGCGACTGCCACTGGAGAGCGGCGCGTTCGTCTCACGCTGGAGAGAGCAATGTTTATTATCATACTGTCGCGAATTGGGGCCATCTCGATGGGCCACATCATGCTCGACGTGTGGAATTGCAGGGTGAGGGAGGCCTTGTTGTTGATATCCCCAAACGGAATGTCCACTTGGGCAATGGGCAATGTACAATTGATTGATTGCTCGATTGATTGATTCGCATCGCATCGCATCGCATCGCATCCTGGCGTTTTAGTCTTGACTCAACCTCCACAAATACCAAAATGAGCGTGAAAGCGAGGTAACTTGTGATGGGTCTTTACCTAGGTACGCGCTACCCAGCCACCACCAAGGGGAATTCCGAATGGGCTAGCTGAGCTGGGAGCATCGGTGCGGCGACGGTGATGCATTGCCATAGCGACTTCTTCTCGTGATAGTCAATTGTAGCCGACGCCATCTTCTGTGTTCGGCTGAGTTTTTGATAACCCGGGTATGCGGTACACTTGTCCCACATAAGTCTCTGTACGCTAGCCCCGATTCAATCTTCTGACATAAACAACAACGCGACACCCTCATCTTGCGATAAAAAAAATAATTCAATTAACCATGGATATCAATGAAATCGGTACGGTTTTGAGCGGCACTCGCCAGCCGAACGGCGAATTCACTTCGGAGGCGCGCGCAGGCATTATCACGGCGCGCACAGAGGGCCGCGGTTCTAGGGATGTCGCACGCGCCTACGGCACGGAACGCGTCGAAACCATCTCTAAGATTTGCTCACGGGCCAACATCACCAAAACCACGCGTATTGCACAACAGAAAGGAACTCCTAGGCTTCTTTCGCATAGGTAAGAACGCCATCTAGTTGATTTGGCTCAGAGGTTTCCTCGTCTCTCGTGAGAGGCGCTCAAAGCCAAAGCACGTGTCACCTGCCACACAGAGACCATCGTGAGGGCTCCCCACTGCCATGGCCTCAAGAAATGGCGCGCGGTGAAGCGAAACTCTCTCATAAAGAATGACGCCACGAAATGGCTTACTTCGGCATGAAAATACTGTATGTAACGCCCTCAAAAAGAGCTAATAATGGCCCTCTTCTCTGACAAATATACTATCCAAAATGATTCTGATAGACTTGACGAATAGGTCATCCGCCTCTCCAAAAAAACGATACTGCAAGGATCTTATGAACCCACAGAGCCACGAAAGAGCCTGTATCTCGATAATAGTCTAGGGTTTAATATAATTATATAATAACAAAGGTGGTCTAGGCAAATTGGTCTTTTATAAAGGAGATCCGGATGCATCATGCGGAAGAGTGTTTACCAGACGTTATTAACAGGTCTTAAAAAAAGATCCGCTTTCTTTTTATGAAATAAGGGATCTTTTTTAGCAAAATAATGCTCTTATACACATTAAAGGAGGCTCATTGGAGTGGTTAAAGGATCACGGGATCTGGACTATTGACTGACCTCTTCACAGCCCTAATTTGAACCCCATCGAGCACATTTAGACAGCTCTAAAAAAAAGATAAAGGAAATAGAGCCTCCTTTTTAAGACCTAAAGGACAATATCGTTCACCAGGCGTGGACTAGAGAGATAATCCAAGCTGCATAGTCAGAGTTAGATCCCGACCTCCCAAAGAAGCTCATCAAATCTCTCCCCGATCGGATTGCGGCAGTGATTTGGGCGCGCGACTGGTACAACCACTACTAAACCGCTATCAAATGCATATTTTGTTACAATTTTCGGCCTTATGATGCCTTCGCAGTTGAGCAGTGAATGTGGTGGTAATGGTGTGTAGAGGGCGCCGTACGGAGACTTGTGTGGGGTTAGTGTATACGGTCTACCTCCTGGTTAATTGCTGTATGAGTTCGACGGGCTCACATTCGGACATGGTAATTTGTGGCTCAGGCATCCCCTCCCCCTATCACGTCGTCCCGCCAGCGCCAGCCCACCCACTGAAGTCAGTTTGCGTCCGTGCATTCATTGGTGGTGCCCAGCGCTGTGGATGTCCAAGTACCCCACTAATATAAGGTATTCCGAGGGAAACAGTGCCCGCGTGTGAAGGCGCGCTACGCTCCCAGCCTGGCCACTGACTTTACCGTTCCGCTCCCAGGTCGCTCGCTGAGTTCGACCCGACCGCCCGCCCGTCCAACCTCCATTCCCACCAAGACACACCACCGCCGCCTTCGCCGCCGCCTTCAACAGCATCATCGTCACAACCATCGTCACAACCATCGTCACAACCATCGTCACAACAAACACCGCTAAACGTATAGTGCACTTATCTACACCCACAACAACTGCCAAAAATACCATTCCACAGCGACCGATCCAGTCTATGCCCTTCTTTCGCTGGGCCTGCCGATATTCCAACTGACCAAGCATCAAAGACTGGAGAGCATGCGAAGATAGAAAGGCTGCCAACCGGAGGGGACTCGAAGGAGAAACAGCGCCACAGCTTGACTTCTGACCAGCTGCACGCAGCATACCTTTGTACCTATCGCACCCGCCTTCCACATCACACACATCCCGCGACGACCCTCCAGCTGCGTGATCCGCGATCATGCCTTTGGAGTCCAACTCCTTGGCCGCGCCCGCTGCGCTCCCAGCGAAACGACCTGCTCGCGACTCTGCCAGCCCCGCCGCAAGGACCCCTTCGAGGATACCCACCCCACCACCGCCGTCCGATCGTGGGAGGCTGCAGGCGAGGCACAATATGGATAACGGCAACTCCAGCAAGGGCTCGAGACACAGCGGCCGCTTCACCGAGAGGACAAGCACTGGCGGCATCGACCCAGAGTCCTTATCGCGCGCACTCTCCAGAGAAGTCTACACCGCCGACAGGCGGGATAGTACACCAGGTGCCAGCCCGAGCAGGAAACGGCAGCGGATGAATGGCGACAGGTCAGTAGACGCACCGATGGCTCTGTTCCATGAGCTGCCAAGGGCCCAATGCTCTCCCGCGGCCCTTCTCGGGCTATGGAGCGGCATTTGATCTTGCTTGGATCTTTCGAAAGCTCGTCTTCAGCTTCACAGGACTGTCGCTAATACCTCGTCCCCAGATTCATCCCAACGCGCTCCGGTCAAGACCTCCAAGCCAGCTTCAACCTTCTCCACGAGGAAGGCTCTCCGGCTACCCCGTCGCGCCAGAAGAAGCGCACTCCCCACGGAGAGGTTAATTTCCAAAAGAGTATGTTATTGCCCACCTACCCCGTTATTTCTGTCCATGTCCAATGCTGACGGATGAGTTTGTCTAGCTGAGGAGGCAAACCAAACTTTTTCCAACATACTGAGAGCTGAAATGTTCGATGACACAATACCGCAAGCCGCTTCTCCGGCAATCTCAGCAGACGCCAACCTACTTGGCGCATCCCGTACTGCTCACGATGGCACAAGGTCACATACACCGCCCAATAACCCGCCACCCTCTCTGCCTTCAAGCTTCACTCCATCAACACCCCACAAGAATCTCTTCTCATACATGTCACCTCGCCATATCACCCACATAGCTGGCCATCCCACGCCTTCTAGGACGCCACAAAGCCGGCATGGTCCCAACATGGATACCCGGTCAGAAATCTATAGCCTGTCTCCCGTTCGTTTCGGCAGTCAACAGATGCTTCTCAGCCCACGGCGGCAGCCTCGCGCTGTCAGCAAGGTCCCTTACAAAGTTTTGGATGCTCCCGAGTTAGCAGACGACTTTTATCTGAATCTCGTCGACTGGGGAAGTGCCAACGTCCTGGGTGTGGGTCTGGGCTCAAGCGTCTACATGTGGAATGCCCAGACAAGCCGCGTCAACAAGCTTTGCACGCTCGAAGACGATACTGTGACGAGCGTGAACTGGATCCAGAAAGGCACCCATATTGCCATCGGTACTGGGAAGGGACTAGTACAGATCTGGGACGCTGAGAAAACCCGGCGATTAAGGACCATGACGGGCCACACGGCACGTGTGGGTTCTTTGGCCTGGAATACGCATATCCTGACGTCAGGATCGCGGGATCGGCTGATATATCATCGCGATGTAAGAGCGCCAGATCAATGGATGCGAAAGCTGGTGGGTCATAAGCAAGAGGTGTGCGGTCTTAAGTGGAACTGCGACGACGGCCAATTGGCGAGCGGCGGCAACGACAACAAGCTGATGGTCTGGGACAAGCTGTCGGAAACACCTCTCTGGAAGTTCTCAGACCATACTGCTGCCGTGAAAGCGATCGCCTGGTCGCCACATCAGCGTGGTCTTCTTGCCTCTGGTGGAGGAACGGCTGATCGCAGAATCATATTCCACGACACGGTACGAGGGACCGTGATCAACGAGGTCGACACGGGTAGCCAAGTGTGCAACATCTCGTGGTCCAAGAATTCCAACGAGATCGTCTCGACCCATGGATACAGCCAGAACCAGATCGTCGTATGGAAGTACCCGTCAATGACGCAGGTCGTCAGCCTCACGGGACACACTTACCGGGTGTTGTATCTCGCGATGAGCCCCGACGGAAGAACTATTGTCACAGGTGCTGGCGACGAGACCCTACGGTTTTGGACTGTCTTCGGGCGGCGTCCCGGCCAGCGAGAAGACAGTGATGGTGGCGGAGGACGACTCGCCGACTGGGGCGTCATCCGGTGATGGACGCCCGCGTATAATCTCGACTCTCCATGTTTCAAGTACGAGAAACCCTCGACTCAATCCATGCGCTCTAATGACGACAAATCCCGCTTATGACACCTACCTGGCCGCTATGATTGGCAAAGATTACGACATGTTAGGACGAAATACCCACACAGTTACTTGCATCCATCGGCGTTATTCACTTTTGGGAGGTCGCAGCTACCTCTATGCGTGCATGAGTTTCGTCGTTTGCGTGTCAGACTTTGCCTGCAGGGCTGCAAGGGTGCGAATGCGAGCTATGCAAAGATAGCCACCGCAAGTTCTCATGGGAGTGAACGGCAGCTCAAGAAAACGTTGGCAAGTCTCTGCGCACCGTATCAACGGCTAGCATCACGGCTGTGCTTTACTTTTGTTTGTACAGCGAGATGTTATTTGTGGTCATACACGGGCGAGATAGCTCCACGGTCGGGACGACGGCTGGAGGAGCTGCCCACCTGCCTTGGTTGTCATAGCGTTGTAAACAACATAATGTTCTTCTGAGATCATAACATATTCTAAAGCCGAAACCCCTCGGGTCCAAACGCGACTCGAGCCCTCATATGAGCCGTGTTGCGGATGAATAGCAGGATTGTACGAGTCTATGCAAGGTGTTTTGGTGTAGGTACGTTGTATTGAACTTGAACTACCTTGGTAAATCTATCAAATACGGTTAGAGCACACGCAAGGTGATGATATCTGTGGAATTACTGAAGGATGCTTCCATCTCTCTATCATGATGAACAGCCGTGACGCCATGCGGTAAAGGTACCTCTAAAGCATGAACCAATGAAGGTTTAAGCGAAAAGGGGGTATCGTATATCTCCTGTCAGAGCCGGACACTCTCCTGATGCTGCGCTGCACCATGCTCAAGAACTCCGTCTCTTCATTAGGTATGGAAAAGGCTAAAACAACACGTTGTCGTGACGCCACAATACGACGCCAGTCCTTCACACTTGGGTCCCAGAGGACTGGGATGCAAAACCAGGTGCGATGATGTTCCACAAGATGCAGATGCTGACCGTTGTCGACGCAAACTCTTATCGCGTCTGTTGTACGACTTAACTACCAGAGTGTATCCTTCGTGGGCGTGGTGAAGATTATGTTATTGTCCCACCAGTTTTCCTCTCCCGCGCGACATCCTTCGCGCCGCCGTCCACTCCAGTAGAGGCCGCATCGGCCGTTGTGTTGTTATGTCTTGATGGGGATGCGTCGTCATTCAACAACGGGATATCATCAACGCCCAACCGCCTTCCACTAGTAGGATCTTCGACGTGGATATCCTCCAGCGCCAGATTCTTCGCAGCGCCTTCGGAACCGCCCATGGGTGTCATCTGGGGAGAATGAAGCATCATATCGGGACTACTTTGCCACTTAGCCACCTCAGCCCGCATCGATTCAAGCTCCTTCTGGAAACGCTTGCCGAACACGTCGATGTAGTATGTGGAGCCGTTGTAGACGCTCCACGTAAAGACAATCATGAGGAACCCAGCAGACGCCCACCGGCTGTAAAACCAAAGTGGGCAGGGAAGCATGGTCAAGACAGCGTAGAGGTACTGGATCATCATGAAAGCCGGCTCTTGGAGGTTGTCGGGCAGGGAAAGAACGAGCTTTCCAATCCACGCCTTGGAGTAAGAGCGGCGCATCCACGTGAAGGAGGTAGGTCGTCCAGCTGCAATCTTTTCACGTCTGCGGACGGTAATGAAGAAGTAGTAGAAGAGCTGCCAGACGGCATAGAGCATGGACGACCAAGCAAGCATCGAGATGATGTTAGCGTAGGCGGTTGGTGAACCGGGCGGAGAGGTCTTGACGGTCCAGAGCGCAGGGAAACGTTCCCGCTGCTGTTCGGGCGAGAATAGATGGATAATACAATGCAAGGTGGCGCACGGCATGATGTGAATGAACAGAGATGTGACCTTGTCGAAGTCATGAAACACGAGCGAGTTCCGCCACATGATGATGGCCACAGCATTGTTCCCAAAGGCGAGACAGTACGCCGCTATGAACAACCTCTTGGACGATGGGAAGACCCAGATGCTGAGGAAGAGCAACAAGTTGACGAAGTAACAAAGATCAGCCAGGAAGTAGTGATAGCCACGGCTGTGGTAGGTGTAGTAGCGGATGGGCATAAAGTAGACAAGCTGAGCAGTATACCAGATGTGGAAGCCATCGGGATAGGCGCCGATCAGATAGCCGCTGATGAAGATGTTCATGACTCCGAAAATGAAGGAGACCTTCTCGCGCAGAGTAACGACCTTGGCGTCCTTCCATTGCGTACCCAGTTTCTCAACACTGAGCTTCATGCGCTTTCGATATCTGTCCAGCTGCTCGTCGGCCGAGGGCACGCGTCGGCGCCACTCCTCGACCATGCGCTCCCTGGCTTCATGACCTCGGGACTGGAGAGCGGCTCGTGACTTGCGGACCTTCTCGGTCTGGGCCGAGATCCCCCTCTGTATCTTCTCCAGCTGTTGCGGCAGGGCGAAGTTGTCAAGTAGATCCAAGACGGTGAGACGGTCTAATGGCGGGTAGGAGTCCCAGTCTTCCTGGTAGGAGCTACTAGCAGAGAAGGATGGGTTCCGCGACATGGGACGACTCTTGGGGGGAGCATCGCCCAATCTGATAGTATCGGGCACAGCGGGTTCGATTGGCGACCATGTAGTAGATTGTGCATTTGTCTCGTCGGGCGTAAGAGCGTTGTCGTCGTCGGTGGGAGTCCCATCGGACTTGGCGGGAGGTATCAGTACTGGCTGACTATTGAAGGCGGCCATCTCGGCGAGAGTGCGTATGGGGAAGCGTTGAATATCGTTGCGGAAGGAGACTCGTCGGAGAGCTTCGGCTCCTCTGAGAATCAAGCTGTCAGCCATCCAGCCATCAGGGCATACCAGGCGACGAGGGAAGCGAATATGGAATGTGCATGGTAACTCACGGGCAGAGGTTCTCGATGGTCTAAGTACCAGGAATCTGGACCCTTGATCAGGTAGACCCGTGTGCGAACGGCTTGAGGACGGGAAGGTTCAGTAGCGGTAGGCGAAGGCGCGTGTGACTTGGTAGCTTAGGTAGGTTTCTGATGATGTTGTCCTGTCAGTGGCGCTGGCGAAAGGACGTGTCTCGAGGGCGGATTGTGGTTGGACGAAAGCAGACAGGCAGACTCGTGTGCTGAAGCCTGAAGGGAAAAGGAGGCTAGCCAAGACAAATCGCCAGTCAAGACTCAAGAGACGAGCACGAGAAGGCGATGCGGGTGTCTACCTACTTATGCCTAATAAGAAGGGATTCTGGTAGATAGGAGGCAGGAGGTATGATGTAGGCGTGTTACTTGCAACAGTGAAACCTGCTGGCTGCCAAGCTACCCTTGTGTGTGGTTCCGACTGACGAGTCGACGACTGATGAGGTGCCCAGTAGACTCCAGGACAGCAAGCTGGTTTTGTCTGGCCAACGCAGTGAAAAGAACACTACCTATAGTACTTGGTATGTAGATGGAATCCCACAGATTCAAATTACAAGGCATGAAATGCACTGTCTTGTACATGTTCACGACCGGGAATCCGACTGGCGCGAGTGACGTCTTTCTGCAGCGCAACCCCCACTGCAGCAGTGCAGGTCGCGGAGCTTGAATGAATAAGAGGTGGTCTGAGTGCCCTGCCAGCTGCTGCTCCTTGGCCGCAGGTGTAAAGGGGCCGGCACTTGGTTGAGACGTGACTTGAGAAGGAAGTCGAGGTCGGCAGCGCGCCCGCGTTCCCTGCCGATTTCTGTCAGTGCGCATCGACCATCCCCCGCGCCTCCGATTCAAGTCGCGTGTTTTTGTAGCCAACTTTATAGTACCGTGGACCGTGGTGTTGTATGGAATCCTTTTCGCAAATGTCCCCAGAGGCAAGCTGACCAGAGTTCCCACCCACGAGTCACCGGCCATACACGCGCTCTCTCGACGCCGTCACCAAGCACCACCCATCACCAAAAGCAGACGATTGAAATGCGCTGAGTTCTACCACCGCGCCTCATCTCAAGGCCCACCTCCCGTGTCGCGTCCCCCCATCATCAACACCCATTGTCTGAAGCATCGCGCCCAGCAACCACGCCAACATGGGCAAGCTAATCCGCCTCGAGCTGTTCAACTTCAAGTCCTACAAGGGCCATCACACCCTCTTGTTCGGCGACTCGTACTTCACCTCCATCATCGGCCCCAATGGATCCGGCAAGTCCAATTCCATGGACGCCATCTCCTTCGTCCTCGGCATCAAGTCGTCGCATCTCAGATCCACCCACCTGAAAGACTTGGTCTATCGCGGGAGAGTCCTCAAAACCTCCAAAATCAACGATGACGGCTCCGCCCAAGACCCCACCACCAACGGTCACACGAATGGCCACACGAATGGTGACGATCATGACAAGCCAAATCGCGGCGACCCCAAAACTGCATGGGTCATGGCCGTTTACGAGGATGATGTGGGAGACGAGCACCGCTGGAAGCGCGCAATCACGAACCAGGGATCGAGCGAGTACCGCATCAATGACCGCGTCGTCACAGCCCAGCAATACAACGAGGCACTCGAGGCCGAGAATATCCTGATCAAGGCCCGCAACTTCCTCGTCTTCCAGGGTGATGTCGAGGCCATTGCTTCGCAGTCCCCCCAAGACCTGACGCGCTTGATCGAGCAGATCTCTGGCAGTTTGGAATACAAGGCCGAATACGAGAAGCTCCAAGGCAAAGCCGACGAGTCCGCCGAGAATTCCGCCTTCCAGCTGCAAAGGCGCCGTGGCATCAATTCCGAGATCAGGCAATACCAAGAACAGAAACAGGAAGCCGATAACTTCCAGAGCAAGACCGATGAGCGCGACGCTGCTGTTGTCACCCATATCCTATGGAAGCTCTACCACTTCCAACAGGTCATGGATGAGTCCAGCGCCAAGATACAGGAACACCAAGAGAACTTGAAGGAATTCCGTCGCAATGTCGAGTCATTCGAGAAGAAACTTGAAGCTGCTCGGAAAGACCAGGTCGACGCTGCCCAGAAAGTCCACAAAGTCGAGCGCCAGATCAAGGGGCAGGAAAAGGCATTGGAGGACAAGGAGAACAGCCTGGTCCCCATCGAAGAGAAGGTGCAGAACACGACTGGCCAGGCCGCCATCCTTCGCAAGAGAATCGAGTCCGTCCAGAAAGAGCGCGACGAACAGGCCAAGCTGATAGCCAAGAGCGAGAAGGATCTGGCCGCGGTCCAGAAAGCCCAGAAGCATTTTGAGGACCAATGGAAAGAGACCATGAAGAAGCAAGGCAAAGAGCTTAGCGATGCTGACCGGAAGGAGTACAACTCGCTGCGGACACAAGCCATGGCCAAATCCTCCGAAAATCAAGCAAAACTAGAGAATCTTAACCGTCAACTGAAGACTGACGAGGTCACTGTTAATAGTCTGAAGGGCAAAGTCGATGGCTACCAAGCCGCAGTTGAGAAGCTTGAAGCCGATATAGCGACGATCAAGGAGCGGAAGGATGCCACCCAGGCCACAGTCAAGCAGCTATCTGCCGAGATTGACGCCAAGAAGAAGGAATACCACCAAGTCCAGTCGGAGAAAGTCCGCACAAATCAAAGACGGACGGAACTCGAAGAGAAAGACCTGGATGTCTTGAGGAAGCTGACTGAGGCCGACGACGGAAGACGCCAGAATGACAAGGAGGTACGCACGAAGGAGATGGTAGCCGCGCTGAAGCGTCTGTACCCCGGCGTCAAGGGGCGCGTGGGTGATCTCTGCAAGCCCAAACAGAAGAAATTCGACGAGGCTGTCATCACCGCCCTTGGACGTGACTTCGACTCCGTCATCGTGGATAGCGAGAAGACTGGTGTCGAGTGTGTGCAGCATCTCAAGGACCAACGCTTTGCGCCCATGACCTTCATCCCCCTGGATAACATCAAAGTCAACGCTGTGAACACGGCTGTCAAGGGCATTTCCGGCGCACGATTGACTATTGATACGATTGACTTTGACTCGACACTCGAGCGTGCCATGTCATACGCTTGCGGCAGCTCGATTGTCTGTGACGATCTCGACATCGCCAAGCACGTCTGCTACGAACGCAGGCTACCGGTCAAAGCGGTTACCCTGCAAGGTTTCGTCATCCACAAGGCCGGCTTGATGACCGGTGGACGCGGTCCCGAGAACAAGGGGGGCAAACGCCGCTTCGAAGAGCACGACGTACAGAACCTGCGTAAGATGCATGACAAGTTCCAAGAAGAGATTGACAAGCTCCCGCGAGTCGACCGCCGTGGCCTCGCTGAGGAGACGTTGCACAACGAGCTCGCCGGCCTAGAGCAGCGCCTACAGTTCGCGCGAAGCGAATTGACAGCTTTCGAACAAAACTTGGCGAGCAAGAAGAAAGAACTTGATCACGTGAAGCGCCAACTTGGGGAGTGGCAGCCCAAGTTCGACGACGAAGACCACAACTTGCAGAAGACACGATCATCAGTTGAGAAGTTCAAGACGGCCATAGCGCAAGTCGAGGATAAGATCTTCGCCGACTTCTGTAAGCGTCTTGGCTACGCGGATATCAGGGCATACGAAGGTCAGCAGGGCAGCTGGGAACGGGAAGCAGCCGAGAAGCGTACCGAATTCGATAATCAAAAATCCAAGTTGGAGAGCAACAAGAATTGGGAGGTGGCGAGACAAAAAGAGACCGAAGGTAGACTTCGGGTGCTAGAGAGTCGGCTGGACCGGCTTTCCGAAGATATCAAAACGTACGAGGCCGAGAAGGAAGAGATCGAAGAATGCATAGGCGGTGATCAGGATAACCTTGCAGCGCTCCAAGAACAGTTGGATGAGTTCAAGACTGAACTTGCTACCCACAACGACAAGGTCAATAGCGCCAGAGCCGACGTCCAGAAGCGAAGCAAAGATATCGATGGCAGGCTCAAGGCAGTCACCGCGCTGGAGACGGAGGTCCAGAAGAACAGCGCTGAGAAGTTTGCTCTGTTGAGGCGATGCCGACTGGAGCAGATCAATGTCCCACTGGCCGAGGGGTCGCTGGACGACCTGCCAAACGAAGATAACCTCCTGCACCAAGATCCAGATGCCATGGATGTCGACGGAGGGGACGACGACAATCAAATGGAAGATGCTATGAATGATTACGGGGTCGAGATCAACTTTGACGAGTTGGATGACGATCTCAAGAATGTAAGTCGCCATTCCGCACTTGTTTTCGTGGGATTTGTTGCTAACGCACTGCACAGTCCGATGATGATGAGAAGATCGAGGATCAATTGCAAGAAAAGATATCGTCACTCACGGCGGAACTGGAGAAGCTGAACCCCAACATGCGAGCCATGGAGCGCCTAGAGGTGGTCGAAGCCAGGCTCAGGGCGACAGAGAAGGAATTCGACGATTCGAAAGCGTCCGCCAAGGAGACCAAGGATGCCTTTGACGAAGTCAAAGCCCAGCGTTTCGACCTGTTCAACAAGGCCTTCACCCATATCCAGGAGCAGATCTCGCAAGTCTACAAAGATCTAACACGCTCGGACATGTATCCGCTAGGTGGCCAAGCCTATCTCGACATTGAGGAGGATACGGACAAGCCCTACCTTTCTGGCATCAAGTACCACGCGATGCCGCCTCTGAAGCGATTTCGTGACATGGAGCACCTCTCGGGAGGCGAGAAGACCATGGCAGCGCTGGCTCTGCTCTTCGCCATCCACAGTTACCAGCCGAGCCCTTTCTTCGTGCTTGACGAGGTCGACGCGGCTCTGGACAACGCCAACGTGGAGAAGATCAAAAACTACATCCGGAACCACGCGGGCCCGGGTATGCAATTCGTCGTAATCAGCCTGAAGACGGGGCTTTTCCAGGACAGCGAGAGCCTGGTCGGTGTCTACAGAGATCAGGACGTGAACAGCTCGCGGACGCTGACCCTGGATGTAAGTCTTGCCTCGCGCCACCTTCCTTACATGATCCCTCTTGCGTCCGACTCTTCTCTCGTTATCCCATATGATACTAACGAATCGTACCAGCTGCGCAAATACGTATAAGCTCAAAGCTACAATCGGAGGGTGGCTGGCCGTCTTTTCCCGGGTGGAGTTCCAGGGGGGTAGACGAGGTAACTGACTTTTACGACGCTTATGCATGACAGATGTCGCCGTGGTTGGCCGGCGCCTGCATCTATCACAAGCACACCATGTGTGTGTTTTTCTTTTTGCACTCGCAAATACCCTCTTCGAGATATACCTTTGCGGCCTTGCTTGGAGACAGAGAAGACAGACTTGAGCTATGTAGCTTGGGGCTTTTGTGTGATATACTATTTTCATCAGCTGTAGATATCAACTTCCACGCCGTTCACAATTGCTTGTGGTCCAATGCTGCCTTCCCTTGTGACCCCTTTCCCGGCAGCTATTCTGCAATCCGTCCCTACCCCTTTCGGGCGCCCTATCTATGATGAGATGATGACAAGGGACGGGGCCGCGCTGTTTCGCCGTCGTATATCTATGGGTATCGCAGAAACAGAGTGCCAGCCGATGGTGTGTCGCGCTTTTGACTCATACTTGGTTGGTCAAAGCTTCTTTGGGAGCAGACCAGAGTGGCTCATACGTCCTCGAAGGCGAGGTCCTCATCCTCGCTCTCGGCCTCGTCGGCAGGCTCCTCCACCTTGACCTTCTTGGGCGGTCTCTCTTCCGAGGCGGGCGTATCCGCAGCGCTGGTGGTGCCGCTCGACGCTAGGCGCTTCTCGCCCACGGAGCTGGCATTGTTCGTAATATCCTCAAACTCCTCGTCCTCGTCATCTTCCTCTTCGTCGGAGTCGGAGTCGGCCTCGGCCTGGAGTCTCGCCTCCTCTTGTTGTTTTGCCAGCATACTGAACAAGCTGTTCACCTCGTCGGTGTGCTCAGAGTCGTCGACCTGCTTGATGGGCTTCTTGGTGTCATCCTCGTCCGCCTTGACTGCTGTCACCTGGCTCGTGTTGCCTTCGTACGATGCGCCTGTAACGGTGCTCTGTACATGCCAGGTCGGGAGAGCGTTGGCTTCGGCAATCTTGGCCTTGTGAGCACGCTCTGCCTCCTTCTCGGCCTCGGTGGGGCCGTCGGAATCGGTGATACTGATGGCAATGCTCTGGGGGCCGGTATTTGCCAAACCCTTGACGGCGGTAGGCTTGGAGATGCTCTCGACGGCCATGGACGGCGTGACCTGGTTTGTAGCATCGCGAACGACGGCGCGCATAGCTTCATAGGCTTTCTCGAAGGTGTTGTCCGGGATGACGACGGCATCGAGTTTGGGCAAGATAGTGGTGACGAATCTGAGCTGGTTGTTGAGCCTGGTTGACTGCTCATGGCCGCCAGCTTCACGATCGGCGTCGAAGATCAGGACCGAATCGCAGCGATGGCAGCGGAAGCCGTGGGCGGGATCCATCTTGTCCAAGACCTCCATCTGGGTCCACTCGGCCTTGCATCGCGGGCAGAAGTACTCCTTCTTCTCGCTGGCGGGTTTGGCGTTGCCCTGGACGGCCTTGTCGAGGTGGTATACGCGCCACTTGATGGCATCGATGGCCTGGCGGTAGTCGATGTAGTAGTAGGTGCGGTTCGTGGGGCGTAGCTGGCCATCTCTGAGCTCGGGGCGGACGTGACTATAGGCACTCGGGTTAGCGACTCGCATCGACTATGGTATTGCAGGTCAGCTGGTCAGGTGGGAGGCCGTACACCTGCAGCAAGCGGTCGTCGCGAATTCTGGCGCAGATCTTGTGAAGGTCCTTCAGGTTCATACTCATCAGGTAGCCCAAGTCATCGTCGCGCAAGCATGAATGGAGCACGAGGGCATCCACAACGACGATGTGTCTCGTGTCGATGCTGGAAGTGTCGTAGAAGGCGCGTGCGACTGAGCGCACCAGGTTCTGGGCCAGATCCATTGTCGGGCGCAGCTTTCACAAAGAGGTGTAATCCAGCGGGCGATCATGAGGTTACAAAGGCGAGACGGGGGCGAGAGAAGACGACAGAAGGTGGAAAGTGGCGGTACGAGACCTGGCGACTTCAGAGGTGCCGAAGTGGGAGAAGTGGTGGATGCGGTGAGTGGCAGCAGAGAGTGTTCGCTTCTTAGTTTGCGATGCGACTCGACTGTTCCATTGTTCGGGTTCGCTCGACTTTGGGCTTTGCGACGCCGACAAGGGACGCGGGAGTTCGTTCCTGTCAGGCAAGGCGTGGACTATAAAACGGCATGCTTGGATTCGCATTCGCCGAGGGATATTAGACGCGGTGTGTATTCTTGCAGGATATCGGTCAGTCACGGCAAGGAAGCTTGACGAGTCCCGTGGGCTCTTTACCTTTTAACGTGAGGTTGAAGTCAAGCTGAGAACTGTCAGCCTCCAGCCTCAATCCCCACGCCATTAAACCTGGAGTCGAGGGGTCCACTATGACCGGCCCAATCGGTCCCACACGGAACTTTCTTGGCCCGACGCCGAACCCCCGAATTCCGGCTGAGGTCACTGTCCTTAAAGTCCACTTCCCCGGGGCGGTCCGAACATACCTTGAAGCTGGTGAAGAAAGTCAGACAAATTGCGAAGAGACCTTCACTCCCATGCTGTCTACCTATATCTGTAGATGAGGTTATATCTTGATCAATATGAGCATGGCTGTGCTCTGTCTTCTATTCATACGTAATCAAAACCTTGGGCAGCGTAGATGCAGTAATACTAATGACGTACCTCTAACATAAGTATGTACACCACCTGCAGCTGCACACCCGTTTGGATTTTGGAACCTCACATGGATGAGGCATCCACTGCCCCACGATACTTGATTCCTCGGACACGCTTTTCTCTCTCGCGCGCGCGCGACACCGTCTGCATGATACTCACAGCTTCCTTGCCTACTTAAAAAACACCTCAGGCAGAGAATCCGGCGACTGCTGCCTGCATCTTTCAATAGTCTGATGTCCGTATATGCTGACACTAAGACAGCGAACATTCGGGGGGTGGTTTATGGTGTCTGGGATCAACACTCTACAATAAAAAGAGTGACTGAATGCGACAGGAAATCTAGGTGTCTTTGACTTTTATCAAGGCGCGTAGACCGAGACTTAAGAGGGGTGACGGTAGACTCAGTCACCATCCCAGCTCTTCTCCCAGTCTCATGATTCATCATCATGAGACAAGCTCGCTTCTCCTCACAACTATCGCGCCGCACCCAGGTCTAAGGCCTTTGCCATCACCTCCTTGCTCATTAGTCGTCGAAATGGCTCTCGACTTTCCCACCATATACCTGTTGCCAACCCACCTTGGGGCCGACGAGCTACCCGAACTGGAAAGCCAGATTCCTTCTTTGACCTACGACATCAACGAGGCCAAGGTCGTACTGGGGAAACTATCACGGAGAGAAAGGGCCATGCTGGAGTTAAGATCGCGAAAGCTTCAAACCGAAGAGATCGTAGCAGCACCAGTCCCAGAACCCAACACAGTTCCGATATCCGCCTCAGCTCCCCCAGCGAAGCGTAGGAAGCTTTTGATATCGCCCAGGACTTCTCCCGGTGCTGGATCGAGTACTGCATCTGATACCGATGAAGAAACGGGAGATACAACATCAAAGGCCCGCCGTCCGAAACCTGCCGTAACACCCGAGTCTCCAGATTTCGAGCACGACAAAGATGTAATCAACGTCGTCAGGCTGGCTTGGTTTACCGACAGCATGGCCCGAGGGAGCGTCCTACCGCTAAACGAATATCTGATATATAGGGGACGGAAGAAGCAGGCGAAGCAGGCAATGGTCGTTCCATCAAGACTGGACCCCAGCGAGATTCTCAGGCGTGCGAGAGATGATGCGAATGCGAATGGACGCCCAGCGTCGCAACACGGCTCTAGTCAGGGCTACACCGGCTCCCAAGACCATCCGAGAACCGCACCTCATAGCAAACGTCCCCATTTACTGAAGGAAACTACTTCGGAGCACGACCGTGCCGAGAGACTGCCGCCGCTCCCAGAGTACCTCCATAAGCCGTACGCTTGCCAGCGCCCAGCCCCTTTTAACCCACCCAACAATGCCTTCATCGAGCAACTTACGGAGATGCGGACTATCAGGAAACTTGAGCATGATGATGTCGGAGTCAGGGCATACTCGACAAGCACCGCGTCCATAGCAGCCTATCCGTATCGGATCTCGCATGTAGCTGGTATCTATATACTTCCCTATCAATATTTTTAATGCGGTCCCTACTAACTGCTGTATAGAAATTGCCAGATTGCCAGGCTGTGGACAGAAGATTGTCGAGCTATATCTACAATGGAAGGAGAACGGCTATCTCAACGACGTCGAGCAGGCCGCCGCAAGTCCAAAGATGAGAGTCCTCAAACTCTTCTACGAGATCTGGGGCGTTGGGGAGACGACAGCCAACGAGTTTTATAACCGGGGCTGGCGCGACCTCGATGACATTGTCGAGCACGGATGGGACAAGCTCACACGGGTGCAGCAGATCGGCGTCAAGTACTACGACGAGCTACTGGAGAAGATCCCACGGGCAGAGGTCGAGTCCATCGCAGACATCATTCTCCAGCACGCCAACAGGATCCGCGACGGATACCAGATGGTCATCGTTGGCGGTTATCGGCGAGGCAAGACGGCCAGCGGCGACGTGGACGTCGTCATCAGCCACCCGGATGCATCCGCCACCGACTTCTTCATCAACGACATCGCGAACAGCCTCGAGGAGGACGGTCACATCACCCACACGCTCACCATCAGTTCCCGAAACAGCGAACGAGGGCAGGAGCCTGTAGCGTGGAAAGGCGAAGGCGGCAAGGGCAGCGGTTTCGACACGCTCGACAAGGCGCTGGTCGTATGGCAGGATCCCGTCTTCGACAAGGCCTCGTCATCCAAGAACCCCAACCCGCATCGCCGCGTCGATATCATCATCAGCCCCTGGCGGACGGCCGGCTGTGCAGTCATCGGTTGGACTGGCGGGACCACGCTTGAGCGAGATCTCAGGCGCTACTGCAAGCACGTAAAGCGCTGGAAGTTCGACAGCAGCGGCGTGCGGACGCGGATGGACGGCGGCGATTGGGTCGATATCGAAAGCGACGCCGATGGGAAGCCGGCACCTGACATGCTGACGGCGGAGAAGAGGGCCTTTGAGAGACTGGGGCTCGAGTGGCGGCCGCCCACGGAGAGATGCACTGGCTGAAGGGAGGGAGTAGCATGCATAATCTGAGGGAGATTGGTTGGATAGGGAATGGCATTAATTGTATTGGCAAAAGCTCCCAGAACATTTGGGATAGTAGGCTGATATGGATAGTGTTTGCCAATGAGAGAGAGAGAGGAGTGGAATACGTACAGGCGTCTAGTGCATATATACGGGTGATGGACGAGTGACGATCGGATATTGCTAAGGAGAATGGTACAAGTGACTACCAGCAGGTAGGGCCAGCTGTACGTGTGCTGCTTGCTGGTAAAGGTATATTCACAGTCTCCAGCGCGCAGAGAACAGCAACAGTGACTTAGTAGCATTATGAGTTGCGAGAAGTCAACAATCCCAGAGGAGGGTTTAGTTAGGCCTGATAGTTAGGCCTGATTCCTTTCGAGGGTGAGAGTACAACAAAAATATACACAAATTTTCACAATATTAGACACGGTTGCCCACCCTCCCTGAGGTGCCGGACGAGACCAGCGTAGTCCAGATGATACAATAAGAGCATTGAAAGTAATGAGCACAGCGGAGGTCGTTTCATTTTGTCAAAGATCGGATATTCTTATGTCCCAAACTGTCCTATGTGGTGTGTATGGTGGATGTAATTATCTATATATCTGTCGGCCTGCGTGGTTGGCCCGGTTGTTATTTTTATTCACGTGTAGTGCTGGTATCTGGTATGGTTCAAATGACGGTAGGCTTTCCCCCAGAGGCCTGGATGCAGAGGTCTCTTTCCCTCTCACTTAATCGACGCTTCCGTCTTGAGTCTTTGCCTTCAAAAGGGCAAGTCTCCAAGGGAGTAACCTCCTGAGCTGGAAGCAGAGGTATCCACCAACTCATGTATATTGTCCCATCTCCCCGTCTGTCCGTCAAGCGTCCGTCTTCTCCCACCAACCTCACGATCCATCCACCCAGTCTACCAACCCCCTTCACAGCTTCGCCTCCGGCGCACCACCACCTGTCGGCCCATCACCATCACACCGCGCCAGGATCCAATTCGCCACATCCTCATAGAAAACCTCCTTGCCGTGATCAGCATGAATCTGATGATAGACGCCCTCGTACGCCTTGAACTCCTTATCCTGCAGCTGCGTCTGGCGCTCAAACCACGCCTTGGACTTGTCAAAGCTGGTCGCCTTGTCCCCCGTGCCGTGCGCCAGCAGCAGCGACCTCACCTTCGGACTCAGCTGCATGCGGCCCGAGGAGAGCTTTTCGGTGCGGTCCAGCATGCCCGCCAGCCCCTCCAGCGTGCCGTAGTTGTGGCAGAGGGCGTCGTCGGCGATGCTGCGCTGCACGTCCGGGTCGCGCGTGATGTCCTCGGGCGGGATGGGCCGGTGCATCTTGAAGCCAGGCAGCACGTGCGACGCCAGCTTGCCGCTGGCGATGGTCAGCCAGTTGGGCTGCAGCTCCTGCGCGAAGCCCAGAAAGGGCGCCTCGAGGATCCAGCCGCGCACGCGCGCGACCACATCGGATTCGTGCTCGGGCGAGCTCGCCAGCGCCATGACCTGCCCGCCACCCATCGAGTGGCCGCAAACAAAGACGGGCGCCGTGGCGGGCGCGGCTGCGGCGCGGTCCTGCACGAAGGCCGCCATGTCGGCGAGCACGCGCGTCGTCGGCCCTGATCGGCCCTTGTCGCTGTGCGTGGGCGCGCTCTTGCCCCAGCCCCGCTGGTCCACGCCGTAGACGGCGATGCCGCGCGAGGCTAGGTAGGGGAAGAAGTCGTAGTACCGGCCTATGTGGTCGCTGAAGCCGTGGAACATGATCATCTTGGCCTTGGGTGGTACATCCCCACCAGGCTGTGCGTGTGTCAGCCACTGATTGTCACAAGTGGGCGGGTGCGGTCTTGCTTACCAGCCATGTTTTCGTGAACAGGCTCACGCCGTCGATCTTGAATTTCCCCTCTGTGATTTGCACCATCTCGACTGTTGATGTGTCTACTGCAACTGCAAGGAAAGGGATGGACGATGTGGCAGTGGTTCTTGTTATAGGTAAGTCGCCAAGCTCAGCGTGGAAGGGGGAAGCGAGACGTTGTTGGGTAAGAGCAGCGGTTTCTCGTCAGTCCCAACAGACCGGGTAGGCAGGTAAGCAGGTAAGCAGAGCCGCAGCTTATCGTCCCTTGCTTGAGATATGCTGCTGTACAAAAACAGTGTGATCAATGACCTGTCGTTGATGTATAAATGAACGGACCAGTCAGCTCGTCGTAGCTCGGCGAATAAAATGGAAGGACGGAAGCTACCTACCTAGAGCTGAAAGTGGGGGCAAACTTCTTAGACTTGAACACCACTTAAACAGCCGACTTTTAAGAAGTGAGATTGTAAAAAGAAGAACTAAGTTCCTAGAAAACGATGTTTATTTACCAAGTGGGCTATCGTGTAGCGGGGGTTTAAATCCCTAGAACAGGCTGTCCCGTAGCAACTATGGTAGGTTTACTACATGCACGATTAATGGAAAATTTGCTCATCTTTTTACAGATATACTACCCTTTTACACCCATTGGAAATAAGTGGGCCCTTGCAAAGAGCCGCTGCCTCCCTCCCTCGCTCCTAACAGACGCCGGGTATCACATACTAATAGGTGCCATCTTACATATTATCACCGTTCTCAGCTTCAAGTCACTCATTAAGCAACTCCAGCTGGTTCCTCTGAGAGACTACAATGGTCATTATGAGCACCTGATTCTAGCATAGAGGCCAATGCAGGACATTACGGCTTCACAGCAGGAAGAAGACGCTCCTTTCACGTACCATTTTATCTTGTTGCGTGAGCATGGTCCTATCGTGAGGACTCTCTCTCTCTCCAAGTATATATCAAGAAACCCACGGACTTCGCCGAGTCCGACCAACTGAATGGTATCGTGAGTGGAGAATTTAGTGTACATATCGGCAGAGAGGGCAGGCACATATACAAGCAAGCAATCGTCGTGGCCCAAGTCGCCCCCAATCTTCGCCATCTGCTCACCCCAACTCCTCAAAATTCCTTATTTCCTTTTCCGTGTATTATGCCTTCCCTTTCCACGACGACCGTCGAGAAGACTCAATCCATGCAAAGCAACCAAGTGGGTATATCCAGACGCGCCATCACTTTCGCGACTTCTTTTCGTTGACGGCATCATCGGCGTCTTCTTCATCGTGCTCGTGCAGCTCCTCCTCAGTCACCTCCTCCTCCACAAGGTCGGGAGGCTGTGACTTGCGGGGGTCGGGGAATCCCGCCCCCGTTCTCTGGTGCTCCAACAGCTTGCTGAGAGCGCTCTCCTTGTTCGCGTAGAGCTCTGCATAGGTTCCGACCTCGTCGACGGTGCCCTGTTTGCTCAGCACGATCACCCGGTCCGATCTTGCGATCGTCGATTGACGGTGCGCGATCGAGATGATGGTCATGTTGCCGTCCATGACTGTTGCGAGAGCAGCGTTGACCGCCGTCTCAGACTCAGCATCGAGAGCCGAGGTCGCCTCGTCGAGAATGAGGATGTCTGGATTGGTGATGAGGGCCCTGGCAATCGCAATGCGCTGCTTCTGTCCACCGGATAGTTGTGCGCCCCTGGATCCGACCGCCGTCTCGAAACCCTGTGGCTGATCCTGTATGAAAGTGCAGTTCGCTCTACGAGCCGCCTCCTTGATTTCAGCGAGAGTAGCTCCAGGCCTGCCGTACGCGATGTTTTCTTGGATGGTGCCAGAAAACAGGACCGGTTCTTGAGACACCACCCCGATCTTTCGACGCAGTTGCTTGACGTTGAACTTGGTGATGTCCTCCCCATTGAGCGTGATGATACCCGTCGTGGGATTGTAGAATCGTAGCATGAGAGCCGACACAGTTGACTTTCCTGATCCCGACGGACCCACAATGCAGACGTTGCTTCCTCCAGGAATCTCAAAGTCGAGCCTCTTGAATACCGAGACACTCGGACGGGTAGGATACACGAACCCGACGTCGGAGAACTTAATGGCACCCTTAGCCGACGTAATCTTGTTTCCCCTCGTCAAAGGGATGGTCGGCTTTCGGTCTTGAAGCTCGAACAATCGAGTCGCTGCACCGACACCCTTCATCAGTTCGGACAAGAAGTTAGTAACTCCGCCGACGCTCGATCCGGCCCACGCCGCATACATCATGAAGGTGGTCAGATCGCCTGTCGTGAGGATACCCTCTCGCACGAGTCCGCCGCCCGACCAGAGTAATGCTATTATCATCATCTGCCCTACCCAACCGTTCCACGAGTAGAACAGGGCATCGAACTTGGACATCTTGACGCCGGTACTGAAGATTTTGCGCACTTGCTTGTTGTAGCGACCGACCTCCTGAGCCTCGCCAACAAACATCTGGCTCGTCCTCACGTTACCGAGCCGTTCCTCCCCAACCTTGGTCAGCTGACCTAGTCTCGCTTGCATGGTACGACTAAGCCGTCTAATGACTCTAGTATAGAGAAATGTAGCCGTACCGATGAAGGGGACTGCGTAGAGGATCGTCATGGAGAGTTCAGGACTGATCCAAGTCATCGCACTCAGCCCCGCTATGCCGCTGATCAACGCTCGCAGTCCGTCGGAAACATTCTGCGTGATGCTCTTTCCAACAATGACAGTGTCGGAGCCAAGTCGAGAGATCAGATCGCCAACCTTATTTGCGTCGAAGAACTCTGCGTCCTGGTTGACGGTCCTGCGGAACAGCTGGGAGCGCAGGCGCGTGACCACGCGCTCGCCAATGATTCGGAGCAGAACTATGCGTCCGAAGTTGGAGCACGCGCCGACAGACAGGAACAGCGCAAAGGCCGGGAAGAACTGGTACAGGGTCAGACCAAAGATGCGGGTGTCCTCGAAGGTGGTCGTTGTGGCGAGATCTGTCGAGGCTTGTCAGCGAGAAACAGTTGCATTCAACCTAGAATGCAGACGCCACTCACCCATAATCTTTCCCACAACGTAAGGCACGCCCAAGGTAATAGCTGAGGACGTGAAGAGCAACACAATGGCACCGGTGAGCGGCAGAAGCTCTGGGCGTGCGAAGCGGAGCAGACGTCCGACCTCTTTCAAAGCGCGCCAGCCTTTCGTGTCGTCCTTCCCTTCCTTACTGAGTCGGGCTGAATAGTTGTACTCGGCGGCTTTGGCTCCCTTCTCGCTCCTGCCCAGGCTGTCCTCTGGCTGCACGGCATTTCCGGACTCGTCGAGCTTGAGCACATTGGTCTTGCTGGCTCCAGCCTCCGCAATCTGGCTCTCCTTCTGGACAACCTTGTTTGCTGCGTAGTGTCGAGCGACACCGGGGAAGAAGCGCAAGGACGCGTGCTGGGCGGGAACGACGGAACGGGTGGCTCGGGAAACGAGGCTCGAGGCCGTGGTCTGGTTCGAAGTCGTGCCCTTGGCTCGTGTGAAGGCCGCAGAGAGGTTGTTGGCACGGGGCAGGAGAGGAGAGGGCTGGAAGAGACTCGCGACACCGGCACCGCGTTGCGAGCTCAGCAGCACGCGGCGCATGGGGCCTGACAGGCCTGACACCATGATGGAAGCCCTTCAGCGACCGTGTCGCCGAGTGGAAAGTTTCCGAGGTACTCGATGGCGTCGCCGACGCGCGACGCTGACAAGGAATTGGCTCTGAGCAGTACGGGTGTGGTGTTGAAGCGATTGATTCGACAATTCTGAGGATAAGGTACATTAGCCCAAAAAAAACAGCTGGAATGCCGTCATCCAAACTGTACATATGTACCTCTTACCTTAGTGCCGAGGTAGTCTCAAGTCTCACCCGAGCTCCGAACCGCCGATGATCTACCTATGCATGTATTGCGTTAGCATCTGCCCCCAGGATGCCGGGGTCACACTTCCGGACTGTCCGACTCGGAGGTTGCAGAAAGGGCCGTATTGAAGCTGGTAATGTGTGGTTCTTGCTCCAGATGTGTTCAGAGGCACGGGGTATTGGTTGAGGTCTTGCTTACCTGGTGGTCAGGATGGATGAGAGATGAGGTGCGGTGTAGCGAGGTAAGTGGTTGAACAAGGCAATGTGCTCTGGGGAAGTACGCAACAACACCCGATCGTGTTGAATTCCCCAGGACAGCACAATCACCTTGTTTTGATACAATCAGGCTACCTTTCTACCAGTTTACGGGGCCGTCTTATGGTGTGAAGGCACCGTCTCTGCGTGCTCCGCGTGGCTCCCTGTGCCCCAGCGACCCCGGCCGGCCAACGTCCAGAGTAAGCATTTCACCAACCGCTTGCGCCAGCCCCTCCGAGACTCAATTTTTGAAATCTAAAGATTCTAAATACCCTCATACGATGTTTTTTATTGAGTCGATGTTACGGTGGCGGTGATGCGCGAAACTCATGGCCGGCGACGAAGTATCACCTCCCAAGTCGTTCGGCTCTAAAAGGGGGGACAACAAAGCGGGCCCTGGTGAAGCATGTACCCAGCTTCAGCCTGAGAGCCTGAAAGCCCTCGAGGAGTTGATAAGGGCACGCAGCTGTGGTCAACCCCAGTCTACATATATACCAGAGGACCCTCGAGAAGCGATGGGCCTTTTCAAGCATGTTCTGCTGAGGAAGCGAGGGCTAAATCTATGGAGAGGACTGACGTTGTTGCTGGTATATGGTATGCTGTGTACTGACGAGACCTATCACGAGTGTCCTCCGAACAGCATCCTTAACCTGGTAGTCAATGGGAAGTACCCACGAACGCATGCTACCGGGCGAGGCATTGTCTGATATCAACCGGCGATCGTTACGCCAGTCTCTTAGGTTTTGTAAGACATATATCTAGGTTTTCGATCTTGCGCTGACCCTACACGCACAAGGCAATATCTCTGTTGCTTAGAGAAGATCGTATTATGCGTAGCCACTACTGCTACAGGTTGGCAAGGTTCGGCCCTCGCCTTCCGCGCCACCGGACCGTTCACACAGCTATCATTGGAAGCTCGTGGCGTGTGAAATGTCGACGGCTGGCTCGCCGAAAGGGGCCCATGGCGATGAAGCATGTACAGAAACGTGGGGCTTCAGTCGGTGGCGAGAAGCTGTGTATACGCCATGTGACCGGGGGCAACGAATGGAATATGCGGGTAATGATGGTGGAAGACATGACTGTAATTTTCGCCGTAGCGAAGTGCTAGTCACGGTTGATGCGTTGACGCTGTTGGGATTTTGGCATCGCTGCAAGTGACACGCCTACGCGCCCTGCTGAAGAGGCTGCGAAGAAAGTGAAGCGAGGTCTCATGGCATCAGATGCTACGAAACCTGCCCCCTTTCCCCCATCACTACATGCTCGGACCTGAAGGTTTTCATAGCTGAAGCATGAGTATCTCCAGTCACAAGCAACTGCGTGGCAGTTGTGTACTTGGCCGAAAATGATAACAGGTCCAAGTCCACTGATGCGTTGCGGCGTAGATGCCTAGCAGTTACCCACGAGCTTGTGAGTATCTTCTTATTTGGCCGACGTACGTATATGGGAAACATGATAAGATTCACAGCTAGCTTTGATTATGGGAGGGCCCTGTCTAGAAAAGGGGCGTCATCATTACGACGTATTATAACAATTCCCGTGGACTGCATCCACTTGAAATAAGTAAGCTATGGTTGAGGGACCATAAAGTCATCCATAAGCCTCTAGAATATTCGGTAAGTACAGCCCAGCGAGCGCGACTTGCAAGCCTACCTAGGTAGTCAGCAATGCTTGGACGGCGTAGTATACTAGGAGATCAGCCGACAATGAGTTCATTGACCTACTCACATGCACACCGCCCTCTCCCCTCCCTCGACAGAACCTCATATCCATCTAGAAAGGGGGGTCCCGAATCACATTCCCAGATGGAATCTGAGAGAAAGAGGCCTGGGAATCCTCAAAAGAAGTGGATACGGAGTCAAGAGATTGCCAGCCCTTAAGGTATAATACTGGTATCACCTGTATCTAGCTAGATGTGGTGGACATCGTACCACGGCCCTATGCACCCTAGGGAGAGCTGGGTCCTGCTGCTTCGCAGCAAGCCTCCAGCCGTTGAAGAATACCAATCAATTGACACAGAGCCTCAAGGCGACACATTGAGCTGGGCTTCGAACCAAGATCGTTAGCATATACAGTTTCTCACGGGCACACAGAATCCATGACCCCTCCATGAAGCGCTGGTGAGAAGGCTAAGCGAGCCGTAGACGACAAGAAATGCAGTCCCGTGATGGCATAACATTTCTTCCCCAACCGTGGAAGGGGTTGTACACGCAAGAATCACTTTCATCTGGTCAATTCCATGATAAAATAAGGTAAATGGTTGTATCTGATACTAGCAGTGGTCGATTACCAGCCCCGGCGGGCCATTATTCGTGGAGTTAGGTAATACAAGCGACAGCTCAACTTGGAATCCATTGCAGAGTCCCTGGTTTAGGAGCAATAACTCCTTCGAAACCTAGCCTGTATGGTTTTTCGTCCCATATAACTATGAACCACCGTCATCTTTGCGAAGCATCTCTTCCACGTCTGCATCAATGCCGTTGTCGCCTCCTAAATCTGGAAAATCATTGCCGTCATCCAGACGGCGCTTCTTAGAACCATTGGCCGACGTTGGGACCGATTTGTACTGCGAGGCTAGGTCGGAGAGCATCTCAATACCTGGTGCGGCGGGTTGCGCATCAAATATAGATCCCTGAAGGATGGTGGGTGGCAGTTGACCATCAAGCTGGGTGGTCGGGTTGGGCTCTTGGGCGACCTCAGGCTCCATCGGCGGCGGTGTGAGTTCCTCAACTTCGGGTCTGTCGGGTTCAGGAGCTGGGTGATGATCGTGTCCGTTGCCAGGCACGTAAGGCTCATCGTCAGGTAGACCAGCCATGATAGCCCTCTCGACCTCGTTCTTCTTGTCCTCGACCTTCAACTTCCTCTGCACAAGCGTCTCCAGCTGGTCCTCGTCAGATATCAATGCGGCCCTGTTCGTATCCAAGATCTTCTGAAGTTCGCTGACAAGCTCCCTGCGAGCCTTCACACCCTGCTCCACAGCTCCCTCGGCCTGGGCGAGAGTCTTTAGGAGTCCGCTTAGGCGGGCGGCGTAGACGGGGGCGGAAGGCACCGCACTAGCTGGACCCATCAGTTTCTCGTAGTCCTGGCTGGCGGTGTTGACTGCGGTCTTGGTGTTCAGGAGTAGCTTTGTAATGTTCTGCTGGGGCGTGACGAGAGGCGCCAGTTCTGCAGGAAGGGAAGCGGAGCCGAAGATGGAAACACCGAGTCCCCCCTTCGAAGTGCCACGAGCTTTGTCGAGGTCTACTCTCAGTCAGCGGATGGTTGTCTCCACGGTGTACGATGCAGAAATGGCTTACCAGCGATGCGGGTCTCGACGGCGGCCTGGATGGGTTCCTCGAAAACGTTACGTTCTCTCCAGACATCGACAACTCTCCGGATCCTTTGCTGTACATCGTGGGGGGCACCCTTGTAAGCCGTTGCTATCGCCTCAGCAATGGATGGTGAGAAAGCGACAAGGAAATCCTCCTTGCGACGGGCCTTTGATTGCTGAGTGACTTCTGTATTATTTGTTAGCATGGGCACTTGCAGGAGGCAAACGAGCCGGCCTTCCGACTTACCGTTGGCAACGTAGATGAGATTCAGGCGTTTGTGACTAGAGCATTCCTTCAACCGCTGAAGCCACAGCTGAACGGTGCGGTCTGCATGGCGCCTGCACACATATAGGTTAGAGCTAGTGAACAAACCGCGATGCCGACGATGGCTCTCCCATGGTGGTATATGGTGGCATATAGGGATATTAGGATATTGGCCTACCTGTGGAACATGATCCATTGGGCTACGGTGACGATGCTGTCTTGGGCCTCGGACAGTGCTGAAAGCTTGGCCAGCACGGCATCATCGTTGTAAGCCATGTTGGGAGGAAGTGGGCGTAAAAAGTTGTTGCTGTAATGGCCTGCAGATGATGGTGGTGGTTTGCGCGAGGTGCTGGGGGCAGAGGTGACGCCTGATGATGGACTGGCTTGTTGTTGGCCTGGCGTTTGTTTTTATATTCAGGTCAAACTACAGACTGCGGCTGCCAGGATGCATCAAAAGCAGCTGCAGGTGGGCAGAGCAATTCAGAACACGGGTGCCTGAGGCTAGCTACTGAAGCCGGCAGTCTACATCAAATGTGTCTCGAGAGGAGACAATGTGCCTGTAACAGGTTGATGGCGAGAAATAGGTTCCCTCCCAGCAGCTCTAATGTTTGGTTGTGTATTTGATGGTCGGTGGGAAGTTGGGATGGAGGAAAGAAAGAACATGGACCAGAAGTGGTCGTGAACGAGGACCAATGCAGCAAGCACTCGATTCAATGTTTCAGCAGCTCTGCCACACGTGATGATAAGATACCTACGTGTGGGCGGGTCTCAGCTCTGAGCTGGAGAGGTACCGGCACCTGTAGGTATCACTGGACCAATCAGGAGGTCTCTTTCACGATCTGCCTAATGCCCCCTGCGTTGTCTGGAGGTGGCGCGTGCACTGGTGCTGCAGATGATGGGCAGCTAGCACTGTACGAATACCATTGCTGCAGACCAGATTTCCAAACACCTGAGGACCGACCTGGCCTTGCGACCAAGCCCCAAGCACTTCCATCATCTGCATAAACACGCCCCTTCACATACACCCTAGCCTGCCACCAAAGTCTTCCAGTCAATTTATTGAACGCCGTCCCCCGTGCCCCCAAACCTTTGGTCTTAATTCCTTCTGTCGCTCCACAAACTCACCAATATGGCGGACCGATTCCCGTCTCTGGACGACTTCGATTCGGGAGGTAAGTTCTGCATTCTCATTTCACGTTGACCGTATATGGCGCTCGACTCTGACAAACGCCCATGTTCAGCCCAGACCGATATCAAGGAGGAAGGCTCCCCTTCTGCCGATGACTTCCTTGCCCGCGAACGAGCCCTCCTCGGCGACGATGCGACGCAATTCGCTACCGGTACCGAGTCCGCTGCTCTAACCGATCCCGCATCAGACGACCTGCTTGGAGGTGACGACGGCGCCGAAAGCACACAATTCCAGAGCCAATTTCCCGACATCGGCTCCCCCAATGAGGTATGCTACTATTCAGCAACCGTGCAACATAGAGGCCACCCATTCTAACGGCTATCATAGCAAGGTGCGCCCGGAGGCGGCATTACCGGCCCCTCGGTCAACTACAACTCTGGCTACAACGCATTCGCAACCGAGGAGGAGGAGCTGGAGCCTGAGGTCATTCAGCAATGGCGCGCGAAGCGAGATGCCGGCAACGCCAAGCGAGCCGAGCAGTTCGCCGCCCAGAAGGCCGAGACGGTGAAGGAGGCTCAGCAGAACATCGACGACTTCTACGAGAACTACAACAGCAAGAAGGAGAAGACCATCGCCCAGACCCAGAAAGACGCCGAGCAGTTCCTGGCGAGCCGTGACGACACAACATCCGGAGGTACCAGCTGGGAGCGCATTGCCAAACTGGTGGACGTGAGTGGCAAGGGCCAGAAGGGCGGTGCTAGTGGATCAGGCAAGGAGCGGTTCCGTGAGCTGCTGATGAGCCTGCGGAAGGATGAGAAGGCTCCCGGAGCGGAAGGATACTGATCGCACCCTGCTGAATCAGACGCACATATCGCCCAGGGACTGAACTTTGGTTGGCTGACCTCAGGCTCGGCATCTTTTCCCCAAGTCTCTGTAGGCCTACCCCCTACAAGAGCAGTTCTGGCTGTACTTTAGACAAGCCCGCACGATCGGGCATTTAGGTTGGCATCATGGCATTGATTCCCAGCAGAGGGCGCAAATGAACATGATGGACTGATTTCCCGGACGCAAAAGGGGGTACGGATGGAAATGTATAACCACAACGTGCGTGTGAACGGACTCTATTGTTCGACCTAAAGAAACACTTGGTATTTGTCTTTGCCTATCGAATCAGCCACCACTGCCTTCTCTTGTTGCGTGTCCGTTGGTGATTTAGGCCTTGCCGAACCAGGTGTTGTAGCCCAAGATCTTGCGTCCCATCATGTACATGGAGGCTGTGTCGTCCTAGTCAGAAACAATACGGCAATATTCGGGTCGTGTGACAAACCTCCGAAGGTACCCCAGAGCATGACCTGGAAGGGGACGAGGAGCACCGGGCTTCGAGTACCCTGCGTCATATCTTGTTAATCGGAGTGGTCCACGGGAGCAGAGGGTTTTCGGGCCATCGGGGACGTACGATCTGCCACAGGCGCGTGTGCTGCTTGTAGGCTTGCTGGTAGAATCGCTGGTGCTGGGGCACCTTGTTGGGGGCGTCGACCATTCTGTTACGGTTGCGGGTTCTCGTTAGCATACATACTCCAAGCGCAAGCAACCGTCAATTTAGGTAGTTCGGGGCCTGCGATTGGAATTCGAGTAGGAGACGATGTAGGAGCCATTGGCGCTTTCGTAGCTGCCATTCTCAATGGCTACTCGTATAGCTTGGACGTACCCCATTTTGGCGGTTATTATGTAGGATCGCGGATGTTCTCGGTGGGTGTGGTAGATAGTCGTGAGCTGTTGTTGAAGCTTGAAAGACGTGCGCAGAGTGGTTCGATTCAGACCTGGCCTGATTGGACGATCATGACTAAGCGCGTAATCCTCGGTTATAAGGCTCGAGCTAGACAGGGTGGAGCTCTGGGCTACCAAGTACTAAGGTACATAATGCAGGATCCCGTTCAGGGGGTGGAACCTCCGAGTCGTCGTCGGCGGTTCAGCGCCCGCTGAATGGCGTTCTAAATTTTTGAAGCTTCCACCTCGATTGGGATACCAAGTATCTCCATGCAAAACAGTATTCATCCAGATACCTCCCCCAGGCTTCACGCCACCCCGACAAGCCAAGCCTATTGGCATGCAGCCGCATCGCAGTAATGCGATTGGTGTGCCGAGTGCTACGAGATGTGAAGCCAAAGCGGTCTATCCTCCATCCTCGAATCCACATCCCTTCGCCATGCTCCCAGTTTTGCGCTCGAAACCCCCAGGGGCACGCTCTGCTATATAGCCAAGGCACACGCCGGTTCTCGACAACCTTGGTGACCGACACGGAAGATGCTGGCGATCTTCTTCTGAACGAACTGTCCGACACTCCGTCAACGCCCGAGAACGCCTCTCGGCAGCAGGAGCTTGACGTTTCTCTAGTACAACAGTCCAAGCTGTTTGGAAGATGGAGGCCGCTTCTGACCAACCCACACCGTCTTGCCATCGAGTCCGATTTTACCCGACGAGGGCCTGCGAAGGAATGGCGCGGCCGCCTGCTGGTCGACCATTTCGACCACCGCGGTGACTTCGCCTTATGGAGTTGCCTGTTGGACTACCAGACGAGGGTGAATGGGCAGCTGGGTGCCCTGAACGTCTGGAGAGGCTTATGGGGACGCAAGTCGTTATATGATGTCGACAGCCCACTCGCGCCCATGTTCTGGCGCGTCATGTTGGAGGCCGCTCTGAACACCGACGACGAAAAGACCCTCGAGAGCGTCTGGATCTATAGCGAGTGGATGTACGATGTTCATGGAGTCAAGTGGCCACAAATCTACACTACCGTCATGGGACACCTCCTGCGGAATCACAAACACCAGCAGGCCCTTCAATGGCAGCTACGTTTGACTCCAAACTTCTACCCCGGCCCGCAAGACTTTGCAGATCTGGTAACCGAATTCGCCACTGACAAGGAACAGTATCGACTCTCCACTCTGCAGACCCTCTACATCGTCAACCCTGACCACCAGCTCTACGATACGCTTGTACCGTACCTGTATAACTTGGGGGAATCTCGACTCGCAATGAAGTGGCGGAACACATGTGTTCGGTACGATGACTTGCCTTTGGCACCTGTCCCTGCTCGACCTTTTCTGAGGTTCTTGCAAGGCTATTTCCCCAGCGAATTCCTACACCCTGAGGAAATAGCTGCTACTGGGGATCTCAATCTCGAAATCGAAGAGCCGATACAGCCCGACCTGTCACGAGAGTTCATCAATCGGGTCCACGGTAACACATTTGGTATCAGTGTCAAGAATTACAATGACCGGTTAGGGGCAAAGTGGTTTGCTAGTTCGTGGGTGAGCTTGAATGCAGCCATTTCGACAATCTCTGCACTGGGCATTGAAAAGATTGGACCCCTGTCGCTGCAGTCCATCGCCCTCAGGGAAAACACGTCGGAAGGTGTACTGAAACGCATCGCGCAGCTCCAAGAACATGGCATCTCCGTGGTCGATTCAAATTACTTCAAGACGGTGCTTTATCTTGCCGAACTCAAGGATGACGAGCTGTTGCGTGACCTTTTGGAAAGCGACCTTCACCCGGACGTCTTTGATGATTTGGTACTCCAGACACGCCTCTTAGAATCTACCGTCGCTTCGTCAGATTGGCGAACTTACAGACTTCTATTGGTTGCAAAGGTTGTGACACTGCAACAGTCACCTCGGAAAGCCGCCAATGCCCTTGTCGAAGTCTACTTCCGGCAGAGGGACCAGCAAGGCCTGTCGAGGATTCTCGCCGACATGCAGGCCATGAAGGTGGGGATCGATCATGAGAAGACCAGCCTCATCTTTGAAAGCCTGGAAAGTGAGCGCCAGTCTACTGGTCTCACCTCAGATGCCCTGACTTTCTATCTATCAGTCTGCCAGGAGCTGACGAAGATGGATGTCCCAGTGCCGAGAAACAGGTGGCGGATCATCCTGTTCGGTCTGATCAGGGGAGGCAAGCTGGATGAGGTGGAAAAGTTATGTCTTGAACTTGTGAATCTCTTCACTCGCTCCCATTCTGCGCGCCCAGGATTCGTTCCCATGCATCTCGAGGACATCCCGGAAGCCATGAAAAAGCGACTCTCGGGGGTTGAGAACCTTCTAGGCGTCTACGTGCCTCTGGACCTGCCCCGAACATCGGCTCTGCATCCCCTACGCCTCCTATTTGACAAGAAGTTAATGAGCACAATGATACGTGTCTCCTTTTACACCTTACTAGAGCCGAAGGGGAAGACGGGCCCCACAATCCAAACGCAACGACATCAGCCCCAGGCCTTCCACTGTGGTCGGGCCGTGAAATTCCTGGGCATGCTTCGGGAACAAGGCTTGGACGTGAATGCTGGCACCGTGGCCCGCTACGTCAAGCAGTGGCTGACGACCCTCTACGGGAACGCCATCCTGACCAAGAAGGCCTCGCAGCGTATGCGAGCGAACAATACATTGACCCTAGGAGAGATGAAGGATCTGCTGGATGAGGCGTGGGGAGATGAGCTACTCCCGCCGCTGGACGAATTGCAAAGAGAGATCGCGAAGCGTAGCGGCGAAGCGAGCCAGAAGAACTCGAAATACCTGATTGGGCGAGGGAGGCGGCCACCCTCTATTCGCTCCGTGCTATGATGGCGCGCATATGTATCCGAACCGGACATGTACAACAAATGAACATATAATAACGATACCCACACTCCAATGTACACTACATAGCCTAGAAGTAAATAAACCACCCTTTTAAAGCGGAACATTCCATACCTAGCGGACAATCAACAAGGCTTGTCTCATGCGTCTCATTATACTCTTTATTATTACAACTCTAGGCCATCTTGACGAATCCTGCGTGGCCCAAGATTCAGGTAGTCCGAACCAATTCTTACAGTCAACGCCTTTCCCTTTCCACGAGCCTGTCAAGGTAGCCCCTGTAGTCTTCACCCAGGAAAGAGGGTTTCCATATCACCCTCCATCTCCGCCATCCCCCGGATCTCCCGAATCTCCAGAATCCCCTCCCCCTCCTCCCCCACCACCGCCGCCGTGGTTCTTAGGTTTGATGACTAGCAATATTATGGCGCCCGCAATCAGCAGGACCAGTAGCAGGATCAGCTTCCGCTTCGTGGTCTTCTTCTGGTAGCCCGTGGCGATGTTGAGCTCCTTCTCGGCGCCCTTGACGTCGGTGGCCATGCGCTCGACGTTGTAGTCGATGCGGTCGAGCATGGTGCCCTGGTCGATGACCATGTTCTGCAGGTCGCGGAACAGGTCCGACAGCTCGATGATGCCCTGGGCGATGTCCTCGATCTCGCGCTCGCGCTGCGAGATGGCGGCGTCGTTGCTGCCCAGCATGCGCTGCTGTGTCGTCTGTTGCAGCGCCGTCTGCGAGTAGGAGCGGTCGGCGTCGGATTCTTGGAGCGATGGGTCTGCAGCGTAGTTTGTGCTGTTATTTCCCAGCCAGGGCGCGGATGCGCGCTCGTTGGTTGGGGTGAGGGTGCCGAAGCCGGACATGCCGCGAAGCTCTGAGAAATTGTCAGCTTTCTGTAGTCTCATCTTCCACCAACAGCAGCAGATGTGTCCCTCTATCTTTCTTGCTATCCATGTAGAACATACTCTTGAGATATGCGCTCTGCTTCTTCCGAAACCCAGCGCTAGCCTCTTGCACGCGGCCGGCGAGGCTGACCTGTATATTCCGCGCCATTGTTTCCTCAGCGCGGGTCATGTTGCCCTCGCGCACCATGGCCTCGACGCGCTGGATGCACCTGTGGCAGTCGTGGAAGCCCTTCGTGATGGCCTGAGTCAGGCGCTCGATCTCGCTCTCCTCGGCGCGCTTGGCGTCCTCGTCGTTGAACCCCGGCAGGACGTGCTTCTGGTGCAGGCGCTCGAGGGTCTGCGACTTGCGCGCGATGTCGGCCAGGTGGTCCGACACCTCGTCGCTGATGTCGGCCCAGCGCGGCGGCAGCAGGTCCATCTCGATGACGGCGTCGCCGTCCCCGTCGTTGTCGTAGTCGGCCGCGTTGGAGAGCAGGCCCTGCGTGTCCTCGCCCCCGTTGCTGCTACCGCGCCCCTCGTACGTGTCCGTGAAGCCATCGCGGCTCGGTCCCGGCCCGTACCGCGTCTTCTTGGCCGGGTGGTGAGCGTAGGATTGGCGGTAGGATATGTAGCTGGTTTCGAATGGGTCAGTTGGCTGCAGCTTGCAAGTAGAGGTAGCTCTACTTACAGGTTGGTGCGGTCTCGCCACATGGCGGACGCGGGAGGGAGACAAAGCGGCCGTCAGTTTCGCGATATAGAATTAGCCAATTGTGTTTCGGAAAGAATCGGTGTTAAAGGAGTGAGTCGAAGTGAATACTGCCGCCGGTCATGTGTGTTGCCCTGATAGTCTGGAGGACATAATGTCACGATGCAGTACTGTACAGATATCGTATTGATTGACAGTGACTGCAGCTGCAGCTGCTCCCCTAAAAGCTGACGTACCTGGCTCCTCCCTGCCGTCCTGCCGGTGTCCAGTGTCGACGCTAGATCTGCCAGAAGGGCTGGAACTTGGAGAGTCAGAAGCCTTCCCCGGGGCACAGGGGTACGACTGACAGAGAGTCAGGACTGCGCTACCGTCCTATCGGAGATTTGCAGGTACGAGGTCGCGAACCACATGCGACTGCCCACTGTAGAGCCGGGCGATTCAGGCGTCCAGGCGTCCAGCAGGCATCCCCTGTGCCCCCCCAAACGACTGGCCAGCACTCACTTTAGCGGTCGCTAGCCACTGCGGGCGACCCCCAATCAATGGGGGACGCTGGACCCGAGCACAGTTCCAGACTTCATGCCAGTCATGCCAGGCTGCCAGCGAAGCAGGCATCTGCCCGCCTTTGTCTGTTTTATTTATTCTTAAAACACGTCCTTGGCAGCCCAATACCCTCCCCACCAGCACCATTGCGATCTCGACACTCGACACTCGACACTCGTTCCGCCACGCCTACTGCTACCACCTCCCCGTTGACCACTTGCACTGCAACATATCCCACTTACATCCACCATGGTCAGTCACGCCTGCCCACGCCATTCCGTCACGGCTCCCGTACCCTGTGCTCTCTTTAGACCCCGCGGCTGAGGGGTTCAAAGGGCCCCAGGGGAAGAGGAGTGATAGGACTTGCGCTGACCCGATCCCTCTCCGAGCAGGCCGACTCTCTGACCGAAGAACAAGTCTCCGAGTTCAAGGAGGCATTCTCCCTCTTTGTAAGTCACTCTCCCAGATATCTGATCAGGGCCTTGACGCTTGACACTCGTCTTGCGACTGCCGTTCTGCGATGACGTCGCTAACGATTGCGTGATGTAGGACAAGGACGGCGATGGTGAGTTCTCTCTGACTTCTCGACGCACGCCTTCAGCCCGGCACGATACGCACGATACAATTCCCACCTACATCTAGATTGAAGCATAGTCATACTCGACGCTAGACAAATCGAACATGTACTAATCGCGTCTGGCAAGGACAAATCACGACAAAGGAGCTGGGCACCGTCATGCGCTCCCTGGGCCAGAACCCTTCCGAGTCTGAGCTGCAGGACATGATCAACGAGGTTGATGCCGACAACAATGGAACCATTGACTTTCCCGGTATGACAAGCCATTCTCCAGTCCCCTTCCCTAACCGCGGTGGGGAGGGGTATCACCAGGCTGCAGGCTGACAGCTAGGTGACACAGAGTTCTTGACCATGATGGCTCGCAAAATGAAGGACACCGATTCCGAGGAGGAGATCCGCGAGGCTTTCAAGGTTCGTATCTGCCAATAACTACCTGCGCAGGCCAGCAATTAATCCGGTGATAGGTCTTCGATCGTGACAACAACGGCTTCATCTCTGCCGCTGAGCTGCGCCACGTAATGACCTCCATCGGTGAGAAGCTCACCGACGACGAGGTGGATGAGATGATTCGCGAGGCTGACCAGGACGGCGATGGCCGTATCGACTGTACGTCACCTCTTCCATGAAGTCAGACGTACCTATGATATGACATGCTGACAATGCGCCACAGACAACGAGTTTGTCCAGCTCATGATGCAAAAGTAAATTTGTCGTTTGGTCTTGCGGCTTAGGCCACTTGATCGTCATACCCACTCTCATGTTGTGAAGAGCTTTCCTTGTCTTTTTGCCCTTCAGATTGGGAGGATGGAGGGCCGGAGCATGCTCTATCGAGCTGGGTTTTGTTCGTTCGGGGTGATATACCAGAATTCGGCGCGAGTTGGCATGGAAGATGTAGCGGGTCATTCAAGCTCCCCAGAGGCTTTTCAGACATCGTGTCTTCCGTAAAATTCAACTTGACCGTTTGAGGGTTCCCTCTAGTCCTCCCCCACGTCTCTTCCCGCTCTAAATCACTCATTGTGACAAGGCTTAGCCACGCATTTTCATGGATCAGGTGTTATCTTCTCAGTTCTCTGGGCTATGTGAGTTTGAGTATTGCTACCTTTCCATCCCCTACCTCCACGCTAGGATAAATCCTGCAGTGACCGAGTGCTTCAGGTGTCTGGAGCCCAGCATTGCGTGTGAGTATCTCCTCTCTTCGGTATTTCTGCCCACAAAAGACAGTGAGCTGCGGCGGAATCTCCCGAGACGTCTAGACAAGGGGCACGGCTCAGCCCTGCTATCGACTCACAAATCTGCCATTCACCGGGGTGAGTTGATAACATGAGGCGCAACACCAATCCGGTGCTCGTTGGCTAACTATTGTACGTCACCTCGTTCAAGGCATTCGTAATGCCCGAGGTGAAGGGTGTACCTGCCTGCCTCACACCAGCCGTTTGACCGCAAGACTTCGGGCTGGTGAGGCTCACAAACACTACGACCTGGGAACCCCCTATTATCGGTATGTGACCCAAGCCAAATCAAAGCTGTCGGGACGTATCAAGGCCAGGCAAACACAATCGCCTAGTTACTTAAACTGTTCACTGTAGTTGCGGCTGACTCGGGCTTGGATTGAGCATCTCATGGACAAACTCTTATCAGGTCGTTGGCTTCAAGGCTCGACTCCAATAATTGAAGAGGCTCACCTCTGTTCACATCAAGTTGAGAGGCGTGGACGTGTGCCACCATTGCCGTGTTTTAAGGGTGAAAGACATCTATCTGCCTTGGATCTGAACGCCATAATATCACGGCCGGATCATCTCCACGCTTGTCACTTCATATCATGTCACTTCATCACGTTCCTGCCTCATGGCGCAGTCCGGAGCACTAGCACATTATCCCACCTTCCCATTTTCCCTTTTTGCCCCTTTCCGCAACCATGATATGTTCATTACATGCCTAGTCTGGCGCTGTTAATGCTTAAGGTAGCAGGCACCTTGAGCCTTTTGGACCTCCAAAGCCGATGACCTAGATACATAGTGATTAAGTCTTGGGTTTCGTATGCCAGCATACCTCCTCGCGCATAGAGCATGGTTGAGCGGAGAGTCTATACATCTTGGGTTTCAATGAGCCTACTCAGAAGCTGTTAGGAACAGGTGAATATGGATTGCCGCTACTGGCACAACAAGTGTGTGAATCACTCTTGATGGGATGACTCGCCAAATGACAAACCTGCCTGGTCGCGAGGACTTAGGGAATGTGTCTACACTGAAACCTCGATAGTCTCTGTACGCCCCTCGTCGAGCAACGAAGGTATATCCTCTGTGAACGAAATAATCACTATGAAATAAGTATCAAAAGTGCCCTGTTAGATCGAAGCTGATTATGCCAGGGCGTTTATACGATCAATCTGAATATCAGCGATACCGTATCTGAGGCTTTAATGAGGTATGGCCGAGGGAGACTTATAAGTGGTGATTGTAGTCAGTGGTGAAATAGGGTCACCTTGGGGCTGCACAGACTAGCTATGCTATATGCAGTGTGTGTTCTGTTTTTGAAACCCGTGGTGTAATGGTGCCAGTCTTGAACCTACTTTTCCACCTAAGAGACAGGAGGAAATTTCAGCCATGCAGAAGACCTGTGTTACCTATGCTCTTCTTCTTCTTCCTTCTTTCATCCATGTTTTCTCTGTCTTGAAAAGATCCATAATCCAGTTTCACCACCAGGTGCATTTTGTGCATTCGGAATTGCTGTTGTTTGGTCCGCAGCGATGATCCGTTCTCTCTTCAATATCCTTCTGCTCTGAAACGTGGGCAACACATACGACATGAATATCTGGGCGGGGACGACGGCAACCGCCAACAAGCTGAACCCGATCGTGGCCAGTTTCCCAACCGGGAAGCTTTGCAGTCGGATATCTGACAGTTTGGTATCGATTCCAGCCGTGATGATCGCGGCAAACTGGCTCACGACGAAGAGAAGACCGATCCACAGCAAAGCGGCATAGCAACATATCTTCCTCCGCATGGCGATACCAAATACGTTTATGTCTATGCCCAATTCACTCTTGAACTCATCGGAGAACACCATGGGAAGGGATTGCTAGCAATGTCAATTTACTTGAATGGCTGTACTCTCTTGCTTGACACTTACAGCTAGACCGGCCTCTATAATTGCTGTGTTCGACCTGGCACCAAAGGCTCGAGGTTCGTCGCTATCCCCCGTGGAGGTACTGCAGAAACTAGATATTATCGATGAGATAGATTTCAGAGTACCCCTTTCAGAAGAGTGTCCATTAGCTAGACTGTCGTCCGCCGACTCATTGCCGGGTTGTTGCCGGGGACCCGAGTCAGGTATTTCTCTCAGCTCTTTCATATCTGATGACGACTCCATTAGCATGAATTTGTTGACCCGGGCACATCAATCTCACCTGCTGATATTTCTAGAGCGCTCAGCATCGGCAATAAGAGTAGAAGAAGCGGCATGACTTGCCCAAAGTTTGGCGTCATTACGGACCGGGTCGGGCAGCATCACCCGCGAGGCTATTCAGTAAAGTCCCAGTGACAAAGGTAAGAATGAACAGTAAAGCGATGATATCCTGGACGAAGGATCGACCTATTTCATCGATCAGGTCCATTACCGGAAAGTACTTCTGGTTCGAGCCGATTTTCAACAGTTTTGCCGCGGTCTCGTACCGCTTCCGTCCGTAGTGGCGTCTGAGTATGGCTCCGGTGTCACAATTATAGGCCCCAGAAGAGCACATTGGCGAGCCATGGTGGCCAGAATACTTGCCAAGGAAGCGACCTCGAGACTGGTATGTCACCAGAGGAGACCTCGACAAGTCCCCGCATGAAGATAACAAACATCCCGCACATGAGCAGGAACCGTCCAACAAGTAGGCTTAATAGATTTGAAACAATGTCAGCATCGTCATCGTCGAACATGTCGAAGTGAGCGAAAGCACAGCGCAACGACGTGGACGGGTTGTTGGTGAAACTGACGGACGAGCCTATGAGCCTCGCGGCGAATAGCGAGAGAAGCGTCAAGGTCATGACACCTATCCTGATCTTCTGGGGAGCCTCGAGCTTGCGAAAGTGTTGTCGCAGGGCCGTCAAGGTCGCTAGATGGAGGGACCATGAGAAGTAGCTGAGACCGACGGCGATAAGGTACGCGAACACTGACCATTCTTGGTCGACTGTAGGCATCATGAGCTACTGCTGGTCCTCGCGGATCATCTCAGTATGGTACTTACTGCCGCCAGCCCCAGCAGAGATAAGAACTGTGACGAAGAGGATAGACGTGCCAGTGACGAGCTGCTGGTCGCTCATAGCGAGGATGAACTTCTCAATGTTGGCCGCTCGGGCTATTTGGGACGATTCCCCGACTCCATGCTGGCGTGGTCGAGCGACGAAACGAAGCGGCCATGTCCGGAGGAAGATGTCGTCGCCCCCATTGTAGACATCCGGCCTAAGCGACCTCCTCACGTAGGCATAGAATATGGCAATCATTGCTATGGCGATAGATAGGATGAAGGACAAGATGACCTGGGGGTGGTAAAGTTAGCCTTGTCCCAGACACGAATGAATACAGTCCAGTCGTTATCTTACTCCGAGGCCGGTGATATCCGGGTCCCCTATCTCGTCTAGATAGCAAGATGGGTCGAACAAGGCCGACTTGTTAGTCGTTGTTGAATTGTTTGCCATGATGGGTACATCCCACGTCCTCAAGCTGGTCCCACCCCAGCAAGAAGATGAGTGTTTCAATGCCGTGACCTAGAAGACGGCCTAGGCAGGCGGCCTCCTAGCTACTTGCTGGCGTAGGGTGCCCGACATTTTGGGGCTGACCCCTGGGCACCAATGTGAGGCGATGAAAGTGCACTTTTGCTGTGCGCTAATACCCCAGGGCGAGAATGCAGGCTTTAGGTGGCATCCAAATCTTGCCCAATCACATCAAGTAGACCTGACAACGACAGCATGGGCGTTTTTCTACTTGGACCAGCCACTCCATGATAAGGTCCACGTAATGGTGTGAAACTGCACACCTCATCACACTCGGGACACATGACAGCGTCTGAGGCGTGAAGGCTTCGAAGCTATCCGGATCGCATCGGAGAAATGGAAGTATCTCCGAAGTCGAATCTGTCTTCTTGTACCGCTGGTTCATGCTTGCAAAGACACCAACTGTGATTACTCCCGAGACCGAGAGTCGTTCTTCCGCGCTCAGATAGAAGCTGCGAATGAGTTCATGGACCACTGGCTCCGGATTTGATGGGAGTGTTGAAATGTAATCCATAGGGTGACAACAGCCCATAGTGATCCGCTGGGTCGTGTCTGCTCATTCAAGGCGTCCCCAGACGTGCCCTTTTGCCGGAGCTGGTGCAGGAAGTTCATCGTGTACCTTCCTACCACTTCCAAGCTCTGACTGTGGCCGACACGCTTTCCGTCTACGTGCCTCATGCGTCCCGCCTGACGGAGTGGGGCCGGTGGTGCCTGTGAAGACCAGGCTCGAAGGAGCCTGTGAGATGTGCTTGAACCCAATGCTGGTGGGGTAGAGTTGTCGGTCTGTTCTCAGGGTGTCGTCGAGGAAGAACATGCTGGGGCTGTTCCGCGTATTAAGGTATCAAGTATGTGACCATATAGGTATAAGACAGTTGCCACGCTGCCAGAGGTGGATGGTCAAGGCTCGATGAAACGCTAGGTCCTCCCCCTATCTGGATTTTGCTGAAGGAGCTTGGGCCACAACGGGGGGGGGGGGTAAAGTGGAGCGGGTGGTGATGCTTGAAGCTCCCTCGGCATCCCCATTCAAGTTTCGAGCTTCACCTTTACCATAATTAACTTTTTGTTTCCTTGTTATCCTCTAGTAATGTTCAATGCATGCTTTCCTTGCTCCAAATTAGACTCCAATAGAAGCACCAACATTGTCTCTCGATTGAACGCTTAGTAACATCCTAACCATCACAAGACACATGCATCTGATGCGCTCCGAGTCGCACACTCACGATCATTCCTCTCTGCGCAAAGCCTCAACCCATGCCGATACTCCTTGGCTGATCACTATTCGCGCTGGGCAATGTGAAGCTTCCCCTTGGAGTAGCTATCATACACGCGCACACACAAATACACACACAATGGCTGTTCGTCGCGTCAGGTACGTGATTGCCGCCGTTGCTCTCTGGGTAATTGGATCGTGGTACTACGGCCTGCGACCACCCAGTGCCACAGAAGTGTTTGATCCGCCAGTCGACCTAGAAATCCCTAAATACGGCGACGATCGATGGCATAAACTCCCAACGCGCTACCCAGTCGAGAAATTGGCCCAGCTGCCGATCAACAAATCCTCGCGACCAATCCCTCGTGTTCAAGCACCTAGACCGCAAGAGGATGCTGCCGCGAAGGAAGAGCGACTTGCACGGCTCGCCGCTGTCAAAGAAAGTTTCATACATAGCTGGGAAGGGTACAAGACGTACGCCTGGGGTCATGACGAGATCAAACCGATCACGGGCGAATCCAAGGACCCGTTTGGTGGCTGGGCTGCTACGCTCGTCGATTCGCTCGACAGTCTGTGGTTGATGGGTATGAAGGACGAGTTCGACCTCGCCGTGAAGGCTTGCGACGGCATCGACTTTGCGAAGACAATGGCACGCGATATCAACGTTTTCGAAACCACCATTCGTTACCTCGGCGGGTTTTTGGCAGCGTACGAGCTGAGCGAGAAGCAATACCCCGTCTTGCTGAGCAAGTCCATCGAAGTAGCGGATGTTCTGATGTCGGCGTTCGATACCCCTAATCGCATGCCAGTCACGCGTTTCCCCTGGCGGAACTATGTCGAGGGAAAGGCACAGAAAGCTGGCAGTACCGTCCTGGTGGCTGAGGTGGGGTCTCTAAGCCTGGAGTTCACCAAGTTGTCTCAGCTAACAGGCGATATGCAATATTACGATGCTATACAACGCATATATGACGATTTGGAACGAGGCCAGGGCATGAGTCTCCTTCCTGGAATGTGGCCAGTCGTGGTCGATGCCTCCAAGACCCCTATGGCCTACAAGGGCGACTCGTTTAGTCTCGGCGGCATGAGCGACAGTGTTTACGAGTACCTGGGAAAGCAATACCTGCTTCTTGGGGGTGCCTCAGAGCAGCCGAGGGAAATGTACGAGGGCTTCATTGCCGTTGCCAAGGAGCATCTTCTACGCCGTGCATTAAATCCTGACAATTTGCCTCTGCTTTTCTTTGGGGATGTGCGTGTCGCAAAGCCACCTGCTGAGGGGCCTTCGATCATCACGTCGCCCCGAGCCCAACACCTTACGTGTTTTACCGGAGGCATGGTGGGAATGGCTGCCAAGATATTCGATCGCCCCTCGGACCTCGCCGTAGCTGCGCAACTGACTGACGGCTGCGTCTGGTCATACAGTCGCACTGTTACAGGCATCGGACCGGAGATATTTCATTTCGTACCTTGCGACCCGGATGCGAGGAAGGACGACTGCCTGTGGAGCGAGACTCGCTGGATCGAAGCACTGAGGTTGCACTGGGGAACGACGAACTCCAAAGGTGTGCGGCTCACGGATGATCAGATCAGGAACATAATAGAGTCTCGGCGACTGCCCCCGGGCATGGTCGATGTCAACGATCGAAGATACATCCTACGGCCCGAGGCTATCGAGTCGGTATTCATGATGTACCGACTGACGGGGGACTCGAAGTGGATGGACAAAGCTTGGGGCATGTTCACTGCCATCGAGAAATACACGCGCACGAGACATGCGTCGGCAGCATTAGAAGACATCACGAAGAAGCAACCGATCCAGGTGGATAGCATGGAGAGCTTCTGGCTGGCCGAGACGCTGAAATATTTCTACCTGATCTTTGGCGATTGGGATCTGGTTGACCTAGACCAGTGGGTGTTGAACACGGAGGCGCACCCTCTCCGCCGTGCAGACGCGTAAAACGGCGTTGTATTTGTATTGCGTTGCATATTGAATATACTTGTACATGATGGGACCTGGCTTGGTCTCCTTGATGGGCGCGTACATGTGAGGATCTGTATATGCCACCTTGGCCCCATTGCAAATAAGTTCGGAGACGGATTGGTAGACTGACTCATGCCGCCGGAGCTGAGTACATGCTCAATTGTAGTGAACCGACGGTCCGGGTTTTATTCGATCAAGTCACCAGAATAAACGCCCTGGAATAAGCAGTCATGTGCTCATCAGCCATGCTCAATGCTTCTTGCAGAGTGATTATTCCACATATGAAAATCAACCCTGAATATCCAAGCCGCCAAGGTTGCATACGTGGTGCGCGGAGACTTCTGAGGGTTCAGTGTAGATTAGATGCTGCTTCCCGAAGACGCTTGGCGAGAAGGACGGCAGAACTAGCAGCGTCGCAGCGTGATGCTCGGCTATCATTGATCAAGTCATGAAGGCTATGATCTGCTAAGGGGGCTTGGGTTCCGACTGTCGCCGAATTGATGAAACGAGTCCTCCCTGACGTCGGCAGAGACCTTAACCGGACAGCAGCTATATATAAGAGGAGTGTATGCCCAACTCCCGGAGAGGCTCAAAGGTCTATTAGCACTGCACCGCAGTCCTACATTTGATCAATGTATCGTGAGATTCTGGCAAGAGACGATTCCCATGCGCGCTCCTGCAGAAGGGATCTGGGATGGCTGAGCCACCCACGCCACGTCGCCACGTCGCCACCGGCTACCCCTTCTCAATCAGACCTAGCCAAGATACTAATCTTAGGTAGAGAGCATTCACAGGGGCCGCCGCGCCAGCGCGTGCGTCTGCTGTTCGCTGCTGGCATTGCCTGGGCAGCTGGGCAGCTGGGCAGCTGGGCACCTTATTTATTCGGAAGGGTTCGCATGGATGACACCAGGCTGCCTCACCACCTGCACCGTCGGTATTCATTGACGGCTGCTGCTGCGCCCTTTCCCCTTCATCGCCCAGGTCCTAGTCCCGCCATATGCTTTCATTATTACGGTAGGTATCAATATAAGCCTTTGCATCTTTACCTTACTTTCAGGGTTCACACGCACTCCAAGCCCAAGCACGCCCAAGGTAGCTCGAGCTCGGCATTGAGCGCAAACTCAACCGTTGGGGTGGGTTAAGGTTAACAGCTGGAGGTTGACGAATCGATACCTACTAAATACCCGGGCGGCCTCACCGACAGACCGACTACATGTAGTCTCTGCTCGTCCCGCATTGTCAATTTCAACAACTTCAACATTACTTCTGCCCACCAACAGATTCGCAACAAGTCGCCCGCCATGGAGCCAGATCTATCGGCAAGCATCACCATGCACCCGCATCCCTTCCTCCACCGGACCGACAGTCCTGCGCGCAGCCCTGCCCGCTCCTCCACGCCTCGATCCCCGACGCACCACACAACGCACCACACGACGAGTCAGGCAGCGATAGCGACGCGGTCTTTAGATGGGCCATCCTCGCCCCGTGAATCCGGCAACGCCACTAGCACAGGTGTGGAAGCCTTAGACGACGAAGCACGAGGCGAGCGGCCCGTATCGCGATACCCGTCCGCCGCCGCCACCGACGTCGAGTCGCAGACGGGCAACCGCCGGTACAGCGCCAACGACCCCTACAACCTCACCTCGGCCTTCAAGACGCCCGCCCAGCTTGACGAGATCAAGGCTAACACCTCTCGCAAGCGCGACAACGTCGCCCAAGGCCCCACACCCGTCGCCGGCATCAAGAGCAGGTTCCGTGCCAAGAAGATACACACCTTCTACCAGAGTCAGAACGAGACCATCGAGCGCCTGCTGAAGACGGTAGAGGAACACCGGGATGACGCGCGCCAGGAGGCCGGCGAGGACCATCTGCGCCACCAGATCGCCGTCTACGGCTCGTTCTGTGCCAACGTGCTCCTGTCGGTACTGCAACTATACGGTGCCATATCCTCGGGCTCGCTGTCGCTATTTACCACTTGTGCCGATTCGGTATTCGACCCGCTCAGCAACCTGACGCTCATCCTGACTTATCGTGCTGTGAAGAAGGTCGACCCCAGTCGCTTCCCCTCGGGCAAGGCGCGCCTCGAGAACGTCGGAAACATCACCTTTTGCTTTCTGATGATCGCCGTCTCGTTGATCCTGATCGCCTTCTCGTGCCAGGACATCGCTAACCGGTTCGGCACGGGGGCGGTCGTTAAGGACTTCCACCTCCCTGCCGTCATCGCCGTCAGCGTGGCCTTCTGCACCAAACTCGCCCTGTTTTTCTACTGCTGGGGCCTCAAAGACAAATATAGCCAGATTGATATTCTGTGGCAGGACCACCGCAACGACCTTTTTATTAACGGGTTCGGTGTGCTCACGTCAGTTGGCGGCGCCAAGCTCGCCTGGTGGCTCGACCCCATGGGTGCCATCATCTTGTCAGTACTTATCACGTGCATCTGGCTGCGTACGGCATTCAAGGAGTTCCTGCTGCTCGTCGGCGTCGTCGCCAGCGTCGAGATCCAGCAGCTGATCACCTACGTCTGTGTCACGCACTCGCCCGCCATTCAGGGTATCGACACCGTCCGCGTGTATCACTCGGGGCCCCGGCTGATCGCCGAGATCGACGTGGTCATGGATCCAAACGCGTCGCTGAGGGATACGCATGACGTGGCCGAGGAGCTGCAGTTCAAGCTCGAGGATCTGCCGGACGTCGAGAGGGCGTATGTTCATGTCGATTACGAAACGACGCATAAGCCGGAACATGCGATCAAGAAGGAACTGTGACCGTGTCCTTTATGTATGGTATTCCCTGGGAGATTACCGCTACGGGCTGAGCCGAGCGTGGAAAGCAGCTGCCCCCCTGAGCTTGTTACTGGGTCATCATGGATCAGCCACTATCACCGAGGCATGGATGGCATTCGAAGCGCATGGATTTGCTGTCTGCGTCCACAGCCTGCACATGCACGACAGTCATTTCTGCGGCAAAGAAGCCTGTGGCTAGCTCAATCTCAACTTTGGTGCAAGGGAGACGTTGTTGAGGTCTGCTTTCGTCCCGCTCACCCCACCTCTTTTCGAGGTTGGAGCCCTTGGCTGTGGGACATGGAGTTGGGATGAAGGAGTTCACATACACTTCATACACTTAGGCATGTAGTCAGTACTAGACAGCATCACAAGTGGTACGGAATCCAAATGCATCAGTATTTCTGGAGATCACTGTATCTGGGCTTCGTCCCTCAGGCATGCTAGGTGTTCCAAGCAGCCATAGTTTTGTGTTTCTAAATCATAGGTAGTTCAAACGAACCAGTCCGCCATGGGCGTGACCATCTGCTGTTGTTCCAGTCGAGGGTCCAGTATGAAGTTGCCGATCCTCACGGCAGGTCAACATTCGTTGTTTGTCTCGGCATCCCGGCCATCGAAACTCAACCTATCAGCCTGTGTACGGACAGCCGATCATGGCTATGAGGTTGAACTTGGGAGGACATGTCATGTGTGGACACGTGGGAAGACGGACGACCAGCGTTATTAGTGACCGAGACGATCGGCCATGCAATTATGCAAGTATGCAAGTATATAAGTATGCAAGTATGCGAGGATGGGGTTGGGACGATCATCTTGCCACTTGGGACTCTTGACTTTCGCCTCCTGACGACGCTGGTGATGGTCTCGTGTGATTCCTCTGATCGTCGCTGCAGAGGCGCAGATGACCTTTCCTTGGTGAGGGGTAGAACTTGATCCACACAATCGCATGACACTGCTTAGACTGGCGACTTGTCGTGATGCCGTGGCCCGTTAGAGCAACATTTGAGCACAAGGCAAGCACCAAGTCCAAAATGGGCCACGATGACGTTTGCGGGGAAGCTGTTGCGAGAATGGCGGGGAAGCATAGATCGCGTCTCATAGGCCGACCAGCTTCTACACGCGACGGGAGCTACCTTTCAAACAAACAAAAGGAAGCGATAGCGTGCAGGCCAAACGGGTTGCCTAACCGGGCTTCTGCAGCAAGTGTTATCGAAGCTGGTTGGCTGAATGTTTGGAGATGTTCATGAGGGGTCCCCCAAAGTCGGGTTCTGATTCGAGCTGCCCTTCGATGCGAATCCTCGGGGAACAGGCGTGCCGTCATTCAATGTAGCGTTCCTTGGTATACGATCGCTTCGAGAAGTCTCACAGCCTTTGCTCCCAGTTGCACGACATTGAATCAAATGACAAAACCTCATCCGACATGTAGCCCCGCATGAGGGCATCCCGCCGGCGGCCGGACAGCTACAGCTCAGCTCAGCAGGACGCCGCAATAGACGGGATGTTATCTTAAAGAGGTGCGCTTACCCGGATTGTACCAAGTGTGACCTGGTATTTCGGTCGTCATGTTGTTGACATCCCGTGTAATAAGTCGAGATAAGACCTCTCACCCATGCAACTCCCACTGCTTTGAAGCATAGTGCTCAGAATTTGGTTCAGTTGTTTCGACGAGGCGTATTGACGCAGGGCTTTCCTCGACTACCTCGGGTATGATTGATGGAATGGAAGCTACCCCGTGGGACTAGTCTGTTTGGACCATGGTCCCAGATACCTTCAATGTTATTACCATATCCTTGAAGTTTACAACCCGCATTTACTACATACGTGTATGTAGATAGGTACCTTTCAAGTGAGTGTTGGACTTCAAAGCTTGTTTCATCCCAACTCTCTATCCCTCTTCTGTCTTCCAGGTGTGCTCAATAAAGTTAGTGGCGACGTTGTTGTTGGTGTGGATTCGCAACAACCGTGGAGAGCGGACTCAGCGGGGAGGCAGATTGGAGAGGCGGAGGCTTGGAGATTGGAGACTACCGGTACAAGGGCTCACAGCTTCATATCCTTGTACGCAAGTGAGAGCAAGTGAGAGCAAGTTAGTACTATTAGCAACATAACACAGCAGGTGCAAAGTGACACTAACTTTAACGTCGCATTTGCCCGCGGGCCGCCGTTGAGCGGGACCCTCGCTCCTCGACTCTCTGATGCCGAATGTGAACTGCCAAAACTCTCTTCTGTCACGTCTGTCTTGGAACTTTCCATTTTCCGTCCCTCCAGCAGCGAAAGCGCGAAACTCCTCATCCAACCAACCACTGGCCACATCACCACCACCACCATTATCTCCCGCGGCTTGCACGCGCCGACTTGGGATAGCTTGACGTTCTCTAGTCGGCTCCCTCTCAACCCTCGCAAACTCCTACGTAGTCTTTTGGTAGCACCGCCGCCAACTTTCTTTGCTGTTGTTACTGCTACAGCTCTCCAGTCTGGCGTAGTTGCGCCGACATTCCTTGCGCACCATGGCTGCGAAGGGTCGAGGGAACGAGGACGTGGACGTGGACGTGTACGCCACAGTTCGTACCAACCCAGCGCGCTCCCACGAGTGAGAGACACCTGTGATCTGACTTATCCGCCAATGTAGCTGCTCTTGAGCGACACATACTTGCCTGGTAAGCTCTCCTGTATCATTTGGCCTCCAAAGTCATTCCTAACCATTGCGACCAGGCGCTCTGGTGCTGGCGCATTCCCTGAGAGATGCTGGTACCACCAAACAGCTGGCCGTTCTGGTCACCCTCGACACTGTCTCTGCCGAAGCCATATCGGAGCTCAAGGTAAGCTCGACAAGATATACCTGGCCGCGGCGTGCCCGACTGACAGACACTGCACCAGACTGTATACCACCATGTCATTCCTGTCAGCCGAATCCGAAACCACCAGCCCGACAATTTACACCTAATGAACCGAGCCGACCTCCACTCCGCCTTCACCAAGATCAATCTCTGGAAGCAGATGCAGTTCCGCAAGATTGTCTACATCGACGCCGATGTTGTCGCCTATCGAGCTCCCGACGAGCTCTTCGACATAGCACACCACTTCTCCGCCGCCCCAGACACAGGCTGGCCCGACCTGTTCAATACCGGTGTCATGGCTCTTACTCCGAACATGGGCGACTACTATGCTATGATGGCCATGGCAGAGAGGAACATCTCATTCGATGGCGCCGACCAGGGCCTCATCAATATGCACTTTCAGAATAACTATAACCGTATCAGTTTTACCTACAACGTAACTCCGTCCGCCCATTACCAATATCTACCGGCCTATCGTCATTTCCAGTCGACTATCAACATGGTCCACTTCATCGGCTCCGACAAGCCGTGGTTCAACGGGCGCCACGCAAGCAATGGGAGCTCTCCCTTCGACCAGATGACTGGCAGATGGTGGGCCGTCTATGATCGACATTATCGAGAACCTGTAAGTGCTCCCACGCGCTCCTGCGACTCAACTGTAGGACATCTTCTCACATGTATCCAGTCGCCGAGACTCGCGCCTTCTATACCCCAGGAAACTTCCAGCAGCACTTTCAACGCCCAGTCACCTTCGGAGCTGGTGCAGTATCTCACCAAGGGAGAATACCAGCCAAAGCCCGCTCATCTGGGATTGACCAGTAAGCCTCTTAATGATGACCGACGTGATCATGAGCAAACGTCCCAGCATCCACAGCATGCGCCTTCAGATTACCGTGGTGCTCCCCATCCCGAAGCGCAAGGCCACCATGACCGAGACCAAGCTCATGGTCACGAGGGTCTTCAGTCTGGAGGCACCGTCCGGCAGGCTGAGTCATCTAGTTCTGGTTTTAGCGAGTCGATTTCGTCTGCAAGTAATGTTGAGGGAAGTCAAGCTGAGGCTCGCGAAGGGCAAATTGAAGCGCCTGCCGCCCCTTGGGCCCCGTCCGAACCGGAGCAGAAGCCAGAGCCATTCCAGCCTTCCATGGCAAGCTGGGACGCTCAAAGGTGAGCTTGCCTCTTGGTGACGTCGACCTTGAGCAATGGGTTAACAATGATCTAGACATGCGCCCCCGACACACTCGAAACCGGAAGCCGAGAACTTCCCCATCGCTATATACCAAATGTCTCAGGATTCTGCTCCGTTTGTCGCTCCCCAACGATACCCTAGCCCTCCGAGGAACATGTGGTACGAAGTTTCCAAGGACCCTCCCGCTCCTCCCAAGCCTATCTTTCCTTGGGAGACTCAGCAAGCGAAAGCATCACGCGTATTTGCCGACGAACCGAAAGGCGCGAGTGGCGCTTATGGTACACCTACGGGTGAGCACCGGCCCTCTCCTGTCCTTCAACCGTCGACTGAGTCTTCTATCGTAGAATCGTCTACCGTTCAGCAAAAGGACGAGCCAGTCACGCCCATAACCCCGACCATCCATATCACGCCGTCGGACCCTTGGACCACGTACACGCGGACTAATGCATGGGACGAAGTACCAGCGATCGAGCGGTACGTCGATTCTATGCAGAAGCACCGGCGTTCGCAGAGTCTAAAGTCCCCCGGCGTGATCGCGATGCCCAGTCCTGGCGAAGGCGTTGATGAGATCGCCTGGAGGCGGCAAGGGAAGAAGCTCACCGACTTCCCGAGCGAAGTAGAGCGTCCCAGCCTGCCAGTTACTCCAGCACCCATCCGTCGAGCCAAGTTCTGGGGTGGGGTTGGCCCTGGCATCGGCGATGGCGATGACGACCCACATCTGCCTGCCGCCGAGGGCGTGCCAGCGCAGAGCGAATGGGTATGTTCGCATGGACGTCGTTGGAATCCTGCAGACTGCCTTTGCGATTTGACTAACGTGCTCCGTCATCATAAGGATTCTGCGGCACAGCTTCGGAAACTGGCTGAGCAACACTCCGATGCAGTGCTACAAAAACTCGGCAGTGGTTCTGGTCGAGACAGCAGTGATTATCCTCCGAGGGCACTGCCTTTTGGTTCTGAAGAGCTGGTGTCCCCGACGTATGTGGCACATACCGCCAACGTGTTGAGCCCGCAGCCGGTGAAAGGTCGCGCAAGCTCCAGCGCCGTTCGCATGATTGATCCTGAGACGACGTCTCCAGGCCCGTCACAACCCAGAGAGCTTCTTCCCAAAATAACCACAATACCTGGTCCGAGTTACTCAGGTCCCGGTCCGGCTTTCGAGAAGGGCGAGAACTCCTCCTCATCGCGAGATTCGACGGCTACTGGGAAGTAGTCTGGCGTGTTGACAGACAGGGTAGCTATGTGCCATGGGCCCCTTTACTAATCTGTAGCCGCACCATGCAGTTGGACTCCTCGACTGATCATTGCAAGGCTCTGCTCCGGCAAAGTTGCTTAATGGCTTGTGGTTTGGCATTTGGTGCTCAGGTGATAAGCGCATGTGGGAACGTGATGCGGTAGCATGATGAGCAAGTCGTTGGGAGAGGCTCAGATGCTCTATATTCGTATGAGCATCGGCATTCCTTCTGAAAGACGTACCGCAGGGCAGGCAGACAGCAAACATGGGGTTGATCCTTATGCTAACACTCCAAGATGGGTTTTGCGTTTGATGCTTATCTCCGTGCTTGAATCGCGGTGGGTTTGTTGAGCCTTCGAAGTTTCTTCGAAACCGTGCCTCTGTATCAAGGCCAGACGTTCCATTATGAAGAGCAAGACTATGTCATGGCATGGCGAGGCGAGGCATTTTCGTTTCACTGGCATATGGCTAGCGCGAGCATGAAGCGAGCATCGTTGTTCCTGTTTTCTCTATTAATCTTCCATACGTCCAAGCACCAGAGCTCTGGTCTGTATACTATATACACACAATGTATCGAGTCGTATGTTACCGGGCAGAATGGAAAATATTTACAGACCCTTGATCCTTCTCACAACTGGCGATTGAATCTTCGATGCGCCTTTGCTGTCCTTTGCAGACTCCACTGACTGGATATCCCTTGAAGATTTTGATAAGATCCGTGCTCCAGGTCTTGCGGTCTCCTTAGACACAAGTCATTCCATACATCCACCACTTACTTCTTCGGGGCCCAATAGTTGCTATCAAGAGCAGGTGCCGGAGAGCAGGCTTCCAATGAGACTGTGCAGCATGTTTGGATTCCTTCCTCGATGGCACGAACGCTTTGTCGGCCCAAGTCCTCCGGACTAGACTTGTGCCAAGACCGTGGGTGGGCAGCATGCTTCAAATTGCCCGATCAACATATGATCGAGTCACATAGTCCAAGCACGATCTCAGTCTCGTCTCGTCTCACAGTCACTCCCCGTCAAACTGGTTGAGACATTCGTGCGTCCACACATAGCCCCATCACAGGTCGTTGAGGCAAGCATTAAGCCGCACGCACAGGCCCCTCCCTTCTTTCACCTTCTCCTTTCCCGTGACTTGGAAGTGTTCTGTTCCCTCCCTCCCTTGCATCGCTCAGCCACCCACCAACCAACCACCACTACTCATCATCTCCCACCTTCGACCTTTCATCATTCATTCACCCATCCCACCCACCTATCCTCCTCAACACACCCACGACAAGCCACCGCTTGCGCTCGCTCACGTCTTCGATACCGCGGTCCGCCGCCCACGGGCGCTCGACGCCGTCGCAGTCGCGCTCCCAGATGTCCTCGACCTCGAGCCCGTGCTCGCGCAGCGCCTCGGCCTCGAAGAATCCGGCCATCTTGGCACGGCCGGTGTGGAAGCCTGCGACGATCCAGGCCCTTGAACTGGCGGCTGCGGTCGCGTTTGGGTTGGGGTTGGGGTTGGCATCAGTGTCAGTGCTGATGGGTGTGCCGATGTCAGTGCCAGTGACCGCGTCAGAGCCGCCCTTGAGGAAATGCGCAATCGACCGCTGCAGATTGTCGTGCTGCCACGGCATCCACAAGCAATCGCACACAAACACGCGGTCGAACGCATGTCTGTTCTCCGCCGCGAAGGCGTCGGCATCGTGGTCTACGGCGCCCCAGGCGTGGCCCTCGACGCGGACAGGAGACGGCAGGACGCCCCTGGGCGAGAGCGCCGCGTCGAAGCAGTTTGTCGTGACGTTTTTGCGCAGCGTGGTCAGCAGCGTCGGCGACGGGTAGTCCGTCACGGCCACGCTGCGCGCGCCGAGGAGCGCGGCTAGGATGCTGGGGAGGGCGGTGCCGGCGCCGAGCTCGAGGGTGGTTAGGTTGGCGATGTTGAAGTCTCGCGCGCCTGCTGGCCTCCCCTCCTTTTCCGCACTGCTGCCAGTGGGGTTGGTGGTAGTGGTAGTAGCAGCCGCACCCTCCAGCCCCAGCGTCCCGGCCTCGACGAGCTCGGCGAGCAGCAGGCTCGAGTTCCACAGGTAGTGGCTGAACAGCTTGCGGTCGCTCTCAGCATCCGGGTCGGACAGCGCGATGTGCAGCGGCTTTGGCAGGTGCGGCGACGTGTAGACGAGGGAGTGCTCGGCGTCGCCGTGCTGGTTCGTCACGTCGTCCGGGAAGATGACGCCCAGGGACGACGAGAGGAAGTCCTCCGGGTCGGTGGACGCGGGGCCGTGCAGGGTGATGCGGCTCACGAGGGACATCTTTTCACGGTTTCACTTTTCCCGGTTCCCGGCCCCGTTCCTGTTCCCGTCTCCCTGGCTCGGCTAGGCGGACGGACCTTTGCTGCTGACCGCCTTGGTTTGGATAGTCCCAAGGGGGGCCCGGGGGTCCCTGGTTCGGCGCGGCACGGCACAGGAGTCGTGTCACCCGACGGGCTTGGTGCCCGGGTCGTGAGTCGGGGGCTGCCGAACTTGGGATGGTGTCTCGCTGATTAGGTCACCGGCAGCAATGATTTGTCAGGGCTGAGCGACGAGGCACGGGGTCCCGTATGACGAACGGCTGGCTAGCTGGCTTGCTGGCTCTGGCGCGATGACTCGCCTGGCCGGTCCAGGATGAGTGACAGGGCTTGGCCGTCAGACTTCAGACTTCAGACTTCAGACTTCAGGCGAAACGCAACTGGCAAACGGCAAACGGCAAACGACCCGGTGAGAGAGGCAAGACTGTTTCCAACAACCGTACAGTACAGGCAAGGGATTGCCCGTAAGCAACGGTGCTGCCCAACTTCCTTGTATGCACGTTTTCCTGTACTGCGCCGCAATCTTCACGCGGATGAGATTTTGAGTTGTGTGATGGATCGTCAATGATGGGACGATGAAGAGGGGCGTTTCTAAAAATTGCAACAGACCAGTCCCATAGTAGACATCATCCCGAGGTGGATGGGCAGACTACCGGTACTACCCTCGAGCGACGGGCCACGGGTGCTCTACCGGCGCTACTACTCCCATCCTGCCCGGCATTGCCCGCGGTCTGTCGGGCCTGCTGGCTCATCCTCAATGCTCATCAGGCTGTGCTGTGCATACTCACCGCCTCATGCCATGCTATGTCATGCTATGATATGCAGTGGATGTGTCAGGTATGCGCAGTAATCAAGGTAGGCCAGGTTACCTTGTCGTCGTTGGGTGATAACCAGTCACCTAGGCAGTCAAAGCCTGCCTGCCATTAGATCCCAAAGACGAGCAAGAACTGGACGAGATGGAAAACTTGCGATCCGCACCCGCATCCCCGCTCATTCTGCCTCGCTCCCTCCTCCATCCCATCGGGCTTTACCCGCGGGTAGGGCTGGTAGGATGGATGGATGCGATAGGATTTCGATAGACTATGTGCTACTGTAATGAGTTCCAACACGGCAGACGGCAGACGCGCCGCACGTCGAGCCTATTCAGGAAACCCACCGCCGGCAGCCAGCCACCAACGTCAACGGATCAATGGCAGACGGCCGGCGGCAGGCTGTTTGTCTGCACGTGGTGTGCGAGGATTATCGACTAGATAGTCTACGTGCATGTATGTACACTAAACCCGCATAAGTCTCCGTACCACCCCTCATTGACCAAGCAAAAGGTGCGTTTATTATACATAAAATAAGCACGGGAATAAGCATCGAAAAGGACTTTATAGCTATGAGCTGCTTATTACAGTATGCTTATTCCAATATTTCGATTTTTTACGGGTGACCTGGAATTTTTCGAATATGGTACGTAGGCAGACTTATGAGGGCTGAGTGTACCTACCTACATTTAGATATCTACACGTACCGTACCTCCTCCATGGCTGCTGCGCCTCGGACGCGGTGGTGCGGCACATCTACTCTATCTACGGTAATATCTGCCCCTGGCAGGCCTTAATAATAACTTAATAAGTCTCAATGACGAGGTGCGTACATACGCACATGGGCGGGAGTGCCAATATTGCTTCCTATCTTTCGCAGACAGGTTGGCTCCCGGTAGTGGTGCGGTGGTGTGTTACACACAACTACGGCCAGTCCGGGAAAGGGGAAGAGGAGGAGGGAGGCCTCGTGTTTCGCTGTCCATTCCTACCCGTATTATATGCACATAGAACGACGCATGCAATGAGCGAGTGGCTGTTGCTATGCATATGCGAGCCCTCCATTTGGGTCCATTGGCAGCCAGCCAGAGATACCTACCTAGATATGCAGACTACGTTACCTGCGGTTTCAGGTACGAGAGTCAGGATCAGAAACATGCATAATGATTCGCAAGATGCAGGTACCCAATCATTGCGTGAGTTGTGCGAGCCACGGGCCGGCAGTACAGTATGACCAGAGAATCACTAAAGCAACCAGCAGATCGTTGATGCCATGAGACAAGGTCATGCGTGAGTCTGGATTGCACAAAGAAGCCAAAATAGTATAGCGAGTGAGAATCTCTATATTCGGAGAGATGCAATGCAACTCTCTCTTTTCTCTCTCTCGGGTCTCATGAAGACGCTATAAGTGGGGTCGTAGGAACTACAGGGTATCTTCGCCAGAAAACCAAAGTGAGCAATAGTAGATGACTATTACACAAACAAACAAAGCACCACTGGTATAGTCTCATCCGCTCGAAACCACCCATATGCTCGTTATGGAAAGCTCCATGCTCGCCTTCCTCTTGCCGGCTACCCAAGTCCTGGAGGAAGACGTTCCTCCCAAAGAATCAGCCCAATGCTGGTTCCATGCCATTATGTATCCGTATGTTACAAGTGAGCCAGGGCCCTGCGCCAGTCATGCCACGTTCTATTGCCGTCTTTATCTTCGTGTCGATCGTATTGTAGTGGTGAGGTGGGGTATATATCGTAGTGGAAGGGATTGGGCGTGCCGCGTGCCGCATGCCATATGTACTGAATGTTTACTGCTGGCTCATCGCCAACATGCGCTTCATATCCTCCTCGGTAGGGTCGTCTGAGATCCAGATGCCCTTCTCCTGCTCTGTCGCATCGAGGAAGCCCTGGGCGCGTTGGAGTGTGTTGACATCCAGGTCCGTGACATAGGACTCGCCGTCCGACAGCTTGACACGAACCTCGTGTTCCGTCGAGAGCATCATGTCATCCTTGGCGAGACGGCGAGGGCCGTCGAACACGGTCATCACCCGCTTCTTCATGGTCATCTGACCCTTGTCAAACCCCCATGACGACGGGTAATCGCGTCGGTTCTTGCGACCCTTGGTCTTCGCAGACGGAGGCACGCCACCCCGCGAATGCGTCATGCCCCGCGACTTTTGGACGCCATTGGCAGGATTGCCCTTCTTCTTGGTGGGCGAGGTCAGCTTCCTCGCCTTGAAATCCTCGTCCAGCGGGTCATCGTCATCCGCCATCTCGTCGTCATCGTCCTCATCCGAGTTCACCACAGTCTGTGTCGTCAGCGGCAACTGGTTCTTCTCCAAGGTCTGGTGGACATCCATGTCATTCTCAACCTCGGCCAGGCGCTTCGCATTGATCGCCTCGGCGGGGTCTTCTTGTTGGACGATGCGTAAAACACAGTCGTCCAGATGCTCGTAGAAGTCTTGAGCGTTGGAGAAGGTTGCCGAACAGGTCGAACACTTGCCGGTAGCATCTGGCGCATAGCCTGACAGCTGCTTGGCACTGTTGGCCGAGCCTGACTTCTTCCTGCTGTTGGGGGGTGTCTGCTCTACACCGTGGACCGCCGTCAGGTGCCTCTTGAAGACGTCCGCTCGGTTGAACGACTTCTCGGCGGCGGACCCCGAGCCTGGACAGAACCCGCAAACCATGGTTCCCTTGTAGTGCGTCAGCGTGTGCCGGTTCTTGTCGTACTTTCGCGCGAAGCCCTTGACGTGATAATCGCATGTCTGGATCGGGCACTTCTCAGGCCGCTCCGTCTGATGCGTCAACATGTGCGCTTTCAGGTCCTTGAAAGTCTTACCACAGTCTGGGTGTGGGCATCTTTGCTTCTTCTCCGACTCGTCGCTGTTGTAAAAATGTTCGTGCGAACCGTGCGAGCGATACGAGGAGAGGCTCTGTCGCCGGGGTGCTGGCGGTGGCACAGCGAACGGGCTGTATTGCTGGTGGTAGCCATGAAGATAAGGCGATTGACTCCCATTCCTCATCGCGGGCGCAGGGGATGTGGCACCGGAGACGGCGGGTGAGTTGAGATGATGGTTCTGAGGCGAGAAGTTGTTGGCGTTTTCGTACCCCGGCATTGGTGGTGCCATTGGGCCGCGAATTTCAGGGTGGATTAGGGAAGGATCTGAGCGAGATGCGGAGTCAGTACACAACCTTCTCGAGCTCTTCTTTCATCTGATACAACTCCAGAGGCTAACAAAATAAAGGAAGAGAAACAACAGAAGCAGCCATCGCTGTGAACAAACGGAAGCCATCGTGAAAGCTGTGAAAGCAGTCATGCGACTTGTTTCGCTTTTACCAGTATGGCCGTGCCGTCATAGCCGGTAGCGTACCAGACCCTTGGGAATCAGAGCATGGCTGGACTTCCACGATGCACACGAGACTTGCATCAAGCTTGAGTCGAGTGTCGAGCCACACTATGCTCGCACTGATCCAGAGCCGGCGCACGAGGATGTATACATGCTGCAGACTGAAACGAAGGAGACACAATAACTGGAAATGCAAGCTGACTCACCAACGAAAGTGGATTTGTTATCAAAGGCCATGAATTCTTCCATACCTTGTCCCAGGAAGCCCGAGTACTCGGTGCCTGTGAAGTATTCGCCTCCGCCAACGATGCCGGGGTTGACAACAAGCCCAGACTGTTGGTATTCCGGAATGAAGGCCAACTGGCCGTGACTCGAGTTGGGCGACCCGACTGTCGACGAGGGCGCCGATGGTGCTGAAGCAGTTGACAGGTTGGAGGGCGGGATCCGCACTTCGCCATCGTCTGGGTACATGCTGGGCGACGTCCTCCCGTTGTACATGAAGCTGGAGGCGCCTGGGTAAACTGGACCTTCGAATCCTGAATGTTGCGGGAAGTCGTCGTGTGCGCCTCTCGAGAAGGCGAAGCTGTCAGGGCTCATGCCCATGCCCATTGCTGGCGAGGCGTAGCTAGTCTGAGTGGGTGGTTCTGGGTAGAGCATGAAGTCTTGCTCGTGATTAGGTCGAGGAAACATGTTATAGGACTGGTCCGCGACCATTGCCATGGCGTATGTGTGAGAAGGATATCTGCGCTGGGGGTGTCTGAGGAAGCAGAGACATGCGCTCACGCTGCGAAGTCCACTTCCGTCGGGATCTTGGCTATGGAAGCCAGAGGGTAGCTAAGAGGTTGGTGGTGAGAGGAGGCGAGAGTTCACATTCGTGGATGAACTGCAGTCGCTCTGGTGGTGGCACTGAGGGACCGAGAGTTCGGGGTCAAGAGACAGATGGCGATGGAGGATTTATGTAAGTTGTGAGACTGAGACGAGTGCTGTTGGTGAGGATTGAACGGCAACTCCGAATCTGAATCTCGCGTGTCTGTATCGTGCTTTCTTTTTCTTCCCGATCTGGACTTAGACAGCCCTGCGCACGTAGGTGACTGTGGGGAGTGGTGAGGTGGATGGATGTCCCTTGTCTGTAGAGACGGAAAAAGGAACGATAGTTCCTGTTATATAGTACTGTTCCTTGATCAAGCAGGTGACGATGAACCAAAGATTCAAGAGGCGGGAGAGAAGATGGTCGGTCGGGCTGGTATTGGTATGAGCGTGTGAGCTTGGGGGCAGAAATGTGAGCCTTATGATGTTTTCGGGGGCTCAAGTGCTCATATGTATTCAGACACATCAGCAGCAGGCATAGCCGCGTCTTGTCTGTCTGTGTCCACAGTCTGGACGTGGATCTGGGTCGATACCCTTGGAGGTACCGTAGGTAAGCATACAGTTAGCTCGATTCCGTAGGGCAGAAGCTAGCCAGGCAATCGAGGCGCGTACCCAGGTGTGAGATTATGTTGCTGCCCGTACCTCTCGATTGTCGGGCAGGGGTCTGATGCCGCAAAAGTGGCGATGGCAGGGGGGATTGAGTGGGCAGGTCGCCAAAGAGACTGGTGGTGTACTCGCCGGGTACGAGGACTACTTCCGAGTTCAGACGGGGGTCAGGGGGTGTGAGTGTCTTTGTGCATGTGGGACGATGGGGATGGAGACGGGGCGGTGGGCAAAAATCATCCACTGCAGACTGCAGTTACCATAGTGGGTTACTGGCCGGGGGTCCTTCACCCCTAGTACCCCCTACCCCCCAGACATCCATGATTCCATCACACGGTAGGTACGGTACAACAGACACCTCAAATTTCATGTACTGAAGCTGTCAGCCAGGCCTGCCGCCACGGGTATGATTGCCTCATCAAATTCACAACTGTTCACTTCAATTGTCAGAAAGATGGGTAGACAAGGCGTGTGTGTACCTGGCGTCTTCCCACCCACCGATATCCGGCCGGCCATGCGCTAGAGTCCAGTCGCCAGTTTGTCTCTGTGTTGTCTTGTAGACATCCCACACCAAGACCATGGAAGACCAAGACCAAGACCATGACCATGTACGTGGGTGCCCGCGGCAGTGGTTCTTGCTGGACTGGAGTCTGGAGCGTGCCGGGCCAGGTACAGGGCCAGGTACAGTCAGTGCGTATGGCATGCCGGCTCGTACTGTCTTGCGTCGCGAGACGGGAGTATTGAGGCTGGAGTACTTTTGCAAAGTACATATCTTGGGCCATCTCTGGGCCGGGGGACATTGGAACATAACTGGAGGGGACCAACAGACAAGAGGCGTCCTGACTTTCCATTGGGGTGGGACAGGTCGGTGCCAGAAACCCTGGCAATTTACAAAGTCCTCCGCAGGATGCCAAAATGACTTCCCCCCGATGGAGACAGGTACCCAAGTACTGATCACCGCCAGCCAATCTTGTGAGGGCCAAGGATCCGCACTGCAATGCAGATTGGACCCTGTACATGCTCTCATCATTGAGAGGTATCCTTTGGTGTTCGTACAGTGTGGCTGGACATGCATGAGGTAGAGCAGGGTATCGCAATTGGAAGCTTCCGATACTCAAACGCGTACTAGTGCTATAGCAGTATAGCTAGCGCGGCGATGTGCTTCCACTGTCCAGGCAGAAGCGCAATTGAAGGACCTGGTCGTCGGTCGTCGGTCGTCGGTCGTCGGTCGTCGATGGGCAGCGGGCTTGCCCGAGTGGACACTGGACGCCTGCCTGGGTGGGAAGTGGGAACTTCACAGTTGGCAGGATGATGGGACTCGGCTCATGGGCAATGTGCCATGTGCTATGTGCCATGTGCCCTGGGCTCTGCTCCGCAAGGCGATAGGATAGGCCTCTGCCATTCATGCGCTTTACGACGGCATCCATAAATACAGATCCTCCTTCTTCTTCAGTGTTGTTGGGAGATGATGATGACCGCAATGGCTGATAGTGATACCTTGTGCTTGAACCAGGAGCATGATGAAAATAACCAGTCAAAGCTTTCTCCTTGATTCCTCATTGGCTTGTTTCAACAAATTGCACATGCTACCCCTACCCCAGCATCGGGTACAGTACCAGTACCTTGACACTCTTGGGCTTACCCATGCTGCTTGTTCCATTATGCTTCGAATCTTCTTCTATGAGTCGACACGGTCGAGTCAACCATCAACCCGGGTCTTCAAGGCGCATGAGGGCACCGAGATGCATGCAACTGTTCAAGCAACTGTTGTGGCACACGTCCTTGCAGGTCCATAGACTTCACTTTGAATACGCCGGTTACTAGTAGCCCAGCAAGAAGGTTCAACATTGGACCAACGGGGAGGCGGAACAGCCTTCAGGATCAACGGCCAGGCATGTCTTAAGTTTTAGCCCGCGACGATACATGCTCGGCTGTCGCGCTATACCCTATGTTAGTACTAACCTTTCTGATACTGAATCCAGCAAACATGAACGAGGGGATCGCCCTCGATCTCGAAAATGCCTACGAGTGGGGTTTGGGACTTTGGAATGCTGGATCCTACCTGTAACCTTAGATGCGGGACCACATATCGGGTGTCATCGAGTCTGGACCGGCTTGACTACATAATTATTGTAAAGTTGATCGTGCGTTCGCTGTTGTCGTTGTGCCGTTGGACTACATTGATCGATTTGACCCCATCGCGAGCTACCTTAGATATCTGGATGGGGCGATGGCATCACATTTGACTGTTCATACTGTGCCTGTCGTCTGATTCGATGGTTATTTTTATTGCACTTGTCGTGACCGCAGATCGGTCTTCTGCACACGTGCACAGCCTACCGTATCTGCATACTAGCCAAGGATGCATACCTTTACATGCCCTCGCATGCATAACAAGTTGTGACTGTGTGCCTGTGTCGTGGTGGTAACCCTCCAATCAGGAGGCACTCTCCACCCCGGTCGGTGATGCACCGCCCCAGTATTATCCCTCTTCGGGAGAACGAGAGAAGCAAAAAAGAAAAAGTCCCAATCGATCCACCGATGCAGTAGACGATATTGTGAATCGACATCGAGCCATGATTGGCGTCTCCGACGGTCACGGGCCATGGTGCGCCGTGACCACCGAGTGTGACGCAGGTAAGCCCGTCTTTGGCTGCTTTCATGGTAGTCTGACTGCGTCTAGATAGCGGTCAAAGTTTACCGCCTGATGCAGTATCTAGTTCGCAGTGAGCACTGTCGGTAAGGTATAGCGTTACATCCCCATAGATACACCAGGAGGAGTCTTGCGCGGTGCAAATTTGTCATGAGGCTCAACTGTTAATCTCTTGACGGCAACATGCATGGCAGCATCGTATTCCATAAGTATTCCGTTGGCATTCTGGGTCTCTGTGCTTGCCACAACAGGCGGCAAGACGTTCCTGGGCCAATCATCTTACCAGGCTCTGGCTAACGCAGCGTTAAGAGGAATCTGGGGACGACATATGTACTGCGGTAGGGTCAGGGCTGAAGGAACCGAAAGGATGATCTTCATGTCAACACCCGCGCAAGGGGCAAGCCACCCTTGGATTAATGGCACTGGGATATGACCGATGGCTACCTAGCTAGCACAGCAGACCGTACCATATTTGCGGCGTGGATTTTAGAGTTAGGACGGTGTCTTGCCGGTTCCCTTGAGGATGATTAGACTGTATAAAACGGGCGGGTCATTATAAGCCCAAGTTGCTAGTCGACCAGTGAGGTTGGTAGTGACAGTCCGTCGTCCTTCATTATTAGAGGCGACTATAGCGCAACGGTCGATCCCGACTTTCGGTACCTGATGGCGTTTTCCTCGTACAGACCAGCCACAGTGCGGACTTCAGAGGTTAAGGCTGGCATCTCCTGCGTACTGCAAACAAGAGAGTCACTATCTATGGACTCGGGAGCGTATGCACTGCGAGATATGTCAATTGTTGTATAGTAATCAACCATGTTTCACTCCCCGCTTAACTTTCAAATGGTCAATTTGCTTCTTCTGCAGCTCGTCAAAGGTTTCAAGGTTGGCTTCAGACTTGAGTGTGGACCAACGATGAAATTAGAGTGCCAGAAGAGGCTAGCGATTGCTTAGCTTCGAAATAGGAGAAGAGAGTGATCTAATTGGTTGGTTTACGTGGCTGCGGTACGTACCAGCCAGGTGCCCTGCTCCATGTACCCACATTAAAGATATGGGGCAGGGTAGTCTAAATCTAAATATAGTCACTTTTAGGTGGCGGTGCGAGATGCAACCCATTCGACCCATGCGTACGTATCCTTGCCTGCTTGCGTCGCAAGGGAAGTGGGAAGTGGGAAGAGCGAAAGAGGGAAGAGGGAAGACCCGATGGGATTCTCATGAGTTGTTATCTGCCGCCGATTACGTACATAGTCATCAAGAAAGCCTTGTGGTAATCTTTGAAATGCATTGCCAAGGAATTCTGCGCGATCAGCATCCCTGAGAGTCCACACGTGCCTCTGGAAGCCCATACGTCGTGAGCATCGGGCCTGAAGCATTCTAGAACCTGGCTAGTTCTCGTTGTATAGATGGTCAATGATCTCACACGAGTGAGAATCAGGATGATTATGCAGTCAGATCGGGCTGGCTGTGTGGACACGTGGTGGCCCCTCCACATGGTGGTAGGGGTTTTGTGTATCCATCTGTACCATCAAGCCTATCTCTGCCCGCGCTCGCTCGGAGCCTGATGAGGACTATTCCGATCACCGTGACCGAACGTGACTCG